TGCTCCTATCTTGGTATCCACCCTGGTAATTTCTGGACTTCTTCAAACCCTGAAGTTCCTTCTCAACAGTGCCAACCCTGGAATTCAGCTGCTCAATCTGGTTTTGGTCAAATCCTGTAACTGTTGAAGAATCTTATTCTCAACAGATGAACATTAACAGGGAAGCAGGTTCAAACCTTGACATCTGGAGTTTTCTTACCCTCAGGGGATTGAACAACATGGGAGGACTTAGCCTTACTCACTGGAAGTGTGAGAGAAGATGGACTCTTCTTATTTAATTCTAAGTCCTGTTCCATCTGTCTGAGCTCCTTCCTAAGTACTCCATAATCATGGGATACTTTCAAATTTATACCTAGAAACACTTCTGAGATGTTGGTCATACAACCCAGACCACAACCTATTACATAACATTCTCATTCTTGGTGGAACTGCTCAAACCTAATGTTAGACTCGGACCAAAAGCTGTTCCAATCTAAGGCTATAATCTGCAATAGATTCAGCAGGTAGTTGCTGAGCACAATAAAACTTCTCCTTCAGCTTCTCACCACTGGAGACAATACCATATATAACCCTCCAATTCAGACAAAATATCCTGAACAGAAGCATCCTCGCCAAGATGTAAAAGAACTGTACGGGCTTTACCCTTCAGACTTTTCCTGATGGATTCAAGCAAAATATGTTTCAGGATACACACCATTCCTGATCAACAGTTGATCTCATACCTTTCAATAAATCAAAAGCACAATCAATCAGGATCCTCAAGAAAAACTCAGGCAACTTAGGTACTCTAGAAGAGAAAATTGAGCAGGGTTTTGCTGTAAACCTATTAAAGAGTGAGAAAAAGAATACTGTATGGGGTGGAGAAGGTATAGGGGGTGGAGGAAGTGGAATTATTATCAAACAAGTTGGTGTATTCACATAAGGTTTAGGAAAATGAAAATATCTGGCAGCAGGGGTACATGGAAGATTCTCTCCTGGAACCCTGTATTAAACAAAGAATGCCTACTGGGATGGCTGGTACCACATGCACCAGTTTTCCTGGTAAAGGGGTACCAGTGCTATATCTTAAGCAGCAAATTCTCTAATCAGGGTATGAGAGGTTTCCATGGGCAAAGTAGGAGGGGCTGGTGTGCTAAGATCCACATAATAAAGATGGAACTTTCCGGAACGACGGATAATATCAGCATATTGTTCAAGTGTCACGGTCAGTATAGCCTGATGCAGTATTATTCAAATCCATGACGACAAAAATTGACAAACAAGGTGACAACTATGGTAGAATTGTGCAAAAATAAAAATCACACAATTCAATCAAATAATATCACTTCTATACAATGTACAAAAATGATATTTCAAACAAATAGCTCTTAAAGTAATATACTTTAAATACCAAGTACTAGGTATAGTTACTTTACATTTAAAAAATAATATGTCTCCCTAGTATACCATATATATTTTCTTTTTTTAAAAAAAAAAAAATAAAAGAAATATCAACTATACAGGTAGAACTCTATCTCAGGTTAAAGTATTGTAACTGTATATAAAACAATTGCAATAACAAAACAAGAATCAAATTCTTTTGATCCTACTGGTACACCATACTTTCAAATAAATTTCAAAAGAAATTTCCACTATCTGGTAGAACTGTTTTTTAAAAGTACCTGTATTAACAAACAAGTGCAACAACAAATTAAGCTCATAACTATTAGGCGACAGACTTTTGACACCACTAGCATACCTTAACCTTTAGATAAACACTGTAGCACAACGTCTCCTCAAGGTCAAAACTATATCAACATTTACCAAAAATAAAAAAACAAAACCAACTTCAGTTTATATTTGCTTTAATATAACAACATTTCACATTTCACAATACCTTTCCTTACAGTATTTCGCCAGCAGCTCCAAATAAAAATACTTCCATCGACAAAAAACATGAAACAACTTCCACAAAATTTCGCGCAAACTGTCTTGCTAGCAGTACTTATCTGACTCAATATCAAACAAGATCTGCTTTCAAGTATATATCTTCTCAAACTAAATAATTTATAACATATACTAGTTATAAACTATCACTGGTTTCAGTAACTTGTATCAATCAATTAAACCAACTTACTATTTCATTTATTTGAAACAATATTTAGCTCAAACTGAAATATTCTTCACACTGATTTATATTCATAGCTGTTGGTGAAAATAACTTGTGACCATCTTCTGCACTACAGCATTAACTAACTCATTCCTGTTCAAACACCTAAAGTACTAACCGGTAAAGAAAAATATCCATTACAAAATAATAAAGTCAACCGTCAAAGTCAATTTGTCAATATTGTCCACAGGGCTGTAAAAAATACTATTTATAAATATTATGACCTACAGTTAAATTAAATGAATTTTGACAGACTACTTTTTTTTTTTTTTTTTTTAAACAAACCAGCTGTCGCTATGCGAAACTATTAAGCCAAAAAGTAAAAGTATGCCAAAAATACCAAAAGGAATAATAGCTGGCTCTGTGAGGAAAAAAATACAGTATGAATATGTAGATACTAGTAAATATCAGTCAAAGTTTACAAAGATATACTGGCATGCGAGCAGTTCCCGTACAAAAATCGTAGTTACTTAAACATTATTTTTTATTACGCTCACTCACCAAAATTTGAACGTTACACATCAATATTCGGCTCGTCACACAAATCATGGAAATTCCATCATGTTCTAAACATAGAATAACCCTTAGTTATGAGGCCTCATATGGGGTACCGAAATAATCCATTATTTTGTATGAAGAGAAGTAGTTTCCCGTACATAAAATTTAACCCTTTATAATTAAACAATTTTATTATATCGGACCTATTTTTCATTTATAATTGTTGAACAGACCATTTTCTAAGAGATATATAGATGTAATTCAGGAAATAGAAAGTAGACTAAACGCGTGTATCTATTACCCGGTACCGTTACCCCCAACGCATTCAACATGCGATGGCATGCTTGTATGCATGATATTTTACGCATCAAAGCCATTAAATTTATTTTATATTTAATATTGGTCAAAATTCTGATAATGTAACAAGTTTTCATCACATTGCCTTCTTATCTGTAAACAGGTGTATAAGTGGAAAACCCTTTAACATGCCTCACGTGTAAGTATGTTTGCGCATGCGCGCAAGGACGGAATTCCCCCAGATAAAACAAGGTCACGTTTTGACAACGCACAGGTGAAAGTGATTTAAAATGAGACTTTTTAATACGTACTGACGAACTGACACTTAGATTTTGTCTCGTTTATGTATCTGCTTGATTTGAAATGAATTTTTGAAGAAGGCATGTAAAAATCAAGCGTTTTAAATGAAAAATACGGGTACTGCTTCTGTACGGGAACTGCTCGCATGCCAGTAGGGCTCAAGGGAATATATTATTTTATCATGTTAATATTAATCTCACCAATACCAATTGCTGTGAAATGCTACATGCTTTACTGTGTCTGTTACTGTGAATGGCAGCTGACAAAATCAATGAATTCACCCAGTTCTGGAAAAAATAATGTAAACAATTACACAATGTACATGTATGATAAAATGTAAACAAAACAGTAACTCAAGTATAAATGAAAAGTTTCACTACATCCTAATTCAGTAAAAGACTATATGAAGATGAAATATATATAACTACATGATATACTGTTACAAAATGGTGTACTAGAAAAACAAAAGCTTATTGGTAAATCACAATCTGTTAAATGTCAAGAGTCTACTTTCACTTTCAATTCCAACGATGATAAATCCTGTAAACAAAGTGCACTGTAATTATTTTGAAGACCCGTTAAATATGATGATATCTAGTTGAAATAAACCGGTAAAATTAATGTAATCCAAATAAATGAAGAGTTAGATCGATCTATATAATAAACGAATAAAAACAAATCACTCCATGCTACTTAGGGAATTCCATGTGTATATGCAGTGGACGTAGCAGAAAAATGTGTAGCGCTAGCTATGGCGTTGATTGGCTGCTCTGAGGAAGTCCTGTGACGTCATGGGAAACACCTCGATTCGTCCACAACGGCTTCGCCCCAAAACACAAAAGTCACACTGGCCACCAATTTGTTACCTTCTATAATCGTCGAAGGGTTTTTATAGTTCTCTCTTGTGATTGAGACTGTAAAAACACACAGAGGCAGCAAAATAAATAAATAATCAACACAAAGACAGGAGTTAGGTTTTCACTCTACAACTGTAATTCAAATCTGCAGTGCATTTCATAAATATACAAAACCGTCAAAAATCATGAAACAAACGATGAATGAGAAAATGAAGAATGAATATATATCAATACACTTATATAAGTAAATTACCTGTAAAAACACACAGATGCAGCAAAATAAATAAAATAATCAAACACAAAGACAGGAGTTAGGTTTTCACTCTACAACTGTAATTCAAATCTGCCGTGCGCGCATGCGTGGCGGTAAATCATGAGCGAAAAAATGAGGCCCGTCACCAGTTACTATAGTTAGTGTATGATATATGATGAATGATATAAGGCTATGGGAGTAAATATGAGATGAAGAGTGGATGGGCAAGGAAGAATATATTTATAAGAAATGCACTATATATCATATTGGATATAATAATGGTAAAGTATATACATGTATATATAATGACAAATGACCCTGTGACATGTCCTAACATCAACTCAAGAATGTTGACCTTTTGCTCACGGGTTTTCCTGTCAGCTTCGGCTACATCCTCACCGTCGTTCACAAAGCCTCTGTGGGTGCAGTTTTGGTCTTTTTCTGCCATTTAAGCCCAGCCACGAGAAACGGAGCAAAGTTCTTGTCTAAAGAAAGGCTGTAGATTAAGTTCTGTCTCCAGTTTTCAAATGAGTTTACAGTTTCATGTTTGGTAAGGCACCATTGTTTTGGCGCGCGGGTAGAATTTGCCATTGTCAATGTTTTTTGTTTAATACACTTGCGTTCACGGTAATAATTCTATTACGATATGACGTACACAGGTCTTTATCGAGCGTGGGACGTAAATTCGCTGCCACCACGCCAGTATAATGGATGTAGATCAACACACAAGAGTATAATCAAATACGTGATTTAATATGAACAAATGGCGTAGGACAGATAAAGGGAGAGAAATACATCATTTAGTCCGAAACAGGCAACGTTCCGAATGTATGTAAATACACAGTCTGACACAGTCTGGCGATGTGTGCTGTCATGTAAAACACGTGAACAATGCCATATATTAATATCATAATTAATGAAGGTACATTGTAACTTTTATTTATAAAATCTTTTGTGAGTGTAAAGCTTAACTTTATTTTAGTATTTTTAAATATCATAAAAGGACTTGTCCACCTCTCACTTGGAGTTAAAATCATTTATAGCTCTTTGTGTTTACTATTATTTTTGTCCATGGGCCCGGATTTGATCATTTAATCACTTCGATTTACAGCTAAAAATAAATCCGCATTCAAGAACTCCTTTCGATTTCAATATTGGTTTCCCCTTCGGTGATTCGCAACACGTCATATTAATGAATGAGAACAGGTAAGCAGTTCTGCTGTACATGAATTCGAAAGCAATGTTCTGATTTTTGACACTTAGGTTATACATTTGTTATTTCCCTTTTTTAGTAGTACATGAAATTATAATTTGTTACACTTTGAATTACATTTACACACAGCATATCAAGTATACTATTAATGATTGAATTTGTCAATATAAAGAAGATTTCAGGCAGAAGACTTTTTTAATTTTGCTTTTGATAATTATTCTTAATTTATATTTATGAAATTAAATGTTTAATAATAACATGTTGATATATATATTGGTTGTTTTGAAATAATTAAACTTAAGTATATTAGGTTACATTTCATTGGCGACATTGATACAGCACACCACTTTGTGCGTTAAATTGGTATGACTGGTGACATGTCCGGGGCCGTACTCGACAGCGAAACCTGTATTTTGTGGCCTTACGAGCGGAAGGACCCTCATTAAGCATAGGCTATAGATAGATAGCATCATTGATAACAACAGAAACTTTGATCTGTATTTTGAACATGAAGTGTAATGTTTTTATTAATGGTTTTAAAGCAATTCAACAAAAAAGTACATTGATCTCCAAATAAATCAATTAACAAAAGATTTTTTATATAAATCACCAATGTCAAATAGCTTTTATATCTTTGACTTGCACGAACATGATGTTAGTGAATTTCCTCATACCTACCTTAAATTCAGGTAACAGTCTTCTATTACATTAATAAATACTGCATCACCATGTAACGCGTGTATAACATACAAAAAATTCCTGAATTTGGTCTTTTTGAAATTCATCCCATTTTTTTTTCATTCCAGAGTGTGTTCTACTTTCTGACTTTCAGTATTGAAAAAAACATTTTTTTTTAATTTGACATGAAAAAATGCATGTAATATTACTATATTATAATAGCAGTCCCTTTTGTTACTATTTGTATATTTGTTACAATTTTAATAATAAAAAAACAGACTTTGAAATTTTTATCATCTTATGTTACTGACTACAGTAGTGACACAAACAGAACCATAGTACAGTCATGTCACATAACATTTACAAGTCTTGTAAGTCTTGTTTGTATTCAATGGAATTACTTTCCTTACCAAGTAGGCATCAGTGAAAGCTTTTTTTATATTAAATATCTTTCCCCTCTTTTTAATTAATGGACAGTGCATAAGATAAGTATAATTATGCAAAAATTGGTTTACAAAGCATTCGGAAAAAATTTACAATAGTACTTAATCTGAATATAACATGACCTGTGCGTAGGAATAATTTGGTAAGGTATCTGTAATGAGCGCAATTTTTTTGCGCGGAGCTTCTCAATTGCTGCATTGCAGCAACATTTGTACTTGTCATTTTTAGAAATTTCAATTTATGAAGTGTAGTGCCGGCTGATTATGGTTTGCACTTGTCGCAGTTGTGGCCTTTAGGCTAAGTTCTAATATAAGTCAAAATGTAGGTCAAATTGGTACTATATGCAATATCAGGTTTAAAAGTGAATTTTGCGTTCGTAATGTTTAATGTCCTTGTTTTATTTCTAGTTAAAGCACAGATTTACACGGAAGTATATACATGTCAGCACAGCAGCCACATCTCCTACAGAAGGGAAAAACATGGCGGTAATGTATCATACAGTCTTCTTTTTTTTAAATGAAATATAGAGGAATCAATCGAATCATATATATCATTATCGTCCTCCTCCTAATCATCATTATCATCATAAACAACATCATCAATAACAACAGCAGCAGAAGCAGCAGCAGCAGAATCACCACTGTAATCATCATCATAATAATCATTATCATTATCATCCACAATCCTTCTTCAACTTTTAATGAATACTTGTATTAAATCAAGTCAGTTTACATCATTATCATCAGTAACATCATCAGAGGCAGCAGTAGCAGTAACAGCAGCAGAAGCATCATTATCATCATCATCATCATCATCATCATCATTATTACAATAAGTATTATCTATATTTAAACCTCACTTTATTATTATTATTGTTTTCTTTTATTATTATAATTCTTATAATGATAATAATAATAATAATAATAATAATAATAATAAAAATAATAATAATATTAATAATAATATTACTTTTATTATTATTATTATTATTATTATTATTAAAGGCATCCGTATTAAGTACTTATGAAATAACGGTAAAATTTGATCCATATTCCGGTGATACAATGTTCATACACCACTAAATTATGACAGAAATTAAGCGTAATAATACTTAAAAGCAGTCAGTCAATTTACTATTGAATTAGTCAGACTTTGAATAATTTCACAGGTATTAGGAAAAAAGGTTTCTTTTACGTTTTATAGATTGTTTTGCTACCATATAACGCAAAGAACGCCCAATTCAAGGTGATGCCGAGATACAAGGTCAAGGCCGAAGGAGATGTGGTATATATCATCACGTTGTCATATTCTCTCATTTATAATACTAGTAATACTAAACAAGGTCTATCCTCCCTCACAGCCAGTCATTTTTGACTCAGATGTAATTTTAAATTATCATTAGCTTTTCGGCCGAAGACTGTTTGTTACATCTTGACTTCCGGTGAATTTATGGAATATTCGCCATTATTTTCCCGGTATATGCCGGATATTTTAACAATGACACGCTCAACATTGTTTTTGCTAAAATCTGTTATTAACGATGAAAAGAGGCTTACCTTGGCCAAATATATTTACGATATTTCTGGTTTTATCATTTGAAGAGGTCATGACACATGACAACAAATATGATAGAATTTTACATATTAACCTTAATGAGCTTCTGTTTTGGACACAAAAATAACACAATTTCATTTTAATGTAAATTCAGGCCTGATGATAAATTAACTATATATAATTATATCATTTTTAAAACTTTTATTTAAGGTACAAGAAGGGGATCAAATAGTTTTTGAAAGTGTTAAATCTGCGGGGCATTACGTACACGTATCAAAGGCAACGTTTGGTAATCAGTCTGTTTATCAAAGAAGGTAAAGAAGTTAGCTAGGCATTTATCTTACTATAAAAGAAATACTGGACGAATACATTTTGTTAATCTAATTCTCTTCTCTGTTTGGAAGTCCCCATCAGATTTGTCTCTAATCGTTTAAACGAAAAGTATCGCATCCGCCTCAAGGTAGCAATAAACTTTTTTATTTTACATTTATCTTTTTCTAATAAAATATTAAAGGATACCGATGCAATATGACCGTTTGCAATGAGACATGACCTTTTTTAGCGTACATAACCATTCTGTATTGAGACATGACTATTTTGTAATGGGACATGACCATTTGTTATCGTGATATGACCATTTGTTATCGTGACATGACCATTTTTATTGGACCTTGACCTTTTCTCAATATGACATGACTATATCTAATTACTTTTTTCCAAAACAATGTGATCAGTTTTAATTCCGCATTCAAGTTAAATGACATCCAAATTGTTCTAATTTTCCATCTCAATGACAAACATTTTATTTTGATTTTCATCTCAAGACTTTTACATTGTTCTATTCTTATCACCAATGAAATGCAAATTGTTCTAATTTTCCGTCTCAATTATAAACATTTTATTTTAATTTTCATGTCGAGACATTTTCAATGTTGTATTTATATTATCAATCTCATGCAAATTGTCCTTTAATGTTCTTTACATAGACAAGCAAATTGTTCTCAAATTCTTCTTCGTAACATGTAAATTGTTTTACATGCATACTGTACTAATTTTCTTCTCAGTAACATGCAAATTGTTCTATTTCTTTCGTCACAATGATATGGATTTTGCTGCTATTTTCTTCAACCTATTATGCATATTTTCTATTATTAATTTTAGCCATGAATTGAACTTATCAGTCCAACAGTCAGGATTTACAATCTTCAGAAAATATAAACCGACACCTGATGACAATAAGAAAGTCAAGGTAAATTTATACTTATTGTATGTGAAGTGTAGAAGACGAATACCACTTTTTTGTGGGTTTTTTTTCGCCAAATACAAATAATTGTTAGATAAATATTTTGCATACAATTAGTACTGGTGATTCTGTAAATAAAGAATTTCAAAAATAGCTAAACGAAAGAAAAGTGTCGAATAAAAAAATAACAAACCCGCATTTTCTCAAATACAAAAATATTTTATACTAGAAATAATACTCTTCATTTTAGATCGGAAATATAGTGAGATTTTACCACAAAGAAATGGAAGCTTATTTGGTCGCAGAAGGACTTTTCGATTTTGAAGTAACAGAAGATGGTAAAATCTTGTTTCGGTTATCTAAAGATTCCAGTCTTCAAAAAAATCTCTGAAAATAAAAAAGTAGATTTGAGTTCACTCGCCAAGGGAAGATTTGATATACATATTTTTTCCTTACACTAATTTAAAATTCTAGAAGCTTAAAAGACGAAAAGAAAGTCCGGTTTATGTCAATGTATCTTATCAATGCTTCTAAAGTCCGCATCTTAAGTCCGTTTCTATTTCAATGCATCGAAAGTCCGTTTCTATTTCAGTACATCTAAAGACCGTTTCTATTTCAAAATATTTAAAGTCCGTTTCTATTTGAGTACATATAAAGTCCGTTTCTATTTCAGTACATCTAAGATGCAGACCTGTTGTTCCAACAAATCCAAAGAGTATGATTCCGAGCACATCCGCAGTGACCTATTGGCAGATAGAACTACAAGAGGGATGTGTCGCTGGTAAGTAGGATTATCTTGTACGGTTGTCGCCATGTCCCTGCAAGATATAGTCTGTTTCAACAAATGCATTATACTTAAATGTTTGTAACAATTTATTTTGTATTTTAACCTAATCTTAATTCGAAATTTTACGTTGAGGTAAAAGCCCAAACCCCTAACCTAATCAATATGTCCGTGAGATTTCCGCGTGACATGGTCGTTTTCTGGACCGTCGATTTGTTCTTTTTTGTATATAAATGATCGTAAAAAGAACCATTTTCTCGAGCCAACCGTTTAAACACCATTTGTCCGATTCCTTTGCAAATTCGATTTGGTACAAGTTTTGAGCGTCTTCCTTACACATTATAAAGCCCAAAGTCCTAACCCAATCAATATGTCCGTGAGATTCATGTATTGTGTTACGTTAAAGTCTTGTAATTTGGAATGCCATGCACTTTAATATACGTACATGTATTGTATTATGTAACAGTCAAGTAATTTGGTATACTGTATAATGTTTCAGTTAGATTATTTTATATGCTGTAATTATTTGAATTCAGGTGGAGTATTTCAGTTTGGACAGCAGTGTAAGTTACTTCATATGTGTACCCGGAGATATCTATCTGTAGAAAGTTACGAAAGTGCCAGAGGTGACAACAATAAAGACAAGTTTAAAGTGAACCTGACCTCCGATCACCTTGACCCGAAAACTGTCTTTAGACTGCACCCAGTGGACAGAGTATGTGTCTTTTTTGTATTTATTTGCATTACTAGATCTAGAATGATAGTATTTTACGTAAAGTTTGGATGCATGAATTTCCAGATTTTGTACAGATATGAGGAGAAATACCACTTATATTATGTGTCTCCAAGATAAAAGCCCAGCACGTCCCTGGCTAAGTAAATCGGGTCGTTGACTTCGGTCCACTCGGCCCTCACCGCTGATGATTTTGAACTTAGGATTCTTCCACGTGAGGTAGCTAGTAGCTACATTGTATTATTGTATTAGCTAGCTTCCGGAATGTCTGTGGCATTTCAGGTGCAGGACAGATATGTTAAGAGGGGGGAGCATGTGACGTCTTCCTACACAAGATAAACTAGAAAGTCTTCTTTAATGTGTTGGTGTCACTTAAAAACTATTCAGCAAATGCATGATAAAACTTGTCAACATAATAACCATGTTGAGTGATTATGAAAACAAGATGTGTTGCAGAATTTGAAGAAAATTGCATACAGTGATTTACAATTTAAATTGTTAATTACTTCTAGCTATGTTTAGATGATGCAATTCATTTCTTTGAAGCGTACATTTGTAAACGTTTGTCGATTTTATTTTAGGACAGTGATGATATAATTGATGGAAGTTACTGCAGAATAGAGAATGTTGTATCAGGACAGTGGCTGCATGCTTCCACAGGTATGATTTCACCTTACTTTTGAGCTTTATGCATTCGTATAACGCCACCTGGTGTTCGAAATTAATAAATTTGAATTTCCTTTGGCCATTTATTTGCTTTTGAAATGAATTCTAGTTAAACTTGACATCAAGAACGGTAATGGTTGATAAATTATTATTCATTTAAATGTATGAGTGTTTGTACGTGCGTGCGTGCTCGCGTGTGTGTGTGATTGATTTATCTAAGCGCATATGACTTACTTTGCTTCCCTATCGTCTCAAAAATATACAATTACTTTGACTAAAAATTGCGAATTAGGAATTATAATTATGTTTATATTAAATCATAAGACATTTAACATAATGTTAAAAATGTCACTGAACCATCTTATTGATAGTTCTAGATGTTTTTCATTGGCATTGTGTTATATCATATGTGATTTTAGATGAATACATAAGAAATCAAGTGAAAGCACTGAACGAGGAGAGTACATCTATGGGTTCTTTAAAATGGAGTACCGCTGCAATGAAGAAGGTAAAGATAGTTATATTATGTGTATTATACATGTCAATGAAACATTGTAAAACAATGTAATTAGTATTCTTTCATAAATTGTACTCTGTTTTTTCGAAAACAATATTTTCTTCTGTGGCTGAGATACAATCAAAACTTAACTTTACTTTCCGTTTAAGTTCGAATTTTTGTTTCCTCATGGTCATATTGGAGCTCATTTGATATTCAAATGTGACGGAAAGAAGCAAATTTTTCCGAATATTCAAAAGGTCTGGACAAAAATCATGTTTTACTAGTACGAAAACTGTGTATCAATACCTGTATAGATGATGTTGATGATGATGATGATGGTGATTCTAATAACGTTGAAGGTGATGATCAGGATAATGACAATGCAGATGGGGTTGATGATGATGATGACAATGCAGATGGGGTTGATGGGCTGAAGCAGGAGTAGATGATGATTATGAAGATTATAAGATGATGATAATATTGTTTGTTATTGTTGTTGTTGTTGTTTTTGTAGATAACAGTGGCAGAGGAGCAGCAATATGACGACGCGTTTACAATACAGACTGTGTCTCCGCCTCTGGAGAACATTTTCAGCTTTATGGCGGGAATGGTTCCGTTTCTGCAGAAACTTGTACATGATGTTAGTTGTTTTACTTGTTAATAAATTATCTACTTGCGGTATGTCGCACTGAATAAAATATAATTATGCATTTTGTATGCACTTGTAAAACTTGATTTGAATATAATCGGTAAAGATGTGTAACGATGTGCATTGCAAGCTTACTCAAAATAAAAACCAAATAATTGTTTTTTTGTAACCACTATTTCTTTTGTATTTATAAAAATTGTTTTTCATTTCATATGTCTACATTCATTCGTAGAAAAACGCTGGGGTCATACTGAATAAGAAGACGTCTCACGACGCCGTCACGGTAAGTGGTAGTTGACACATTTATCATTACACCTTTTGAGATTAATAATAATAATAATAATAATAATAAAAATAATAATAATAATAAAATCTTTAATTCAAGAAGGTTAAATATAAGCGTACAAAGTTAATAAAAACTAAAATACATCTTGCTTTCATGCGGCCTAGCCTTTCAAAGAAGAAAAAAATAATTAATTATCTCAATAATAACAAGAAATGTTAAAAGTAAAAAGAGAAACAAACAAAAACCCTAAAATCAACAAGAGTTAAATACTTAAACATGTATTCATTTCATGATTTAATAAATAAATAATTTGACGGTCAAATTTACTGGGATTGCACAAAACCGAGCAAAGAAACACGTGCATTTTAAATAGTTTTTAAGCTCTTTGTGCATCATTATAAAGTAAGGCTTTTTGCTTTTGAAAATGTGTAACTTTTTAGACACTTTTTAATAGTAAAATTCTGCACACTGTATGTTTGATGAAGTGAAGAAAAAAACAAAACAAAAAAAAACCCACTAAAATTTTATATTTCGTACGTTATTCTGTTTTCAAGGTTTTTGTCGCATATTTGACACTTCTACCTGGCCAAAGCGTACAGCTAGCTTAAATCATTATTGTACAACAACTTTGTTTTATAATGTACAGAATCTAATGCTTTTAAAATATGTATTTATTTGAATTAATTGGAGATGTCACTTTTGTTTCTCTGCCTTAAATGAACTTGTGATATAATCATTGATTTTGTTGTTGTATGAATATAGGGATTGGAAGAAATTTGCAAGTTCTTGGTTGTCGAAGGAGAACCGATTAAAGATCGACAAAAGTTAATGAGGAATTTGAGAATTGTAGAGCTGCTTGTTAACTTGTTGAAATGTAACTTTGATGCACCAGAACGCGTGTAAGTAAAGTTTCTAATCATGATATTTCCTGGCAATCTCCGTAACTGAACAGTTTAAGTTCGAGGGGAGAGACATGTTATATGTGAGCTCGAGTGGAGAGACACGTGCTGTGAGATCAAGGGGAGAGCCATGTGGTGTAAGTTCGAGGGGAGAGCCACGTGGCATGAGCTCTAGTGGAAAAACACGTGGTGTGAGATTGAGGGGAGAGCCATTTTGTGTGAGGTCGAGTGGAGAGACACGTGTTTTGAGATCGAGGGGACACTTCAGGAAGTTGCGGGTTATTCGACCTATAAGTAACTCCATACCCTTTAAGCTAACCTTGAGAAGAATCTAAAGTCTATCACATTCAGTAAATTATTTTGACAATCATATGACCTTGATATTAAATTCATCCAAAACATATAAAAAATATATATAACTATATTCATGAATGCCATAGTCTCCATGTGAAGTATGTAAATGCTATAGGCCTACACAAAATTTAAAATATTCCGTGTTTAAGTTTGTTCGGTAATGAAAAGAATCATTTATATATTATACAAGTTTTTTCTATGTCTGACTGTAAATTTTATTGCCAAGACTATAATATTATATGTACGGGCTTGAATAAATGTTTAACTAACATTCATTTATACAACTAATTTTATAGGTACAAGGTGAACATTTTTCGTGTTGTCTACAACGTTCTGCGCGTGTATTTGCTAGGACGATCAAGAAAAAACAAACTGTATATCGCTAGATACATAGATTTCTTCCGGACACAGTTTGGTAGTAACGAGGTAAACCGTTAAGTCTTTCAGATTTCCAATGTGCTGAATACATGTGACGTCATTTTAAGGAATCTCGAATAGTAGTTTCTGCCTCGCTTTGAAAGAGCGACTTCCCCGCATATATTTCATTTATTCGTCAATTAAAATGCTTAGTGCCTGAGTGGGAGAGTGTTCTATGCTGATATACACAGGTGATTCTAAAGTCTGATGTAAACTGTTTTTGTCATACCGGTGCTGGAGGGCCCTTGACAGAAGGTGCTGCATTTTTCATCATCTCTCTTTGCTAGACTCTATCAAACCTATTCTTCAATTTTTATATTATATTATTGTTTTCAGTTCGTACGAGGGATCACCGCTTTTCCAGGTTTTTTTGTTTGCTTTATTACTCGTGGTAATGTCACACTGATAAATACTGTTTATCAAAATTTAAATACTACCTCAATTCAATTTGCAAAAATCGAATACATTTTTTTTGAAATTCAAGGTATTGTAATAGGCCGTGAGAAAAAAATCAACATTCCCTAAACTTAATTCGGGAAGAATGTGTAGATTAACGTTACTTATATCTAGGTATGAAAATCAATATATGGAACAAACTTTTCTTAATGTCCTAAGAAGTTAGCTTTGTTTTAGTTTTAAGTATTTCAATTATAATTTGATTATAAAACCATGACGCCTATCTGTCGGTATGAGGTTTCCTTGAAAAATATTGTTATATTTAAGATTTCGATGATAAATTCAAAATTTGTGATTAAATGTACATCGTATTTAATCTACATTCCTTTAAGTACACCTTACAACCCAGCGTCTTACTCTTCGTGGCTGTTACATATTTAGCAATCAAACTAGTCCTTACTCAAACGCTTTAACGTTGGCATGACAACACTTGAGCTTAAACTTACAATCTCTGGTTGTTCCCTGTAAAACGTCTCTCTTTTGTGGTTAGGCTATAACCTGTCCAATTCAATGTTAAAACAGTGAAAACACAGCTGATTTCCCCGAAAACTTTTGAGTGTTAACGGGTTCAACCCTGATGGCACTTGAACTTGAACTTTTTAGGCTGGACTAAATGCTGTTCATATGGTCATGGAGTCCATCAGAGACAACCGAAAGATTGTGGACCTGATAACAGAGGAACACATTGATGCTTTTGTTGAACTGCTGCTGGTCGAGAAAAATTATCGATATCTTGACCTTTTAAGCGTGTTGTGTGTTTGTGCTGGTGTGTCGATCTCCAACAATCAGAACTATATCACTAAAGCCTGGTTGATTACATTTAAACTGGTAACATTTTTAATGTCGAATCTCAACCAAAGATTTTGTTTCGTTAGTTCCCTGGAATCTTAAAAACATCAACATGTTTAGATTAATGAACAGAAAATGACATGCTCTTGAAATCAAATTAATTTTATTGAAATGTAAGAGCTAAACACTCATATTGTTATCGAATTTTGTTAGATTTTGTCACATTTTTCATCTCCTTCAAATTAAAGACAATAGCAGCAGTCATTCTCAAATCGTCTAGGAGTTAAAAACGAATGACACAATATTCTGGATTGGTTACAGTTGATGAAACTTTAACTTTCGAAGTATTGCTTATAAAATGCAACAAAACATGATTATTTTTATTAATTTTGCTTAAACGTTATAGGATATTTTCCTCTACAGCTTTGCGTGTTTCAAACAAAAATGGCAAGCAAAGGTTCGAGTGGAGAAACAGTATGTGTAACCACTGATAACGGCGAAACATGGATTGACCTAGTCACATTTTCAAAAGTAAGGAGTAAAAGGCTTTTTATGAATAAAAACATAAGATAGAAGCGCTGAGTTGAACAAAAATATTTAAAAATGATGCACATTTTAACAAATATTTCCTTTTAAATAGCTATGGTCGTTGACTGTTTGCCACTGTAATGTTAATGATCTGAGGATTTGAATTTATTTTTATGCACCCACAAAGTGGGAGCATATAGCGTTGCACTTGTCCGTCCGTCCCGAAATCTTGTGAACGCAACTCCTCTTACACCGGATGGCAGATTTTGCTTTAACTTCCAGGGACGAAAATCCTTAATGTGTAGATGGTAGTAAATGAAGGATTTTTTGCTGCGACCAAATTAAACAGAATAATGGCCCCCCTTTGTTGATTTTTTTTCACTATATACTATGTAGAAATTTTGTGAACGCAACTCCTCTTAAACCAGATTGCAGATTTTGCTTAAACTTCCAGAGATGAAAAACCCTAATGTGTAGATGGTAGCAAATGAAGGAATTTTTGCTGCGACCAAATTTAACAGAATTATGGCCCTTTGTTGATTTTTAGTTTTCAACTTGTGGCACATGTAGTCCAAAAAATATTTGACCTAGAGTCATAAGATTGACAGAACAGTGGCGTGTGGGGGCATCCGTGTCCTATGGACACATTTCTAGTTATGAGTGTAATATGCTTATCCATCCAAAGGTAAATTGGTGGTTCTATAAAGTGGCTTGCTCTTACTTCAAAAACTTAAGTCAAGCTCGTCCGAAGGATAAGATCATTCATTGTAGCAGTAACACCTTATTTTTCTCCATGATGCATATAATTGTCTCATAGGCCTCCCTTGCATCAAAATAGTAAACATCAAAAAACTCGACTTGCATGCATATTTAGTATCATTCAGTGAATTACGGAATTCAAAATTTATCGGTCACCTTTAAGTAGACAATAATCTTTAAGAACATGAATAGTAACATGTTCGGGGTCCAGTGCCTGAATGGGCGTATGGACCCTCATCAAGCATACAATACATACATACACCAAATACATCAAAGACTTTAAGGATCGATGTAAAGGGGCAGAGGGGCATCAGTGATGGCTTCAAACCATTTAATGCTTGTAACAAACTCTAGATATTAATAGATTTAATCTACATTTGATTTAATACCACCATTTCAGAGTTTACAGAATTGTTTTTCCTAGTAATAAAAATGATAAAACAATCTAATGTTTTTTATTATATTTCAGAGAAATAAAGATTCCGACGAGTATCTGTTTTTTGAAGGTCAACTGAAATTGTTCGGATACCTTGCAAGAGTGCGTACAAAAAATATGATAGTTTATTCATATATCTATATTAATATACAAAAACCGTTAAGCTTACTTATCGTAAATTTGCATTATTTACAGATTTGAAGTTAAGTAATACTTTTGAAATTTAAAAAAAATCTTAATCAAACTTGTTCAAGTTAACTGCCACAGTATTGCCATTATTGTGAATTAACCTTCATAAGTTTACAGGTTCACATAGTCGTTGGATTTGATACGTGTGATTAGGTAATAGTATATCAACAAACGAGAAAAGTTTGGTTGTAACTATTACAATGACTTTTGTATATGCCGCTTAAATAAACACTGACAATATTAGACAAAAGTTACAGCTTTCAAATATTTATAAACGAGTATGATCTACATAGCAACTGTAGAAAGTATTGAACCATACTTTATCTGCAAGAACCTTATTTGCTCATTCATCATTGCTGATCTTAATAGCAACCATAATTTATCTGTAAGAACCTTATTTGCTCATTCATCATTGCTGTTTATAGGGGCAGAATGAAAACTCAATTTCTGTTATCACGAATGAATACCTTACATGGGACGAGTTGTTCATGTGCCTCTGTAACGAAAATCTTCCTGAACAGCTTCGTGCACTTTGCTGTGACCAAATCATAAGTAAGTAAATACCTTATTAGTAGTCGTTTCAGTCGTTTATTATTATTATTATCATTATTCTAATTCTTATTCTTTTTCTTATTATTATTATTATCACTTTTTTTTAACTTTATGCCTTTTCTCAAAGATAATTTTAAAAAGACCTGTTTATTCACCGACGATCAAATTGAAAGCATTTTAACATTATATCAATGTACACGTATATTACAAAAACAAATGTTTCATAAAGAGTTGTATATAAAGCTTTGCAACACTGTTCAGGGTCATGTGGTGAATTTTGACATCATCTTAAGAAAGAAAAGAACAGATTCTTCATCAGGCACTATTTGAAGTACTTCAAGATACCTTCAAGTTGGTATAACAAATAACCTACCGTAATCTAGCTATAAGGTTTACATGATAGAGTTGCACGCTCATCGAAACAAAACGATCAGAGTCGAGGTTCTGATTAAATTAAGCTAAAATACCTTAAAGATACAAGTTATAGAATAAGATACTTGTGATTATTTTTGTTTTCTCATTCTTACTTGGAGTTATTTAGTTTACTTGTGCGATCTATTTGTTTTATTCCAGCACTGTTTGTAGACAGAGGAGGGAACCGCTCGGTCTTGGACAGAGTCAAACTATGCTATGTCTTTGATGACGTAGCCAGTGACGATGTAAGTCTTCTAGTTCCGTTTTTTATTGGTTGTTGGTTGTTTCTTGTCAAATTGTTCGTTAACTTTAATTTGTAACTATTTGATTATTAGATAAATGGATTTAATCTATTTAATAAAGTTAGAAATTACAAACATTAATGTATGTATGTCGAGTGAACTAACCAATTTGTTGTACTCCAAAATCTTTTTTAATTAAATTGACTTTTAATCGCAATAATTAGTTGTCATTCCGGTTGTTTTTTTCACTTTAACACTGCATTTTACTGACTAACCTAAAATAATTTGCATTTCCTTATTGACTCCAACCGTGAATTTATAGATTTATGTTACTAAAATATCGGTTAACCAAACCCCATTTTCTAGGAAAATAAACTTATGGCTACATTGTTTTCATATGTACATATTTAAAACATCTTGCCAATTTCAATTTAGGAACCTGAAATCCTCGCTAGCAATAGTCAGTCTGAAACATACAAATATTTCCCCCACCTCAGTCATTGGATAGCAGACTTCCTCAGCAGGAACACAGAAATGACGGCATCAAATATCGGGAACAACATTCTCATAAAGCAGGTAGGATCTAAATGAGCGACTGATGGACTTACAAATCAAATTAGGAGAAAATTTCATATAAGCCTCAAGCTTTCTTCTAAATCCTGGTTGTGATTTATGTATTGTAATTTTGTTTAAAAATATTGATGAAAAAATTGATATTGTTTAAACCAACTCAAATAGTTAATGAAATCATAATCACAATGTGTGTTACGTGACACTGGAAAAGAAGTGGTCGACATATTATTGTGCAGACTTGTTCCTCTTGTCAAGATTATCATGAAAAACTTCTGTCTGGTCGATCAAATGTTTTGCTATCATCTTATTGTTGAAACAATAGTTCTAATAATGCACAATCATGGTGAAATCGATGGACTAAAATATGATTTGTCATAAAGTTTGACTTATATAAACTTCTCTGGAGTGATTCCCATTACGAGTATGGGAAGATGTGTTAATCTTATCTTAGACTCATTTATGGAAAAAAACCGGAGTCAGATGATGTACAGAATAATGCCTTTATTCATTGGATTATCTTTAATGATTTCTTATGAACCGACATATTAACTTTGTAATGGCTACATTTACAGACTGACTTATTTATTCTTTATTTCATTAAGATTGGTAATTATTGTTTATTAAATTAAGATTGGTAGTTCTTGTCAAATACACATGTTCAAAATTCATTTAACTTTTTTCAGCATCCACAATACATATACATTGATTAATTTTGAATAACTTCTACTGTATTTTAGGTATTGAGACTTGTGTATTACCTCGTGTCCTTTGGATTCTACGGAAAATATGAGGACATTAAGAGACTGCTGGATCCACTTATGTCACTTCTTGATGGGCGACATGACAAACCGTATCCAAATATTGAAGGTGATTCATACAAGTCAAATGAGCTCTTACACTTGGAGTATTTTTTACCTGAAGCTATCGATTTTTAAAATTAATAAAAGATTATATTCCGTTTTTACAAGCTATTTCAGAACATTATCTTTAACATTATGAATCTTTCCGGACAATATTTTTTTTGCATTGACATTTGCGTTTTTATGAGAAATATTATCCTGTATTCATGTACTCTATTTTGTTCAGTCTCAAATGGAGGATTCTACAAGTTTCCTATCCACGTTCTGATACTGCGTTAGAACCATATTTGTCTTTAAGTTATCTAGATAGTTTCTAACTAAATGTTGTTGTTTTTTTTTGTATTTTAGGAAAGGAGGCAAGGGAAGTTTTGTTTTCGTTTCGTCAAAAAGATAGATTTAAACCTAGTCCCGAAACAAAGGCGATAATTGAGGCTAAAATTCAGTAAGGCTTAATTACAAAAAATAATTTTTGAGAGGTTCAGTTGTCTGTGTTTTCAGATTTGTGTTGATATTTTAAGCATTAAGGCACATTTATGATTTGTTGAATTAAAACACAGTATTTACTATACCAACTGCACTAGATAAATAAAAACGTAGATCTATACAACGGGTGCACCTTCGTTACTTGCTGCAACACTTTCATTTCAGGGCTCTGGAGGTTCTTGATTTATTCTTCAACTTAAGGTTCAATAACAGACTGGAGGAGGAATATGACAACATGGTCAATTCGATAATTTTGAGCAGGAGGATAAGTAAATGAAATCACTGTTTGAAATTAATATAAGCCATAAAAGATTTATTCGTACATGGTAAAAAGATATCAATATGTTTCTGTCATCAGTTATGACTCAATTAACATGGTATCTGTATATACACTTTATCTTTATAAATTATTTAATATAAAATTTTATGTTTCAGAAATTTATCTTTATGTTCAAAATTGTTCACGAACAAATGAATAGACCAAGAGCGGTGTCGGAGTTTGCCCCTTTGATGAATGAGGGGTTTGAATTAGAGAAATATACAAGGTAAGACATTTTTTAAAATTATAATAATTTTTTGTCGATTTCTTTAAAATACATAACGAATCATACTCGTAAAGAATATACAATACCGTGTGTCAATTATTTTTTATCGTTTTTGATAAATGGAAGCTATGCAATGCTAGACTTCATAGAAATTGTACTTTACGTACTTTGGCAGTAACATTTTGTGAAATTCATTTTTTTTTTCATATATAATTTACAATCTGTTTTCAGACTTGCTAAGAGAGCAAAAAAGAAAATGGCTGATATATTTGATGCAACAGCTTTCATGAAGCAGTACAACATTGTAGAAATTCTGATTGTAAGTTCTAGATCTTGTATAAGCAGCATCAATGGACACTAACGATTTCATTTAAAGTGTATGATTACTTCATTTTATTTCATGCAAATTCGTCGAAGAAAATATCAAGTCCTGTGTTGAGTTCGAATTAAAAGCAACGCTGAAAACAACCACCAGCGTAGTTGTCAATGAAGATAAAGTATTTTACCTCACTATGTGGAAAGGCAACAGCTATTTTATATTATACTGTACAATTATGATTTATATGAAAGGGAAAGTATTTAGTTTATGCGAGTTCATTTTAGTTGGATTGTGTTATAAGCTATAAGCTTATTGAAACGATCTTGAATCCGTACCTTGAACTAATCAATACTTAGCAAAGAAATGATCCTTGCTTACGTAAACAACGGCTTGAACCAACGCGGGTAGATATCCTTAGATCACTAGTCCTACTCGTTAACCATTCGGCCACGCCGGCACAAGCATTTCACATTAAACTTTAAAACTAATCTTTATTTCAAAAAAGTTGAGAAAAAGTGTCTTGTTTGTATAAGGGAAGGAAAGGGCAGCGCAATACAAGACAAACACTAACTGTGATCAGGGCAGTTCTATTTGTGCGATCAAATCAATGAGAAATAATTTAAAATTAAGGTACTCTGGCAATGAGTGTTATAATTAAAACCCATAACTATTGTAACCGTTACAATACATAATGTCACTAAATTCCGGACTATACTCATATGCATCCACCTGGTCGTATTTGTCCAAGAATTGCGTTTGTCGCAGATTATAGACATATACATACGAAAATCGTGTACCTTTCAGTAATTTCTTCAATGATCAAGGAAGGAAGTTCATTGTAAAATCACATCTTTCTTTTCAGGACCTGTCACAGTATGAGTATAGTGACATTGTGAGGAAGTCAATGCATTTACTCAACAGATGGTTCTCGGCGTATCAAAATCTTTTCAAAAGGGCTGTTCTCACTCAGGTATACAACTTCGTCTTGAACACATGATCATTCGTTATCATTTACGCCATATCTAGCTCATACCATCTTGCATTTGTATACCAGAAATGTAACTGTCCTTTGAATTGTATGCTATCTAGTTCAGTTTTAATGACTTTTGATATCAATTCGACGATACTGAACAGGCGCAACACTTACCTCACAGCAAGGAAATTCTGCAGACTGACTGGTTCTATACCATGGTTCTATCACTTATAGGGAAAGGGAATAAAGCTCAACATGCAATCATCGATGGATTTCTCACTAAACCTATAGTTTTATTTTTGGGGTATTTTGCATTTAATCATTATGGTTCTTTGTAAGCGTTTATAAAGTCGATATACTTCCCCTCGACACTTCGTCATATTTCCCTTTTATGCATCTTGTTCTAATCAAAAGTTACATACGACAAAAAATGATAGTTGGTAGACTAATTTGAACCGGACAATACATAGATAAATCTTCAAAAACGACGTATGCTTCAGGTTTTGATCACGGATGAATCTGTTAAAGTTTATAGACGTGTTGAAGAATTATTGCCAGAGTTACGTAGACTTGCAGCAAACAGGATGGGTGACGAGGAAGCAGTGCAAGTGGTGACAATCCTCCAAGAAATTATAAGGTCAGTTCATTACAATAGAAACTTTTAAGTTTGGGTGTTAAATTATTTGTTATGAAGAAGCAAAATTAAAAGTGGTGTCTTGGCTTCTATGCACAATACAAAATCACTATGACTGTACTTAATACCAAAATGCAATGGAAGCAAATGATGTGCAAATATGGTTAATGAGAAGCTTATTTTGGAAATTGTGAAACGACTCTAAAAAGAAGAATTTAATTAATATTTTTGGTTAAAAGGGCTTAATATGGATTACATACAAATACCGAAATAAATATGCTGTACAAAAGTGGTTTTGTCAAAACATTCATATATTGTATATAATAAATGATTTCCTATCTAAAGTATGTATGCATGTACGGACTTTATATATACGACGGTCATTCAATAATTGAAAGAAAATTATGTGATATAGACCTACCGTATCTATATTCCTTCAAAGTAACTGCCCTTGTTTATAACAAACGCTTTCCAACTGTTCGACAATTCCCGTTGTGTGATGTGTTGAAGCTCTGTGGCCACGGCAACTTTAAGTTTCTCTAAGTCATTTAATCTAACACTCCTGAGTGACATTTTGAGTTATGGAAAAGGGTCATTTTCACAGGGACTCATGTCCGGCGAATAGATGAGGGGGTTGAGGCAACACTTCCAAGTTATATTCCTCGCCTTTTGACGTCACTGGGTGCGATCCATGCAGTGTTGCGTTATCATGAATTTACATGCCCCTGTTTTTAAGAGCGCTGGTCCTTTTTTCAGGATAGCTGATCTCAATTTCTCTTTCAAAAATGTTTCATAATACTTCTCGTTAACTGTATGTCCAACAAGAACATAACCTTTTGCCAATACATTGCCATAACCTTGGCTATAATTGCGAGCTCTTTCAGGTTTCCTTAAACGTCGAAATATTGCTGGCCTTGGCGATCCTAGACTGCGCCATTCTGAGGACTGTGACTTTTTTTTTCGGGTTCATAACTACGAAGCCATGTCTCATATATTGCAGTGTATTGCCACAATGTAGTTTGGATACTGTTCACCTTTATTTTCATATCTTTTTAAGTGATTTTCTACAATCACTAACCGGTCCGTTATTTGGTCCCGCGTGAGATAATGTGGCAACCATCTTGCAGACACTCGGCACATTTGCAAATGACGTGTAAGAATTGTATGAATTGACCCAAAAGAAATACCAAAAATTTAGCTAACTTGCTAACTTTATGTAAATCGCCGATCTTCATTCAATTGGTCCCTAACTTTTTCAACATGGAACTTGTCAGTAACCTCCGCTACTGGGACCATCGAAAACATCAAATTTTTAATTTGAAAATCGCCATATCCATCTATCAACTGTATTTAATGAAACAGCAGATTTACTGCAAGATTAAAAAAATGATTGTGTATTTCCTTTCCCGTTTTCTCCCTCAAAAACTCTATTTTTATATATACAGCCATGACCCTTGAGCGACGTTCAAATGACGTCATATATATGTGACGTCATATGTAGCACGAGAATGTGTTCTATGCCAATTAATAGCTTAATTAGTTTGTCATTTATACATAGTTTAATTATTTTAAAATGAAAGACAAAAACGTTATGCGGTCATTATCAAAACTTATTGAATGGTCCTCGTATTCTAACAACTAGCAGAACTGTATAAGCTGTGAAAGGTCTCTATACCTAAAATACAAGTAAATTAGAATACTGTGGTAGGTTAAATGCAATTTTGTTTTAGCTTTCATTCATTGGTTTTAAAACTGTAATGTAAAGTGTAGAATTTATATAATTTTTCCTCATGAGTTCTTATTTTACATTTCAGTTTTTGTCATTTACCGGACGCAGAGGAAGAACCCCACCCTGTAAACCAGACAATTCTTTTCAATAGTGGTTGGTATTCTTAAATAAAAATTAATATGTCGCAACTTTAGAGCATTTGCAACTTTCATTGGTGGTTGTATTTAGCTATAAATCCGAGGATCGCTAGTTTGATCATTTTTCAATCAATTAAAAATTACTTAAAATCTTCTCTGAACCGAGTTCTTGTGCGTTGATGTCTGCGTCGTTTTTCAAGCATGCAAATACATGTATTTTGTTCTCATTTAGGATTATTTGAAACCTGAAAGCTAAAACTATTTTCGTCGGTAGTCATATTTTATTTTAGATATTGACATCCAAATTATCGTTAATGTTTTAATCGTTTATAGATACAACACAAACATAGCTTTAAAAACTTTTCTTTTTCAGGAATCCTAGAAATAATGTTCAATTTTCTGTCAAAAGAGATAGACGTGAAGATATTGGTAAGGTTTTCGATAACTGCATTTGTCAACACTACACGCGTATTTCCCTTTTTATCTAAAGTATGAACAGCTATCATTTATGATCACTGTAATATCAATCTACATAGATTCTAGATAGATCTGTTTTGATGATTTTTTTTTATTTTACAACAGATATTTGTCTATAGTAAGCACGTGTAAAATCATAAAAACAAACACCTTTAGATCGACAAATGTGTCATGGAATTATTATTCAAAAGCTACCTGATTATTATGCTCATCAAAGGCAAACTATGTAATGGGTTTATTGTCATTTAAACTGTCTGGAAATGCTTTCGCTTTTTTTGATATGTTGTTGCTTTAATGTATACGTTCTTGTACTTATACAATTAAATAATGAATTGGACGTTAGATTTTTTATTCATATTTTACTCTGTCATTATAAGAGTAACTTAAATTTGTATAGGATCACTATGCAGGGCTGCTTAAAGTGTTTGAGTGTAGCTTTGTTATGCTTAAACTTCTGGCCAGTAGCAACCATGTTATTCAACAAAGGCTCTATGATCGCCTTGAACTAGTTCTGTCAAAGAAAGGGGGATTTGTACAAATGGCTGAGCTTGTTGCAGAGGTAAGAAATCTATGATTTAGTTAAACCACTTTTATCAGAAAGTATTTTGTTTTATGGCACAGAATGTTAACATATATTTGTTGCATCTCAGATATCAAAGATTTCATATACTGTTTTAACATATTTAATCCTTACTCCTTAAGTCTAATTATGGGTATTATTCTTGAATACTGACAGGAGATCAAATTGTTAGAAAAATAAAAGGAAAAGCAAGACAGTAAAAAAACAAGACTCGCTATGTGTGAGTACAAACAAAGGTTTTTTAATACGCTGATAAAAATTGAATTCTTAGATATTTATTGGGAATACACATACAAGTATGAAGATAACAGAACATCAGATGCATCAGATAATGGCATTGGTGGTAAGGCATCGAATAGAAGTGCCACAGTTCATTGGTGTTCTAAAGTCTGTGATGAAAATAGAAGAGTCGGACATGTCACTGAAACGTAACCAGATCATGGTAATGACGACTTTCATGCAGTACAATACCGAACTAGCTATCAAAGAAGATGAAAATGAAAGGTAGGTTACAAATGATCTTCCACTCGAAACAAATCACTGCTTGAATATTGTCAGCAATTTAGCTATTGTCTTTTAATTAAATTTTATATAGGATACCGTAACGTCTCCAAACAAAATATGCAGTATGCATTTTTAAGTGTTTTACATTTTACTTTAGTTGTTTTTCAGTGGCTAGTTTCATATAAATAAGTATAGGCGTTTTATACTGTATTTTCAGAATGAAGTTACTTTTGTCCGATAACACAAAAGAACTTGACTTTTTCATTTCCGTTGTGGATTTACTTGCTACTTGTGCAGAGGTAATAATTTAGTCTAACCTACATCGGTTCACTGTCTGTCTTTATCATAGACGCAAATATAGAGGTGATAGAAAAGATCTTTCTCAGTAATATAACATTATGATTGATCTAGAATTGTTAATCATACAGTGTCGTTAACTTAAATGTTTTGTTCACAAAAGCTTAAGGAATAACATTAAAATTAAGTGTACAAGATGACCAGCAACAATAAAGATAATGAATGAATTAAAATGCATTGCAAATGATCAAAGAAACTTTACAGGGGACAATTTTATAAATCTTTCGGAAATAAAACGTTCTATTCATGTTGTATGTAAAAAGAAAACTTTGACATACAAAAAAGAACAAAATATGTACTGCATCTATATTTATTTAAATAATTTTAATCTTCACAATAAAAAGAGTTTATTTCATGAAAATTAATAAAAGACATATTATAATCAGCACCAAAAACATGATGTTCTCGATCTTACCAATGTGTATGATAAGGAAGACGGTTTTTGAAATTTGGATGCATGTGATATAGTTACATGGCACTCTTGTTATTACATATTTAAAACTATTGAAAATTTGTATATATTATACGAGTTGTTGTAATTTTACAGGGAGAGAACAGATTCATCGAGTCCATTTGCCAGACTATATTCAAGATTCCGGAAATCTTTAAAGTGCTTAATCATCCAACGATCAGTGATAATCTAAAGAGACCTTATCTTACATTCCTGATTGGTTCCTACATGCATACTGCCAGTGGAATGATTGAAAGTGGGACCGGCGATATTCCCCATGACCCGTAAGTATTTATACTTTGCATTACAAGTTGGACACATAAGCGACTTTTTTCAATAGAAAAAATAACCTATATTGCCTTTACAAGAAGAAATAAAAACGTTTCCAAGAAAAGATAGTAAATTTGCATGCATAATTCCAGAGAAGTACTATAAGTACTTAGTAATTATATTTAGAAATGTACAAGATATATAAAACACCCGTTATAAGAAAATACTTGGATTAATGTCGTGTGACTAATGTAAAAAACTAGTATTGAAGTATGGTAACATTTTCTATTGCAGAATAACGTGGGAATATTTAACTAATGTTAGTGCGGCATTAGCTAAGGTGACAGGGTACACAAAGAAAAGTCGGCAGCAAGTCAAATCACTTTTGAAGAAACGACCAGCAAATGGGTTGGTATTATATAACAATAACATGTCCGTCGCTGAACATTAAAGGTACCCCGACGTGACAAAAATGAAACTTGTATCATTCGCAAAGACCCCCACAATTAGTGAACAGTTTTATTTGCAAGCAACCATCCAAACCCGCTAGCCCCGGCGGAAGACGAATTCGTATTTTAAAATATAGTTTGATATCTAATTTATCACTTTTTATTGTTAGAGTATAATTTAATGAATTTTGATTTAATAGATGAAAACATTTAAATAGCTTGAATTTGAAGAGTAATTGCAGTTGGTTGGAATAACACTTTTGTTTAATTATTAACTTTTTCGTAAAAGAAGTGAATATTTTAAAGCCATTACTTTTCAAATTATTCCTTTAGTATATTCTAATACCGTTATTTTTGTTGAGACACACATCCATTTTTTTTAAATAAAACAAAAGAAATGAATCAATATTCAAATAATTGAATCAAAAGTATGAGTGAAAGTTAGATAAAATAGTTAGTTGTTATATATTTTAGTTTGAATATTTTATTTTTTCATCATATTAGTTATTTTATGTTATAAGTTTTTTTCTTACCTTTTATTTTAATTACACATATTGACAATACTATAAATTGAAGTAATCTAATTGTTGGCCTATTTTTTATAACTTATAAATGAGCATATGGGTGCTATGTTTTATATTCTTGTTATTGGGAGTGAAACGAGAGACCTTCTCTACATGAAACGTTATTTGCCCTGTTAGACCGTTCCAATAGTTTGGTCGAATTGGTTGTTGTTGTTGCATTTAATTGTTTAATGTTCTTTTTATGTCTTTTTATACATATTATGTTGAGCCTTTTGAATGCAAACAATTCTTTATTTCAGCGCATGTAATGGAAATGAAGTTGAGGATATGAGTGGCAGCTTACATTATTTGTTCGATGGTGTTATGCCCTTTCTTCAAGTAATCTATTTTTATTTCAATGCAATGTTACAATATTAACGTTTCAAAAATTCTATTTTTATTGTTCTGTCCTTTTAATAACACAATTATATACTATTATTGTGTTTGTCTGCCTTTAGCATAGTATCTTACTTCTTTAAACACACAAACAAAAAATGTTCGTTAATCACAATAACTGTCTGACTTATATAATTAATATATCAGGTTTTCTGTACAAGTTACTATGAAGTTGATAAGGAACACTACCCGAATGAACCAACACAGTTGAAGATTCTCGCTGAAAATTTCAAAGTAAGTATATTTAATAGTTGCTTTTCTCGGTGTTGTTTTTATAGTTATGCAATTACGAATGTCGCTCTATGTTTAATGCTACAAAGTATATTAAAGAAAGAAATAATAAGCAAACATTATCAATATAACAACAGGCTATATATTACTTCGAATGTAATATTGTTTGTCAATAAGACAGACATACATAATGACAGTCCAAACGTTCTGCATAATTGGTATTTGATCTTGCAAATGATTAAAATTAGCAACACAATACTAAGTCGAACCTAACAAGTTAATGGTTGCTATTATCATCAGACTTGCGATTACGTCCGACCAATGTAACTGAGTGCTTATCAACTATCGTCATTTGTCCAAAGAACAAGGTGAATATAAATTTATCACATGAAATCCATTTTTGTTTATGAACAAAAAATGAATAACATAATGTGCATATAACATTTTATTTTTTCCTTTAAGAATACAAATATAATTCATAGCAAGGTTACAAGTGCTTATTACATTATACGGAGAGAGTTATAAAGTTCATGACGTCACTGATTTGGTATCTAATTGGATACTGTTATTCCGACACGTTCTTTGTCATTGTAATATTATGTTACACTTCGGTATAATTTACAGACATTCTTTGAGGAGATTGAGCCACTAGTTACCAATGAGAAACAGCTACAGAAGATGATTACATGCATGGGTCTTCTGTTCTCCACCAATGTTCTATCCACTGAAGACATGGACTTATTTCAAGAAAAGTATGGGCACGGTATGGCTTCGCATGACGTCCGGAGTGACGCTAAAAAGGTCAGTGCCTTAAGACTGGTAAGGGAAACAAGCAAAGATTCTAAATGCTGGCCAAACTACTTTTGTTTGGAATCATTGATACATGCCATTCTAAACTTATGTTAAAACCCATTATGCCCCAAATGTGTTTTTACTTTTCAGAAGATTCAATATTTAGTATGCAGTTATTATTTACAAATATACTTATTGGCAAATTGCCTGAACAATCTCTTGCTACTGCTGGGTTTTTGCATTTTTTACAATAATAGTGATTTAGCGTTTTGGAAAACAAAATTCTTCTTTGTTTACATTTTGCTTTTCGATGACAAATAATTTCACATTCAGAACTGCATTCGTCTGGTACTAATTATCTAACATGCTCTAAAACCATTACTTCAACATAAAGAAATAGAGAAAGCAAGAAACTAACGTTTGCTCTTCCTCAAAAGGAAATAAGCTCGTTTTAGCACACAATGTGCCTTTAATTCGTCTTTAAAGTAGTACAAAGCAAGAAACTAATGTTTACTCTTCCTCAAAAGGAAATAAGCTCGTTTTAGCACACAATATACCTTTAATTCGTCTTTAAAGTAGTACAAAGTGTGTAGAAAATTGTATGTTTGGAACGTTAGTGGCGTTGATATAAATACTGAGTTACATCAATGTTTTCAAACGTTCTTGCACCTGTTTACAACTCAATATAAACACATCCTAATTAGATAATTATTCACTGAAATATGACATATTACAAACAGACTCTTACTGTATAAAACTAACAGAAATATGACGAATGCTATAGTGGAGAAGAAGACATCAGCGAACAGCTAAGTGTGTTTGCAGTAAACATGAGTGCCGCTTACGGTGGTGTAAATGATGTTCAAACACAGATTGGATTCCCAAGCAAGCGAGGTTATTACATCTACAATATTTTAATATCATTTTGAATAATATACGTAGTTCTTTTGTTTACTGGGATTGCCGAGCTTTGCATTTTGTTTCTTTAACTCAATATTTTGAGCGACTTCAACTCATCACTACATTCCGGCCATACAATCATTTTTGCCATTGCGATGCAAATAGTTTAATTAAGTAGGCAAGCGTTTTCATTCCATTTCTATTTTGTTTGAATACTTGTAAAGTTTTATTCCGAAAACTTTTAATTAAATATTTGTTTTCATATTTATTCATAACAGTATAGAACAAATACAATTTTTGCCAATATTTTTAGAATATCTTTTAAATTATCTAAAACTAAGAAATCATGTCATAGTTTAGTCTTGATTAGATAATGTGCCTCAACATAAATTCTTTTCCATTACAGCGTACTCAGAAATAGGAGGGGATGAAATGTTACCTCTAAGTGAAGAGTTTCAAAATCATATCAATGTCTTTATTGATCACAACGCAAAATCACCGTTGCAAAAGTATAAGCTTAGTGAGAAACTGGTTCAACAAATGTCGTAAGTATTCTTTTATTGGCTGATGCTCTTTTCTAGTCTTGTGATAAGGTAGAAGGGATATATCAGAAAATATTCTAATTGGCTGTTGAGCAAGACCGAGAAAACTTTTATCTGTCAAAAATTATGAGGTTTTTGTTTGTTTCTTTGCTTATTATTTTTTGTTTTGTTTTGGAAGTCTTTTACTTAATGTGTTGTTAAATTGAGTTTGGGTTTGCTGCTTTTTATTAAGTTTATTTTCTTGATTTTAATTTTGGGAGGAGAGCTGAAAGTGTAGTTTAGATGTAACTTTTTACGTGCACAGGTGATGTCATGATATAATATTTAGAAATATTGCGTGTATGATGTTAATTTATCTATATACAAGTTATTTTATAGGAATTGATAAATTCTACAATAACTTTTACTCCAAATAAAGAATACCGTGTGCTTTATTTATGCCCTTTGCCAGTATACATCTGCGGATGTTTCTAAATTCAAAATTTCACTATTTTCGTGTTTAAATATTGAATATTGCTTAAGCCGGTGCTAGGAGTTGGGCGTGGATGGTAACTTGCACTTACCAGTACCGTTCGTGAACAGGCTCAATCAACCCGAGCCTGCAACATTTTCAATTTTGTTATTTTGGACGTTCTTTAGGGATTCTATTTTTCCCAATTTATAGTTTGTTACTTGCAAATATGGTAATTTGCTTTAATTGATTTACAAAATTCCTCGAATAAGAGATATTCATATTATTATTTCTACCATTTATTAACTTTCATTTTCATGTTCTTCATGTAACTCTTAAAATAAATTTGTGTGTTAGATGTTGAGTACATGTATTTCTTGTTGGAAGGTATCAAGTGCATTATTAGTACATAAAAATGAGTTTTATTTATGTTTTAAACGAGATACTTTGAATAATAAACTGACAGGGGTTGGCGCTCATAATATTAAGAATATGTAAATACTACTTATTTCCAATATTGAATAATAACCACGGTCCACCATGTATGATTTTATCCCACACCTCATAATATCTCCTTTTATCTAACATTGGAAACTTAAAATTTTCTTTGTCGTGATATATAAAATCTCATGTTTTACAAGAATGATGTTGTGAGAAATATGCATAGCTTACAATTATAAGTATAAAGTCAATTGATTCTCTACGAATATACACAGTGGTATATTGTATGTTGATCAGAAATAAACTGCTGCATCCTTTAGAATACTAATTGTTTATATCACACTATCTAATTGGCAAATAACACTTAGCAAGGTGCAATAACATTCCATGTTATATCTAACACAATTAAGATATGTCTATCTACCTCTCCATTTAGAATTAAATCATTTGCATTATTTTAAGTGCACCAAGTATACTTTTGTATAATGATTACCATCACAAAAATGTCTTTGCCATTACAAACATTATTGGACTTGCCGACTATTATTCAAATAGTCGGCAAGTCCAATAATGTTTGCACAGCTAGGCATTGATCTGAAATATATCTCTATTCAACCGTATTATATTAAAGCCGACCTTGTAAAATAACTGTATGTTAACATCTAAACATAGAACAAATTTCATTTTTATTTTAAGGCAAATAAATTTAGTTTTCATTTTTGTTGCAAGTAGTAAAACTGTAGAATAAAAGTAATTTTTGAAATGGTTTTCTGTTGTTGAATGTATATATGTTAGCTATGGCTAACGACTACTCGTATGATGAAATCTGAATGAGTTATCTCGTATGCATTCTAAAATCAACCATACAATTCAAAGCGCTGTCAGTCCAATTCTTTTGTACATCAGTGGAACCACACTGAAGAAAAAAACGTGACCTGTTTGCGATACTTATATAATATATTTATTTTTCATTATGAGTATAGAATGCCATGTCAGTTGTCAAAAATGAACGAAAAAGAACGTTTGGAACAGCTTGAACTTGACCTGAAGTGCATGCAACTACTTAGGGGTATGGTTCACAACGAAATTGTCAAGTTGCCTGAAAATTTTGAACACGAACCACAATCTTCAAAGAAGTAAGTTGATGCAACGAAAACTCAAAGTGAATATATAGAGAACTTCTAACATTAAATGAACTTGAATTTAATAGTAGGAAGTAATTCATAATATTGGTTACCGATTCCGTCGCCTCTGCTTTCATTAGGGTACAAGGGACTCATGCTGCTGCAGCACAGGAACACCGGGGTAAGTTTATGTTATAAGTATTTGGGTACGGCGACAGCTCTGACACCTACGATTGTCTTAGCTTCCTGACTGACTACACTTCATCCAGTCTATAGCTGACTGGACTAGCATACAACTTGAAATGCTTAGATAAATTAATAACATGTTCTGCAAATCCTTTCCAACCCATCAAATACAATAATTGTTAGTACCAAATGATAAATTCATAATTTCTTGAACTATTTTTAGACAACTTAAAGTGATAGAAGATGTTCAGAATGCCCTGAATCACTATGGCAGTATTGCAGGAACTTTGGAACATTTGGCACGTGCAAACGATGATATAGTGAGAGAACTGTTAGCATTTTTGGTGGCGTTATTATTCAATAGTAATGCAGCTGTACAGGTATGTGTGGTGATGTGTGGTGAATATAAGCACATTCAAAGGTGTATATAACAGTACCATGATATAAATAAAACACTTCGAAAAGATTTATAATGAATATTTGTACAGTTGTAAAGCTACCTTCTGGTTAAGATTTTATTATAATTATGAATATGTCACTTCAATTCGTCGTGGTTACAAGGTTTTATGATTATATAGTTCTTTTCGTAAATAGTTTAAGGTAATATTTTGTAGAGAATTAAACAATCAATGTGTTTATTTTGTGCATATTGTGATGATATTATACTTTGCAATGGCAAATGACCTGACTGTGACAATAATACAAAAATGAACTATGTATGCATGATAATTGCTTTAAAATCAAATTAATTGCCGAAAATATAAAAACAACTTTTCCGTCCCCTTATGTAGGTCGTATTTGAATTGTACAACTTTTAAAAAAATTACCAGATTTGAAATTCAATTTTGTTCATATAATAAGACAGTTATTGTATGAAGATTTCGGTGAATAACCAAATATATGGACCTTGTGCTCGTTGAATATCACATTTTCCAGGTCCATAACTTCAGTATTCACCTCATCGTCATATTATTATTGAAAATTATTTTAAGCAATATATTTAAAAGCAACAATGTCTGGTGATATTGAACAATCGATTGTATATAAAATTTTAAACCAATTTATATGTACTTTTATTTTAATTACTTTAGTGTCATGTTAATTGTTATTTTGTTTCAGTCAACTCTTCATGAATATTTTTTGTCTGCAAAGGACGAAACTTTCGTGTTAGCAATTAAAAACAGGATTAACCTTTCGATAATTGCAACACGCGAAAAGTAAGTTCAAAATACCCTAACATAGAAGTTGATGTCGAGCGAGCAAGTTTCACGGATGATTTCACGTAAAGGCTGTCGTGCATTAACTAGCTCAATAGCATTTTCATCGTTTTAGTTTTGTAGAGATAACACAAACGGCGTATAGGGATAAAAGAATCCTCAATTTCGTAGACATTAACATGTTCCATTTTGTTCTTGAAAGTTATAATGAGCGTTGCAATCCTCATATAGTAATGGTATATTATTTAACTATTATGTCATTTTTGCTGGTGTATTTTGAAGCAATTCTTGCTATTCTGACGTTAGAACAAACCTATTTTAAATCAATTATATCATAATTTTTAGAGCTGTTGTATTCAAAATATACTAATATGATATCCTAATTGACATTATACAATGCTTCGTTATATAAAGCTATTAAAATGTATAAAGATATTTTAATATTTCACAGACGAGTGCTCCAAGCATTGCGCCAATCAAAGATAGAAGAAACAGTTGCTCAGGCAAGAGCTTTGAAGAAGGCCATGAAAAACGGGTCATTGGCAAATTTGGTATATTGCTGTTTGTTCTTTGTGTTGTCTATTCTTTAATAATTCATGTTGGGAATTGATTTGAAAACATAAATTAAAAACAAAGAAATAAATATCTTTAAACGAAAATCCTTGACAATTAACTAGTTTTGCAAACTTATTTAAGAAAATTTAATCACCAGGAATTAACGCAAATGACGTCATGTGAAATTGATTGAACATTATTTGAAATGGTTGAAGTGACGGAAAATACAATTTGACTTTGTTGTTCTGTTTTAGGCGGTGTCATCTCTCTCAAGAAACCTTAAAGCTTCAATGGCGTCGATGAAACAGTCATTTTCTTCTTTACCAAGAGCCCAAGGGAGTAGTGTTCATTTAAAGGTAAGACATACGAGCATAATATTTTAAAAATCTTGACATATTCTAAAAGAATAGTGTAAATAAAGAAACGATTAATGCTAAGTTTGTCTTAGCTATAGTTTTTAGGTAGGGCAATGCTTTATGCAAAGTTAAATCTTATAATGCAGGTCTGGCTGCAAATGGATACAGTTGTTAATTTAAGGTTAATCCGGATCTGGTTGTAGTCTTTGCTTATAATATGTGTTGTTTGATTGCTTTCTTCAGACTGGCCATGAAGTAAAAATTAACGGTCATCGGTACTGAAGTACAAATGAACGGTTCTCGGCATACTATGGGCGTTCCAGACCATACACGTGTACCTAATGGTCTATCTGACACAAAAATGTCCAACACTCAACCACCAGCGAAGTGGGTGTCACCAAGCAAAGTAGCTCCTGTGGCGAACGGCCTACATGCTGAAATAACCGTTCAAGGCATCACAGTAGACGTTGCAGTGTCTAAACTTAATAACCAAGATGTTAACAAAGAAAACGGCCAGGAGGTATTTTTTTTACAAATGTGTGGTTTCTTGTGATTTTGAACTGATAGTTTATGTAGAATAAATAAGCTTATTGTGTACCAGAAATCTTTCAAGTTAATACATCTTAGATACAGTGTAAGCTCCTTGGATAATTTGCAACAATTTCTAAACCAAACTGAATAAAAAGGTGTGATACAGCTATTTCTGAAAAGTATAACAATATAATAAAGCTACATATTTTCTGATACAGGTTCAGTGATCTTATTTTGCTTACACTGAGGAGTAGGTACTTCATTTCAAAACCAACTGTATCTTGCTTAATGTATTTAACTATTTATTGTATATAAAGCGAAGAGTTATCTTGATCTTGATGATGCCTTTACATTTATGCCTAGTTAATTACTAGTATCCTATTGCTTTACGTTTTTTAGTTGAAAGTAGAAATAAATGCTATGAAAACAATAATATATTTAGTTTTGCAAATGTCTTATATCTATATAAGAGTTATAGCATACTTTTTGTTGATAAAAAACAAAGCAATTTGCGTATATCAGAACAATAACATACCGTTTTATATTTCATATATACCTGCTTTATGCCTTATTAGAAAGATAACATTTCCAGTTAAGCACTTAAGCATGCTATACAAGTAGAGTATATATTAACTTCATATAGACGTGTTTTGACGGCTTTTCAAACCCACACCCCACTTTTGAGGCCTCAAACAGTGAACAATTACCCTATTCAGACCCCAAACACAGTTTTTCGTTTGGAGAAATGTTGCTAAAAAAGTGATCACTTTTTCGGCGCCGCCCCATCAAAAAGATACATCAGGGGGATTGCCAGAAGAGGGATGTCTCCCCTTCTGTTTGGGGGGTTTGAAGACAAGACATTTTGGACTTGCGAGAGGCTAAAAATGACCACAGGTTAATCATATGGTAATGTTTAACCAACGCTGAAAGGCCTTTAATTGACTCCATCTCAATTCATTGAGAAGTTGCAGCACTTTGAAATAAAATTTGATGGAAAACATCAACGCAAAATAGTGATTTTGGGCAAATTTGGGATGTCCACTCGTTGCCATGGTAACTGGAAATTTTAGCATGTCGTTACAAAGGCAATGGTCTAGTCAACATTTGTGCCAGGTTTGATTAGTATTGAAGCATTTATCGTAGTTTCATAGTAGTTTGAACTTGTAACAGGAGGCTTTTCAATGAAAACGGCCATTTTTCACAATATGCTCATGAGGGAAAGGGTTAAGTACAAATAAAACTGTTTTTGTTTCTTTTGTTTCCAGCACGTTAGTATTGCAGACTGAATACCGCTTTTTAATACCGCTTACACCGGTGCTACGAGCGTTGGGGATGTTGCACTTTTACATTTATTATGATAGACACTCAACCAAATTTTGATATAATACTGATGTTTAAATTGCTTCCGAGGGATCGCCACTTTTCCAGATTTTTTTACCATTCAATCTTTATTTATTACAGATAGAAGATGAGTTTGAAGAAATGCTTAACGGAGAAATGCCAACGTTTGAGTTAAAAGATGATGGTTGCATAGAACTTGTGTTGAGACTTTTAGGGAGAATGTGTGATAGCCAACATCAGGGACTACAGGTAATTGAACGAACATTAGTATGATTTAAAAATGCAACAGCGCTGACATGAAATAATTGGGAACTTAACTTTTGTCCGGAAAAAATCATAACCGTAATCAAAACAGATGAAACAGAATAACCTCAAAGGCAATAGCAAAAAAAAATCTTAAAGAAAGCTGAACACGGCAAAATTAAAAACTTTTCAGGCTGTTTTTATTGAGTCTGTTCATGGACGGTATTGATAATTGCAAGCTAACGCCCACGCCCGTATAAACATCCGTATAAAAATGTACCGTTCATATCTACTTATATTACATTTTTCTTCAGAACTACATACGAGAACAGTCAACTAATATCAAGTCAATCAATTTGGCGGCAGAGACAATCAATTTCCTGAACATCATGTACACAAACATCAATGCTGGATCTATTGTTCTGATTACCGAGATATTTGAAACTCTTGTTGAATTCACATCCGTTAGTATTCTTAGATTTATAGTTATCATCAAAATTTCATGATGTCTGTTTAATTGCTAAAACTTGGTCCAATGTTACAAATGAACCAACTTTTTGCGATATATTACAAAAATTGAAATTTTACAGTCTTTTTGTAACTTTATAAAATAACCAACCGTAAGTCAATGTTTGTAAGAGGCGGACCTGTATGTTTGTATATACCATTTTCGTTTGTGATAAGACACGTTTCTTTAATACTCAGAGTTCTTATATATGATATTTGTTGTAAATACTATAATACAATATCGCAAAAGTTTGCTTATATTTTTTGAAAAAAGAAAACATACAAAACAACAACATAAAATGAAAAATCAATCTTTCATAAATTCTGTGCAAGTGTGTGGCTCTTGCGATAAATCTATGTAAAACATTCTAAAATAGCAGTTGCCTACATATAGAAATATCTGTATTTTTATATTTTTGGGGGGACGATTTAATGAATTTGTATCTTACTTAAATCATGTGCCAAACTATAAGACACTTTTTGCTAATTCTGTTTTACAAATATGTCCATTATAATGATTTTTATACGAGCTTTTGTGCGGTGCTTACAATAAAACAATTTTGATCAATTCTTCTTCCTTTTCTAAGATTTTATAAAATAGAAGCAAGTGTATATATTGTTATAAAATTCATAGTGTATCTTACCAATTAAGGCATTCAGCATCTTTCACATTTTAATATGTTGACAGGGAAATTACACCAACCAGGCATTTGTCTTTGACTACAAAATCTGTGACTACATCAACCACATTCTACGAGCAGATGTTTTCAAAGACTGTACAGATTGGCAGGTAAGATTTTATTTGCGGTTAACGCTCATGTGTCTAAAGTTTATTACCAGAACGTTGTCGAGGAAAGTCGATAAGGTAAACTGACCGCCGAGATATGACATTTTGTTTAATAAGGTAATAAAGAGATAAACAGACAAACATTACAAATTAACACCTTAGTGTTTTCCTGTACATCTTGTACACATGAGAATATTTCTAAAAGTTACAATCTAAGATGTTTCGACGATATGTCTTTTGCAGTTTAAGAACACTTTCTTCTAAACTTCCTTTCTTTTTATATGATATCTGCCATGTGTATATAGTTTATATTATGTTAAATGTATGTGAACCCAATTTCATAACATATTACAGGTGTACTCGTTAAAACATGCTATAGGCAACCTTGTTCGGTGTTTGACAGAACAAAACTTTAGCGAAGACGATGATGTAAAAGCTAAATTGGCAAAGGTAAATTCAGTTATAAAACGTGTTTCAGTTATATCTTTTAAAGATGAACTCAAACAATATATCACGAAGTGGACGCAATGTTTTCATAACAAAACATATACTATTTGATCCAGTATGTTTAACTCCGAAGATTTAAATCTAATTAATAAATTACCCTTGCTTCTTAAAACAACATACTTAAGCAAATTTAGCCAAGTATATTCCGGCCTAATTGTCTTAAATAATGTTGACAGATCTGCTTTTCTCCGCGTCTATCAGCTAATTAGTACGTATTGCAATGTATGCCGAGATGAAAAATATTTGATAAAATGAATGCATAACTGTGCATACGATAATTGAAACTCACAAAAAGGTGAAGTATGATTATTTGTATATATAGCAATACTGAAATAAAGTTATTTTGCTAAACAAAATAAGTTTTTACATGATGAATATTTGAAGACTTTTAGAAATGTATGCAAAAATGTATCATTTTCTATAATGTACTGATATTTGTATTTAATATTTTATGTGTATTTATGAAGGAGGTGATGGAGTTTTTAGACACGGCTGTTCTGGTAAATGTTATGACAGACGCAAGGAAATTGCATATGGTAAGTAATTTTCAAACGGCAAAGACCTTAATAACAAACCTTTGAGCTCAAATGATTTTAAAACATGTATTATATACAAAAGTGTTTGAAATAAATGGTCATTTTTAATAGAAAATGTTATATTTCTACAAAAGGGTGTAGACTGATACAAAGTTTGAAAGGATATTTCTTTTTTCTTTTTGTTTTCCTGCAGCAGATGTTTTAGGTGACGGCAATAACTTTTAAGTGAACATGTATTTATTTAATAGTTTTTTAAATAAAGACTAGCATGATATAATTTTATTCAACTCGTTCAATAAATTTAGTATTAACCTTCACTCATGCAATGCCTTCTCTATAACAATAGTTTAATATCATATGAATGTGTTTGAGTTCTTATACAAAGGTCACTTTGTATCAAACAAATGTGTACATACCGATTTTTTTTTATTGAGAATGAACATAATTAATGAAATTTAGCCCCATATTTCAGATCCATAGCAAAATATTGGCACGATTATGCAACGAAATCAGTGAATTTGCCAATCAGAGAGTAACAACTTTCTACAATATTTATATTGTTTTCTGGCTTCCTGATCTTATGTGATATTTTTGCAAAACAGCTGAGTACTTCAGCAATAAATTGTGAACATAGCTACAAAGCTTAATAAACTGACCAACAAATTCTTTTGCATTATTAATGACAGGTTAAATTAAAAGGTTTTTTTTCTATTACTCTACTTTTTGTTATGAAATAGTCAGTAAATACTGATTTAGCTTTCTAACTAGCATGAACTACGTGAACATAAAGCAACTTTTGTAAGATTGCATACAGCACTATCTTAAGATCTTTGCATTACCCCTTTACAGGTGCAAACTTAATTCAATGCATTTGGTACTATATAAAGATCTTAAAACCGTTCACCTTTCTAGTCCATAAGTTACAATAATATATTAATTTATTGCAAATGGCACTAAAAAAGCTTTCAACTTACATTCCTAACGCTTTTAATTGTGCATTAAATGCATGTAGTGATGTTTGAACATATTTGGACCTTCCATAAAATATAAGTTAGATTTAATCAACATTAATATTGACATTTAGTGTTACATGTGAAAAGTTTTAGGTCTTCTTGTTCCATAGTTACATTATCTATCCAATGTATTAAGTACTTTCTTTCCAGTTCCGTATTCAATTTGCATTATCTTAATATCTTAAAATGACATGACCTTCCACACCGATGTCACACTTTTAAGTCTTTAATACTTTTTAAAGACCTTCACTCTTCCAATTCTGTAAGTTACTCAATTAACCCATTGCATTTAGTTGTATTTTAAATTAATATCATCAAGTACACTAGCTATATCAGTTACAATATCAATTCATTAAAATAATACTGTATCTGATAAAACAACTGCATGGTGAACTTAAAAATGCGAATAGTGTATGGAAAGACATATCAGATTCTGAGGCTAAAAAAAGTTTTCTAACATCAAACTAAGAACTCGGGTATATGATTGGTCAAAAATTGCCATAAAATGTACACTGACCAATTGAACCCCTTCAACTTGAGCTAGTGACATGTTCTAAAGCCATTGTTTTACAGTACAAGATGGAGGAGGACTTCACTACCTTATTACAAAAAGTTGGTTATCAGTATTACCATTTGCTGACCAGGAAACTTGACCTGTATCCTGACATGGAAAGAGACAGTGAGTTGTATATTTTGTTACTTCATTTAATCATACAGCATACAGGCTATAGACCCATTTACTTGATGTTGTCCATGTTTGCGCATCTCCCAATTTCTTTTACATTCTCTTTTATTTGCTTATTGTTCGGTAAAGTCAAACTATTAAACATAATATTTGCTTCATTTTAAACTAGTTGATCATAATGACAAGAGATAAGACAGTGTGCTCGACTATTCTCAGTTCTTGATAGTAAAACAAAACCTTCGATCATGTAGAATATTTTAACTTCAAAAAGGTCCACAATTCTGTTGAAATTCTTGATATGGTCATTAAACAGTGACCTCCCATTACGCTCTCAAATAGGTATCTGGAGTTTCATTGCTTTTCATTCAGTAATTATACAGAACGATACGCTCCCTTCGTAGCTCAGTGAATTCAATCCCATTTCTTCACACGAATGAGAGATAGTGAAACATTCGACCGATGCACAGGACAGTAACAGAACAATAGCTCTCCCTATTCTGCGTGTTATATTCATGTTATTTTAATGCGTATTTCGTAAATGTGCTTGAAACCTGAACCACGTTCGTATTATTAGACAAATATGTGTTTTATATCATCAGACATGGTAAAAACTGCAGAAGAAAGAGCAGCGTTGGATTTTTATGCTGAAAATACAATGTCTATTGAGATAGTGAAAAATGGTGTATTACAAAAGATGTACTTCCAGGTCCGAGACAAGGTAATTTGTAACAAATTTATATATGTTTTTATTAAGAGATAATGAAAATGAATAAAAGTTTCTCCGTTTCTTGTGTAGGCACGTTGTTTGTTGTTTAAACAAAATACTGTTAAGGCTTCTTAACGCGGCTCTCCCTAGCGGATATTTACTTTATGATAATTCAATGTGCTGGAATTGACAGATAAAAAAAATAGAAAACGCAGTTCAATTTTTTTCAGTAAAGTACAAAAAATAAAGTGTTCCTCACTATTGATGTCACTAACTTCAGAGCCATACGCCGCTTTTCATGGGATGGCGCGAACTTGTAAACTTGGAACTTGAACGTTCCATGATAACCTTCGTATGAATGCATCTGCTTATGTTTCTAAATTCAAAATTTTAACCATTTCATCTTGTGTGTTGTATTCTCCTTGAGCCTAAACTTAAGGGCGTTGATGGTGCTTTGCACTTTCAAGTACTGTAAATGAGCCTGCTCAGTCAAACCAAGCCTGCAACATTTTTATTTTTCCGTTGTAGACGTTCTTTAGCGATTCTCTCTTTTTCTAATTCATCACAATTTTAGATTTTGGAATATTATATTGCATTATGTTATATTGTCATACAGGGGGTGCTGAGGGAAGAAATTAAAGAAAAATTCAAATATGAGGTGGATAGATCATCTCCTAGCAACAGAATCCGCGACTTCATGGAATGGGTGAGAGATATAATCAAAGACATAAAGTACCAAAGAAAAGTTCGGTCAAATCCTATCGGAAAGTTCCTTGTAAATGCTTGGTAAATATACCTCTATCATGATTCAACAAAATCCTTACTCTCCTGAAAAAGAAAATCTTAAGCCCTTGCCACTAGTGTAGAGCCAGGACTGCAATTCATGGAGAGTCCTTATTGCTAGTGTTTAGGATTAACTAAGGACTATCCATAAAACGCACGCCAGGTCAGCTTGCACTTCCTTGCGTGCAATCTGACCAGGCTGTATACTGCTTGATGACTTATTTTTCATCCTGATAACCACTAAATTTGACAGTTCCAAAATATGGAGGCAAGAAATTTAGCAGTTTTAATCTTGTACCACTGTGATTGTATTTCATGTATTATGGAAATAATGTTTAATAAATTATGGAATTAATATAAGGATCGTTTCAAGCAGACTTCTAAAATTGTGATTTGCTTTATAACTCCGGTAGCTGTTGTGATTTATTTAAATTGTTATACATCAGTTAAGTTCTGAACCTTACGCAAAAATATCTTTTAGAAAAGTTTTACTTACAGAAGCGTTACAGGGCCTTTATTAAGTTCGATCATGATTTGTCAGCCGACTGAATTTAATGCTATTTGATAAAATGTTTTTAACACATTTTATTTTAATTTTATTCACAAAGATTAAAAAGGATACGGGTATTTTTTCAAACCTTTCCTTGATATGCATTTTTGTCTTGGCGAGAAAGTATATTTTTGTGTTTGAAGAAAAAAAACGTTTTTCGACAAAAATTTGCCAAAACAGTAAAACAATTTGAGAAAAGTCACAAAAAGACAAGAAACGGTCTAGTCTTGGCGATCAGATGTTAAAACATTACTAAAAATGAATCAAAATCAGTCGACATAAACTTCAAAACGAAATCGCACAAATCAATTCTCTGCAGACAACATTATTATAATATTTTTGGATATTTTTACAACAATAAACATATTAATTAGCCAAATGTATAGAGATAAAATGTAATCTTTTTCATTCTGTTGTTACAGGTCACCTTTAAATTATGCAGTCATGTTGGTGACCTTTGCAATCTGCGCATTGATTATGGTCACGTGGGAAGCTGGCAGCAGTGATTCTCCCAAGTATAACTTACTACCAAATTGTTTAATTCTTTCAATTAACTATATTTGTTCAGAGTAATAATACCAGTATACCCAATGTATATACGGAATATTATGTTGTGGTAGCAACTTTCTGAGGCTTTGTTGTTTGCTACGAGCAGCATGGGAAAATTGATATCTCGTGAGATCAAAGGCATACCAAGCATATTCATAGAGAGCAATGAAATCTTGATTCTATACAGTCTGTTTTTTAGAGATAATGAAAGGTGTAATACCTCTCATTACCATTACTCCTAACACAGGCTAACGCAATTGACACATACATTAATTTATTTAAGGTTTCCTTACATGAAATTATTCACTGTCGATCTTTGAGCACAAGTTATGTGAAGTGAAGTGTTCAGCGGTCTAAACATTTTAAATTAAGACGTCACATAAAAAGCCAATTTAAAAAAAAACCAACATTTTCGTGTGTTTATTGTTTTCAGATACAATCCATCTTTCACCCATGCCGTCGCTGAAATTCTACTGTATGTTCTCGGTGGTATACACAATTTGTTGTCACTAGCGATTTTCCTCAGCTTTGTCATATCCAACAGACCAAAACTTCCGCCGTTGATTGACTATATTAATTCTTGGAGGTTGGTAGAAAATATAATATCATATAAAAATGTATGTATCTTATATACATGTCTATACATGTATATAAAGATTATGAGACCTACATTTTATATTATTTGTAAGCGTTGTTTGATTAAGAAAAGAACTTTTTAACTAATATAACAGTACGTCAATTGTTGTTTTTTTTTAAATTATTTGACTTTTAAATAATTCTTAATACTGCAAAACGCTGAAGAAGTACTGTTGTGTCTTTGCCTGATTCTAATTTATTCTATCATAAATATTTTTATATAGAAAAAGGGCATTAATAACATTGACTATTACTGATTTATATTAAAGCTTTTAGAGGAAAAAATGGAGAAAGAAGAAAACTTTAAATGCTGGCTCCAAACAAAATACTGCAAAACGCTTAAGAAGTTTTGTGGTGTCTTTGCCTGATTTTAATTTATTATATCATATATATTTTTTCTATTAAAAAAATAAAGGCACTGATATCATTGACTATGACTGATTTGTATTTGAGCTTTTTTGACATTATTTTAGAGGAAAAACGGAAAAAGAAGAAAACTTTAAATACTGGTTGCAAACAACTAAAGACTCTCATTTAGAAGTGAAGGCGTTCGGAAAACATCCTATCTATTATTTTGTATGGAATAATTTACTTACTCCTACTTTTTAAAAGTCCTTATTTCTTTCTTTTTTCTGTTTTTACTCCTATGTTAATACACGGATTACCTGGTTATTCAACCAGTAATTACCAATTTCTTCGCAAGTAATCGGCTACTAATCCCACACGATTTCCGAATTAGCTGTCAGTGAAAAATGACCATCCAAACACAATAACTCACAGGGATTAAACAAACTGTACGAGTACTTAAACAAATGGAAATATCCCGGAAAAAAATGTTGAAAAAATGTTGAAAATATACAAATTAAGTAGACAAAAGTAAAAGAAAAATGTTGAAAATATACAAATTAAGTAGACAAAAGTAAAAGAAAAAAAATGAAAATATACAAATTAAGTAGACAAAAGTAAAAGAAAAAATGTTGAAAATATACAAATTAAGTTGACAAAAGTAAAAGAAAAATGTTGAAAATATACAAATTAAGTAGAAAAAAAGTTAAGTACAATCCCTGATGTGAGGATAATTTACAAAATATTTTAAAGATTAAACTCTCCTAAAGGACCAGTGTAGAAAATTGAATGTTACTTTTGTTTGACATATGGTCGCTCATAAAATGTTTTCTTTACAGTTGCTCTTACATAAAAATGAAAATGAGTTTACTGTATATTATCTTTATTGCAAGGTAATTTTTTACACTGATTTAACTGTTAAACAATGTATCATTGTTTAGAATTGATAATATCTGTAATTAGCGACCACTATCTTTTCTTTCAAAGTATGAGATCACATTGATTGTTGATTATCTAATTATTTGCCCAGTCGACCTGTGAGATATTATATTTTAGATATTTTGTAATTAATTTTGAAACCATGGAAACATTTTGTTATTTCAGCTTTTCCTAGGGTTTTCTATAGCGGGCACGTGCACCGAAGGTTATTTCTTTGCCTTCCATATGTTGCATATAGCGGAAATGAACCTGTTACTAAAGGGGGTGACTCGTGCTATAACAACCAACGGTTTGTTTCATTTTGATATTTAAATTAGTTTAAATTTGATTGTGAATGAAATTTCTGTTCAGTGATGTTGTAAGACGTTCCTTCTTTTGTTGTGTTAAAAACCTTTTTCCTTTTATTATTTTTTTTAGGGCACGAGAAAGTAAAAAATAACAAATCGAGTATGGGGCCTTAAAAATAATTAAAATTTAATAGGGGTTTTAAAATTTTAAAAGTTTACTTTTAAAAAAATTCAACTGATGTCTTTTTAAAAAAAGTACATTAATTTTGAGAAAAAAAATTTTTTTAACCCAAAAAAATTAAAAAAAAAATAACAAACAACTTAAAATGTATTTTGGAAAAAGAACTTATGATGGTAAACAATTCGGGGGTTTTGGGGTAATTTCTTTTAAAATTTTACGCATTGGTCCCTTTTTGGGTTTTACCGTGAATGGTTTGTGGTTGGGCTAATCAGGGAAGACATTGTCGAACAGTTTATGAATGTTTTGTTTCGATCCTTCACCATGGGCTAGCTGGCGAACCCTACAGTGTCAGTATAATTTTAGGACTATTTTCGTATTAGAATTTCTTTAGAAATACAAATACATGTATCATATTTAGAAATATGTTTTAGAACTGTGATTATATTAAAACTTTGAAATATAATTTTGGAAACATTTTTTTAGAAAGATTTCAGACAAATTCAGAAATATCATTTAAGGAATGTTTTAAAAGTATGATTTTTAGTACGGAATTCTGTATCCGCCATCGTCTGTTGACCTAACAAATACACGAAAACAAGAATGTAATTAAGCATGTAATTTTCACTTTCCGTGGTGTAATTTTATCACGAAATGTCGAAAACGTGAAGTTTTTATCGCAAAAATGGTCAAGACAGTTTTCGAGTTGTCGACCAAACATTGAAATTAGAAGTACTAGTTAAAAACTTTTTTCGCTGTGATATTCCCTCGAAAAGTTTTTTATGGGGTCTGCCTATTTACTCCATCATATACTTTTTTCTGTAGACTTTCCATGGTTTGATGGGCGACAATTTCGGACAAGCTATTGGCATCACAGTGTTTGATGTTTCCTTCTTCGTGATCATTACTGTCATCGGTCTCAATATTGTTCTTGGTATCATCGTCGATACTTTCTCACAACTGAGGGATGCAAAGGTATATCATAATGTTTTCTTTTCAAATTTGAAATATTAAAATGTTCCTATGTTTTGTTTTTGTTGCTTTTTTCTGGTCTGTTGTGATCATTGATTCCAAAGCGAGGGGGCGTCCGTATCCGAATGGTTACATTCGTTGACTTCAAACCACTTGCCTCTCATCGCTCATTGGCTTAGCTTCTAACCGCGCCAGGATCTTTGAGAAAGCTATCAAGCTTGCTTCCGAAATATCGGTAGTTCTGCTTAGGTGCCTGTTTAGGCCTGAAATAATACAAAAAGGGCACCGTGGGTCTTCTTTCACAAGTAAAGCTGGAAAGTCGCCTTGTAACCTATATACTGTATTGGTGTGACGTCAAAACCCACCAAAAAAGATTCCAAAACGTTTCCTGTTGAAATTTGAATATTGCCTTAGCCTGCTGCGAGAGTCTTATGAGAGATGTTGCAATTACGATTATATCTCGTGAACAGATTCGGGCGATCCTATTCTGCGATATTCATTTGTTTATTTCAAGTTATTTCCAGTGCTTTCCGTGTAATATCTCTTTTACAGAAGTTTACATTGGATATAATATTAAACTTTAATTTGTCAACATTTAGACCTACTGACTACAAGTGTTAACCTATGTCTACTAAACTAAAAAAGTTCTAAGTGAATTGAAAAGTATTTTTACGAATTCATGTAAAAAGCGCGACGATACATATTTTTGCCTTTTATCCCATGTAACTTGTTTTATAAATTTCAAGCTGTCCGTACTATTTTAAATGTTTAATTTACCAACTGATCTAGTGTTTATCAGAGCTAAATTAAATAACTTACAGTTATACGATGATCAACTTTTGTCTCATTTGGCAAAGCCATTGAAATAACCTGTTTATGAAAATCTGTTAAAAGAATATGGAATCAACTTTTGTCTAATTTGGAAAGCCATTGAAATAACCTGTTTATGAAAATCTGTTAAAAGAATATGGAATTAACTTTTGTCTAATTTTGCAAAGCCATTGAAATAACATGTTTATGAAAATCTGTTAAAAGAATATGGAATCAGCTTTTGCCTAATTTGACAAAGCCATTGAACTAACCTGTTTATGAAAATCTGATAAAAAAATATTGAATTAACTTTTGTCTAATTTGGCAAAGCCATTGAAATAATCTGTTTATGAAAATCTGTTAAAAGAATATGGAATCAACTTTTGTCTAATTTGGCAAAGCCATTGAAATAACCTGTTTATGAAAATCTGTTAAAAGAATATGGAATCAACTTTTGTCTAACTTGGCAAAGACATTGATATAACCTGTTTATGAAAATCTGTTAAAAATATGGAATCAATTTTTGTCTTATTTGGCAAAGCCATTGAAATAACCTGTTTATGAAAATCTGTTAAAAGAATATGGAGTCAACTTTTGTCTCATTTGGCAAAGCCATTGAAATAACCTGTTTAAGAAAATCTGCTAAAAGAATACGGACTTTATCAAGTAGTAGATTTTGGTTTCAAATAGCCACTATGAGATTATACAGCATTAAATGTTGATAAAAAAAGAAAATAATTTCATATCACTTTTAAAAACATGAATATATTAATTTTGTGTAATGAAAACACATATAAAAGTATTTCCACTTAGTGACCTACAGAAAGAAAAGACAAACATAGTATTTCTTACATTTATTGACATTAAGTGATAAAATGACTAAAATACTTAGTTTGAAACAACACAGAATTGTTTTTTCTAACAGATAATAAAAGCTGAAGGCCACTTTAATTTCGATAATATCTAATACATGTATATATAACTGAACATAACTGCTATAAAAACGCAAACATGAATCAATAACTAAACAGTAACATTTTTGAAAATTTCAGTTTGCAATTGAGACGGACATGCATAGTACGTGTTTCATATGCATTCGAGAGAGTTACGAGTTCGAGACAAAAGGAGGGGTGAGTTTTGTAAATTTTGATGACATTTATTTAAAATGAAAAAAAGGTCAAACAAGCATTTATGTGAAAGTTTGTTTTTTTTCTCAAGGTTTTCCAAGTTTATTTGATTATCTCAGTAAGCTTTAAAGACCCATCATACCTCAGAAATGCTATGAACATTTCACAAAAACTTTAAATTTTAAATCTTGTTACAGTTTCAAAATAAAAGCACCCTCATTTGCCATATAGATGAACAATCTTTGCCTTTTTTTGCTTTGTTGGCATTTGGTGTGTAATTATAGTAAATTTGTATTTTGTATGGAATTCACAATACTACTTTGTTGTTAACATTTTGCTACATTTGTACCTTTTCAGCGCTACTTTCCGCAGCTGTTAACCATCTAACATAATCTCAATCCATTGTTAAAACATTATTAAATAAATGTTTGACATTTCTAAAGAATTTAATAAATACTGACGCATAATGTGCCTTTAATAAGGGGTTTTATAACGAGAAATTAAATGGAATCTGGCCAGACTGCATAATGTGCCGACTAGTTGGGATCAGTGCAGTCTGATCAAGATCTACATTGGTGAAGTAATCAAGTCATTACCTCCCCTTGTGTTCATAAAGACAATGTTTTACTTTTACTCGTTTCAGAGCGAAGGCTTTAGCAGGCACGTGAAACTTGAGCACAATTTGTGGGCCTATTTGTTTTTCTTCATACACCTTGACGAGACACGGCCTAATAATTACTCAGCTCTGGAATTCTATGTTTATAGACTTGTAAGTTATACATATTACGTTTCTCTTGAACGAATATGGATTATATTTGAAACATCACCTATTTTAAACACCCTCGCACTGTTATAGCACAATTTTATATGAACAAAAGAACACATACTTTACAGAATGGGATATTTTCAGTATCATTAACAAAAAATCATCGTGATATCGATTTGATAAAACATCTTTAAGACTTTATAGTAAGTGATGTTCAGTAGGTGATTGATATATATCATATCACATTGGTAAAACATCATATTTCACTGATAAGAAATTAAATATTTCATGTAGGCCTAATTTATGGCAATTTATAGGGGCCAAATTTATAGTTACCGTTATTTTACTAAGGACAATATGTGCCATGTAACGAATAGGACTATCGTAAAGCTAGTTATTAAATCTCCATGTAAGAGATACATTGTTCATTTCACAAGCGAGAAAGTTCATCATATTTCGCCGTATATACAAAGAAACACACGCCATACACCACTAGCACTAGAATAGCTTATTACAACTCTGATTTCTATATATATCTCTTACAGGAGTTTATCAAATGATCGTTTTAAGTGTTGTTTTCATCTCTTGCATAGTTTAGATATCTTTATAGACCCACTATGCCTCAGAAATGCTATATTTTTTATTTCTCAAAATTTTTCTTTTTTTTTATTTTTGCAGTTTCCGAAAAAAAAAAATACATATTTGGCACATAAATGAAACTATCTTTTCCTTCTTTTGCTCCGTTTGGCAATTGGTAAAATTAGTATTTTTTGTTTTGACGTCAAACTACTACATAGTTAACATTTTGCTACATTTATTACAAATGCAACGTTCACAAAAACTTTTAGGGGTTTTTTTAAACATCCTTTAAACTTGGCTCCAAAAATTTTAAAAAAAAAACCATTAAATTTTTTTTAACTCTTTTTTGACTTTTCTAAAAAAAATTAAAGCCAAAATTAAAAAAAAAGGGAATTTTTCCTTTAAAAAGGGAAAAATTTTTTCGATTTAAAAAAAAATTATTTTTAAATTTTCCAAAAAATTTTTCCCGCTTGTCATAAATTATAGGGGTTTTTTTAAAAAATTCTCTTTTTGAAAAAATTTAATTTTTTAAAAAAAAGGTTTTTAAAACCCAAAAAAAAGGGGAAATGGTTTTTTTAATTGGTTTTTTTCTTGGAACAAAAAAGTTTTTTTTAAAATTTCAAAAAATTTTTCCCTTTTTGGGAAAAGAACCTTTTTGAAACTTTTTTTTCCCCAAAAAAATTTTGGGCCGTGGGGCTCTTAAGCTTAAAAAGGAATGAAAAAAAGACCCAAAAAAAAGAAAATTTTTTAAACTTGGGAAAACCCGTTTTTTAAAGCAAAAGTTAAAATTGTTTAAAAAATTTGCCAAAGGGGGGTTTTTTTTTGGGGGGGAAAGGGGGGGAAAAAATTTTTAAAAGAAAAAGGGTTTAAAAAAATTGGGTTTGGGTTTTTTTTTAAATGTAAAAGGTGGGGAAAGTTAAAAAATTTTAAAAAGTTGAAAATTTTGTTTTTTATTGGAACTTTTTTTAAAAAAACTTTCCAAAAATTTTAAGGTTTTAAAAACAAATTTTTCCCTTTTTTAACCCCCTTTTTATTTACACTAAAATTTTTTTCTTTTTTTTTTAAAAAAAAAAGCCCCGGGTTAAAAAATAAATATTTAAATAATTTTATTTTTGAAATTTTTTTTGTTTTAAAAATTAGTTTACAAATTTAAGAAAATTTTTTTGTTTTTTTTGGGCTGCCTTTAAACCCAAAAAAATTGGTTTTTTTTGGAAAAATCCCGATTTTAAAATTCCCAAAAACGTTCCAAATTTTTCCGTGGTTTTTTTAGAAAAATTTAAATTTCCCGTTAATTTTTTAAAGGAAAATTTAAAATTTTGGCCTATAAGTTATTCTGTTCGCCCAGATTTATTCCCTTTGCCCAGATTTATTCCCTTCGCCTAGATTTATTCCCTTCGCCCAGATTTATTCCCGTCGTCCAGATTTATTCCCTTCGCCGAGATTTATTCCCTTCGCCCAGATTTATTCCCTTCGCCAAGATTTATTCCCTTCGTTCAGATTTATTCCCTTCGCCCAGATTTATTCCTTTCGTCTAGATTTATTTCCTTCTTCCAGATTTATTCCCTTCGCCTATTTTTATTCACTTCGTGCAGATTTATTCCCTTCGTCCAGATTTATTCCTGTTGTCCAGATTTAATCCCGTCTTCAAGATTTATTTCCTTCACTCAGATTGATTCCCGTCGTTCAGATTTATTCCCTTTGTCCAAATGCATACCATTCGCCCATATTTATTTGTCCAGATGTATTCCTTTTGTCCAGATTTAATCCCGTCGTCCAGATTTATTCCTTTCGTCCATATTTATTCCCGTCGCCCAGATCTATTCCCTTTGGCCAGATTTTATTCCCGTCGTCCAGATGTATTGCTTTTTTCCAGATTTTTCCCCGGCGTCCAAATTTATTACCATCGTCAAGATTTATTCTGGCAATATTAAATAAACTTATGTATATTTCAAATTGTGAACAGGAGATGGAAATGATGAAGGAAAAGGAGAAGCAGAAACAGAGAGAGTGGGAGAAGACCTACAAAAAGCGAAAAGAGAAGTCTTAACTCAGTTTCAAATCCACGCATAAGCGATTAGTCGTTAGAGCTGCAAACAGTTGACATTCTAAAATTCACATGGCCGATAACGACGATTTTAAAAGTCAAACCTTTTTCGAGGAAACAGATATGTTGCCTAAATATCAAAGTTAAAGTAATGGACTTTGAAATATGTTTTTTAAGTATTTACAGACATTTTCTTTGAGAACGATGCCAACACCGAGACAGATTCACACATAACTGGAAATATTACTTTTAAGATCAGCAAAAATCATCAGTATGTTTAAAAGAACTTTCATAAGCAAAAAAAAAATAGAGTAGTGAAATTCCAGAAAATTGTGAATTTATTCATGCATTATCTCATGTGTTAATTATTTCACTTATAAAAATGTTGTTACCATTTTGGTTACGGGGTGTTATCATCGGAACGTCACTGTATTTCTGTATTTTCATGGTGCATTTGCCAAAATTGAAATATGTGAATATGTAAAAATACCACTTATTACGTACATAATGTATAAGTATTTATAATCATACCGGTAATCTAACTTATTCATAATAATATTCAATTTGTATTTGTCCAATTCTTAATTTGTTTGTATTTGTCCAACTCTCAATTTGTTTGTATTTGTCCAATTCTCAAATACAAAATACAAATATCGTTATTTCTCTCAGGTCAAGACATTGACAACATGAGGTAAATAAATATTAACAAAGTTTCGAGGCTCAATAGAATACATACAAAAAACATAAGCATATATAATACATGTAAAGGGAGAGTACCTTGCGTACTTTTAACATACAAAACATGTGCATGTAATAAATTTACACGTGCTATATGCATTTAATTTTCATTATATAAATTGTTCAAATTTATCCCTAATAAACATACATATTTTCTTATATTCGAAATTACTATGGTTGTTTATATTCATAAGTTTATCAAAATAATACATGTTTCGTCTAATATAATAATTGGGTCGTAAGTATTTTTTCTTTGATGAAATTCATCTCCAACTGAGGAATAACAAAATGTACATTTTCTCATATTAAGTTCTATCCCATGCTAAGATCCAGTTTCTACTGGTAATCTATGGTTTCTTGTTCTAAATTTAATCAAATATCTAAGTAAATTAGGATGTGTATTTGTGATATACTTTTCAAATTCGAATTTGTGTTTAAATAACTTGTAATTTTTACACTTTCCAGAGGTTTCTTGGTTTGAATACCAGCTGTTAAGAAACAGGTCTATTAGCTTTTATTAGTTTGATCACATTATCAAACGCACTTTTAAGGTCAACAAAGGCACAAAACAGTTTCTTTTTCCTTTTTTTAATAGATCAATCAAAGTATTTAGTACAAACATATTATCAAGTGTAGAAAATTCTTTTCGGAATCCAGCTTGGTATTCGTTAATCAAATCATAATTTTCAATATATTTTTGCAGACGCATATTTAAAATTGCAGTGAAAGTTTCCCCATACAACTTAACAATGTTATGGGTCTATAATTTGACGGGTCACTAACACCCCCTTTATTTATTCTCAATTTGTTTGTATTTGTGCAATTCTCAATTTGTTTGTATTTGTCCAATTCTCAATGTGTTTGTATTTGTCCAATTCTTAATTTGTTTGTATTTGTCCAATTCTCAATTTGCTTGTATTTGTCCAATTCTCAATTTGTTTGTATTTGTCCAATTCTCAATTTGTTTGTATTTGTTCAATTTTTAATGATCGGGTCATTAATAAGAATATAGACAGAAATAACAAATCTATTGTGGTATTAATAAGTTATACTAAAGGTCCTGATTATAAATTCATCCTGTACATGATTGCTATTCAGTTTAATATTATAAATGTACATGTCTTGTGAAAAATAATGCGTTTTTAAATGTAAACGGGCTGTTGTTATGCAATAACAGAATTGAGGTGTAACCTATCTCTTTACGATATTTCTTGCAGATCATTATGAAAAAATAATACATGTAATAATAAACGTATTATATTTCCATGGCGTCAGCTATGTTATTATTTTATATTTACTATGCATGTATATTTGTGAACTTATTTGTAAATGGAAATTGTATAAATAACATTTATTATTAAAAGGAAACGTGTGTGTCTCAAATCAAGTTATGTGATGCTATGACTTTAATGGATTTATAATATGTTTTGTCCTTATTTATATTTTTGTCCACATTTAAAATTGAGATATGTTATTTGTATTTTACGATGGTCTATCTTTATGTGCTACCTTTCTTCAAATAAAGTTATTGTTATAATTATCATAATTGTTGTTGTTGTCGTTATACGGGTGTACGCTTGTGCGCACTTTTGGAGATATGCTGATATGATAAGATTTTAATTTTAAAAACAAAAGAACTTTTAGATATGATTTCACAGAATTTCTGTTCAGTATTATATACATACAAGTAAGTCAAGCAGATTTAATTATAAAAGAAAGATATTAACACATTTGAAAAGGAAAAGGAGATAAAACAGGACTTCACATATATAATGGATATTATGTGATGTTAATAAAATGCAATAATTATCAGTATCAATTATTACCGTAATGGTATATAGAGAATACCATGCTAGTATCTGATATTACAAAATTTATCAGGCAAGGCTAAGAAAATATGAAAGCCGAGGCAATGCCGAGCCCTTCATTTCTTTCCGTGCTGAGTCTGATAAATTGTATATATCAGACATTTGTTTGGTATTCTGTTTATCATTTTTGCAATTTTAATATGCGTTTTTTTCTTTAAATTTCAAAAGAAACAAAAACCTGTCAAGAACCTCTCGTCGCCCAGTAATATGCCAAGGGTCATATCTATAAAAAAAATAGTCTCAATCGTTTTTGGTCAAATATAATAGAGACTTTAAAATTCAAAACATCTTTTCGATTCAAAGTTATTCAGTTTAATATTTTCAAACTAGTAAGAGGTAAAAATATTCCATTCGCTTCGTTTTTTCAATATGTATTGATGAGGTGTCTGATAAAGCTGGGCATATGCACTTTATTATGGAAAATCAATGTATTGACATGATAAATTTTATTATAAAGCATCGACAATTTTCCCGTAGTATAGAGCCATGCATTGTGTATGTTCTAATAAAATATGTTAAAACTAATTTCCCTTAAGTATCACAAAATTGAAAAAATGGTATATATCTGCACTTTCAATATAATAATTGTGTAAACGTGTGCTAATTTTTTAGTGACTCATATAAATACAGTTTCAACAGTATATAACACTAAACGTATAGTATTTATAGCAATGATTAAAAAAAGAAGAAACCAATATTGGAAAAGTCATGAAATATGGTGCTTTAGTGAAAAATGACAGATCTGCTCTAATAGTCCTATTACCTAGTATTAGATAAATGTACCCTAGAGCTAGCTTTCTGTAGTTCATGGAGGCATCCTGTTTAACCTAGATCCTCTTTTCTGATAACCATGACTACATGACAAATGACCATAAAAATGAATTAGCTTTCAGCAGACTATTGTCAAAGATATAGTCATTAATGACCTAGGCGCAGCGTCTACATGGTCAATCAATGTAATATCACAACACCAAGGATAAAATTAGATAATAAATTGAAAATCGAAGACATTTTATTATATAGCGGAGGGAATATTTGGCGTCGCGTAGGAAACTGGGACAACAGGGACTAATAAACGGCGTAGGAAAAATAAAAACAGTATTGTTTTCTATTGTCGTCTGCTATTAAAACTCGATATTGCCATTGAAAATGAAATTTCTTGAAAGGATGGGAAATAGAATTATCTCAGAGTGTATTTTTCTCATTGTGATTAGATACCGTTGTTAGGAAAATACTTTTATATAAGAGCGTTCTCAAGGCATTAATCCTTCTTCCGTGATAGAATAATGGAAATGTTACCATATAGGAGTGTGATACATAAAAATATTTTTAAAAAACGATAGGCTATTTATTATAAATATTAGTCTTGATAGATATTGTGGGAAAAATAAAACAAGATGAAAAAGTATTCAGATACAAAAACCGTGTCGCAACTAAGCGCAACGTGGAAATCTAAAAATAGCAATGCGAACAGACGATTTACTATCGCTGCTGGTGCCACGCCTCATTTGGACAAATTCGAAGAAATGGCGCGGAATATAGCGTTAAAAAGAACAGATAAATCATACTCGTATAATATAGGTAGGAGCCTTAGTGAAGAGAACGATTTTAATTCTCAGAGACGAAAGTTTAGTGTACAGAACGGTATCCACCATGATGCTTCTTATCACGAAAAGGAAACTCCATCGAATTATAAATCAAATGACATGCATGAATATACAAAATCCCCTAAGGAGAAAAGACGAGGTTCTGTTTCATTGGGGAGAAAATCATCTGTGTCTGTATCCGTTGACATAGAGGAGTCGTCTGCAACTGGCGACAAACGACAAGTTGGATCAAAGCATATTTCCCGCTATCAGCATTTAGCAAAGCGCTTAAAAAGCCCAGTAGCCGATAGAAGAAAATCGCTAAAAGACGTTGTAAAATCCGAATGTGATAAGAAGAAACAAGTTTATCATAAAAACTCTAAGAGTACAAAAGCACATGAAGATATCAACAATGGAATAGGTGATCACGAAATTCAACGCAATGACATTATCGCAACAAATGTTAAAATTGGAACTGCTATTTCGAAAGGTGTATCAAAACAAACGAATGAGAATAGGGTCGTGCCATCACTAAAAATGAACAACTCCGATTCAAAACTTAGTTCCGACTCAGAATCATCTTCGATGGTTGACAATGACGCTTCTTATGATGGTAACATTAGCACCGACAGTACAGGCGCCCAACTTTCTCCACCTATTCTAGAAACAGAATATCGCAGACGAAAAAGAAGCGGAGTTTCTTCCGTGAGCCCAGTGCGTTCGCGTGTATCATCCGGGTCAAGAAAATCGTCTTTATCGCAGCGTTCCGAATTATCTTTGACGTCAACGACATCCACTGGTTCATTAGCGGAAAAGATTATCGAGTCGAGGGCATTAAAAATGCGCGAGGTTTTGCGAGATCGGGAATCCGGAAGTCTGGAATCGCAAGACTTTCTCCCGCCAAATTTTTCGTGTAGGAGATTTTCGGTGAATTCAGAGGGCTCTAGGGGAGATGCTTCCACTGACTTGTGTTTAAGAGGATTTCGAAGTGCAGCGAGTTATCCGATTTTGAATTCAAAGAAAAATGACCAAACAGATAATGACAGTAGTGTGCATTTGTGCGAAGGTTCACTCAACGGGAAGAAGAAACATTTGCCTGACGAACTTCCAAAGGAAGGTGAAAATTCTGTTCCTATTAGACTGTATAAACGAAAGCACGTCCGTAAAGTTTTAGAAGCATAAACTTTTATGATCTTTTTAGAAATACTGCTATGCTCTTGGCAGTAAAAATAACAAAAATATCGAAATATGACATTTATATTCTTTATATTCTTAGTTAGATTTTAATTACTTTTATTAATTTATTTATGATAGATAAAAGCCGAAATACATCCAATAAAAATATATGATATAAATCTTATTTCTTGGTTATAAACATTTTTTTTACAAATAATTGATCTATTCTAAAAAAGTCTCACAGGTGTCGATGAAATAACAGTCCCAGTCAGTAGTTGTTTTTTTTAACATATATCCAAATCAGCCAATTTATACGAGAGTACAGCAAAAGGGTCGGCTACTAATGTGCTACCCTGGTTATATCCAGGGTATTTTATAAGCTTTCACTGCAGAAAGCTTGCCACTGCGAGATATGGCCATATCCTCGGTAATTTTATCACCAAAACAAAAAACATCGCATTTTTAAAAACTCGGTCCATTTCGCCGGGTTTCCACAGGGATAGATGGGACCATCGACGTTTGGCACATTTGTCTTGCCAATAATGGTCAAATTATCATAAATAATCTCCCCTTGATCATCATGAACAAAATTTCTATCCAGTACTAACGGGTGCAAACCGTAAAAAGTAAACGGGTTCTGGACAGTAATTTTGTCCATGATGATCAAAGAGAGATAGTTTTATTATAATTTGACCATTATGCGGCAAGACAATTTTGCCGAACGCATACAACAGATTACTGTTATGTCAGTTATATCTACAGATCATTTTAATCAATAAATTATAGAATTTTATATCATTGTTTAAATTCCATTTGAACATCAGAAATTTGGATATTACCATCTGAATGTTGATATGTTACAATTATTGATACCATGCTGCGATATGCTTAAGAAAAACACAATCAACACATCCTACCTTTCTCAAAATTATGATTCTGAATCACCTCTACTCATAATGAGACGTGTATCTCCGGATTCTTTCCTGAACATTTTTTAACCGAGTCAGTTATTTATGTAAATCCTCAATCCGAGTCTGCGCGAAGGTTTAAGGAGACATATAAACAGTGAAAGTAAGACATAAAGACCATCAAAGTTACTTGTAGGGACAATTCAAATTTAAAAGCGGTTGGACTAAAAAAAACTTCATTTTAAACCTCTTGGCTATAATGGTCCATTTGAACCGACTAATAAACAAAATGGCATATTTTCTAACATTATAACTTAATGGTCAATATCTCAATATAAGGTTATTTATGATTCATATTTAAGGGGTCAAGTGCAAATGTCCGCCCTATTTTTACCGGTGAGCATATGTCCGCCCTTTCCAAAGATATGACAGGGCAAATGTCCGCTACTTCACGTCAGGGGAGCAACTATCCGTAGATGGGGGGCGTCAACGGTAAATGTTCGGATACGGTACAAGTGATCTAAATAATATAAAAGATTCTTTAAAGTCACGCATTCAAGGTTCATGTTGAGTACAATGTATATACGAAATGTTAGCCAAAATTATTTCTAAAGATTTCTACTTTCGTGACCTTTATCAACCAGCATTCTGGAAGGGTGTAATTCAGTTTAAAGTCTCTACGTGCAAGGAACGTCTGTGACAAATTTCATCAACTCTAGGCCAACAGTTCAGGAAGGTTGTTGTTTCAACAACTCAAAGAAAGGGCCATAACAAAATAAATGTTTATATTTAATAGCCTGTTTCTATTCACAAATATCTTTTTTTAAAAAATAGTCATATTTGTGCAGTAATGGGTCAACGCCTATCAAATTCAATGCGAGTTAACTTATTTCTGCATTTAGGTGAAATATCAATATTATAGTGTGTATACAAAGATTACTATACCAAACTACTTTAACTGATAATAAAGAATTTAAAAAACAAACATTGCATTTCAACCTCATATCTTTATTTCATAAAGTCATCTAAACTATATTAACATTTTATAAATAACAGCTTTATCAGTTCAAACAAAACAACAATTTATCTTGAATATATTTGGAAGACAAAGTGGTTTTTCTTCACACAAGCATTGCACAAAACCGGGACTGTGAATGTAAAAAAACAACACAATATTTCTTAAACACACGGCATATCTAGTTTTAAATGAGATATATGTACCATTAGGTATTGTTGGATTTGACCAATTGTCTGTCTTTCGAAAAAATGTCACGGAAGCTGTATATATTACAAAAGTTTAAGTTATATAAAAATACCCTTCAAACAGCATAGCTTTTTTGTGTTTTCTGGTTTTGATAGTAACATGCGATAAAAAAACCCTTCTGTTGTCATTTTATACAGTGTACTTGACCCGAGAAATAAGATAAAGCTTAAAAAGTATAGATAAAGTATACCATAACAATTTTTTTTTTTTTATAAAAGGTCATTTCAGGATTACGGACCCTAATGAACATGCATTTAAGACAACATATTATATAATATTATCAAATCATGACGTCACAATGGAAAACACACTGAGGTCGCTCACTTGTATATAGGCCCCCCAACCCCCCCCCCCCAACGTTGCAGGGCCAATTTAACCCAAGGGCTTTTATTTGCACAAACTTGGTAGACACCCATAAGAAGATGTTTCATGCTAAACATCTAAGCTCTAGCTCATTGGGCTTTTTAAAAGAAGATTTTTTAAAGTTTTTACTATACACATATAGTTAAAAAACAATGACACCCCTGGGGCCGGGCCAGTTTTGACTCCAGGGCTTTTATTTGAACAAACTTTTTAGACACTTACTAGAAGATGTTTCATGCTTAATATCTAAACTCTAGCTATTTGGGTTTTTTCAAAGAAGATTTTAAGTTTTTGCTATACACATATAAAGAAAATCAATGACCCCCGGGGCGGGGCCAATTTTGACCCCAGGTCTTTTATTTGAACAAACTTTGTAGACACTCACTAAAAGATGTTTCATGCTTAATATCTTAACTCTAGCTATTTGGTTTTTTTCAAAGAAGATTTTTTAAGTTTTTGCTATACACATATAAGGAAAATCAATGACCCCCTGGGCGGTGCCAATTTTGACCCCACTGCTTTTATTTGAACAAACTTGGTAGACACTTATTAGAACATGTTTGATGCTAAATATCTTAGCCATAGCTCTTTGAGTTCTTTAAAAGAAGATTTTTAAGTTTTTACTATATGCATATAGGGAAAATCAATGACCCCCCGGGGCGGGGCCAATTTTGAACCCAGGGCTTTTATTTGAACAAACTTGGTAGACACTTATTAGAACATGTTTCATGCTAAATATCTTAGCTCTAACTCTTTTGGTTCTTTAAAAGAAGATTTTTTAAGTTTTTACTATATGCATATAGGGAAAATCAATGACCCCCGGGGCGGGGCCAATTTTGACCCCAGGGCTTTTATTTGAACAAACTTGGTAGACACCCATTAGAACATGTTTAATGCTCAATATCTTAGCCAAAGCTCTTTGAGTGCTTTAAAAGAAGATTTTTTAAGTTTTTACTATATGCATATAGGGAAAATCAATGACCCCCCAGGGCGGGGCCAATTTTGACCCCAGGGCTTTTATTTGAACAAACTTGGTAGACATCCATAAGAACATGTTTCATGCTAAATATCTTAGCTCTAGCTCTTTGGGTTCTTTGAAAGAAGATTTTTTAAGTTTTTACTATATGCATATAGGGAAAATCAATGACCCCCCGGGGCGGGGCCAATTTTGACCCCAGGGCTTTTATTTGAACAAACTTGGTAGACACCCATTAGAACATGTAAAATGCTCAATATCTTAGCCAAAGCTCTTTGAGTGCTTTAAAAGAAGATTTTTTAAGTTTTTACTATATGCATATAGGGAAAATCAATGACCCCCCCAGGGCGGGGCCAATTTTGACCCCAGGGCTTTTATTTGAACAAACTTGGTAGACATCCATAAGAACATGTTTCATGCTAAATATCTTAGCTCTAGCTCTTTGGGTTCTTTGAAAGAAGATTTTTTAAGTTTTTACTATATGCATATAGGGAAAATCAATGACCCCCCGGGGCGGGGCCAATTTTGACCCCAGGGCTTTTATTTGAACAAACTTGGTAGACACTCACTAGAAGATGTTTCATGCCAAATATCTAAGCTCTAGCTCTTATGGTTTTTTAAAAGAAGATATTTAAAGTTTTTTCTTTTGGTTGCCATGGCAACCAGAGTTCTGCATGGAATTAAATTCTTTGAACAATTTTTAAAGGTGACCACCAAAGGAACATTCCTGTGAAGTTTGGATGAAATATGAGGAGATGTCATTTAAAGTAAAAGTTTACGGACGGACGACGGACGGACGGACGCCGGACGAAAAGCGATCACAAAAGCTCACCATGTCACTTTGTGACAGGTGAGCTAAAAAAGGTATCTGAAAATTGCTGAAAAGGAGTGGTTTCAGGTTATAACAATATTATTCGTTATCAGGCAATGTTAAACAATTCATCCAGGTCCATAACCCTTAAGAATATTTGCAACGAGTTCTTAGCCATCAAAATTATATTTTTATCAAATATATGAAGAAAACTAAAGCAACAATCCAAAAATAGAGGAAATTTAATTGTTTATAAATTCAACACGAAGAAAATATATCTACATGTATCCTAAAATCATGAAAACCTTATCATAAGATAATCATTAAATGACCTTTCAAACAAATTTTGTTCAAAAATATAAGTTTTAAAGGCAAGCAACTAAGCTGAATTGAAACTGTAAACAGTAACTTTACGGTAAGTAAGAAACACACTTTACAGAGGGAGAGAGCATTTTAAGCTCCCTACATTATGCATAAATAATATTTTATGTAATTTATTATGCAAATGAAAAGATTACAAGTCAGCAATTTTGTCTTGTAATGCCAAAAAGGCCAAATTTAGCTCTCGGTCACAGTATTATGCTTTCCGGCATACAAATTACAATGTATATGCAAAATCCTGTTAGTAAAATAGCAATTACTTGCATTGTTATATAAATAGTTATATCATATGTAAAGATATATGCTATTCTTGAGTAACATGTTTAATTAAATATTCAATTAGGATTTCTTATAAGTATGGCTTTCTAATGATTTTTTTAATATGCTAATTTTAGCTAGCATAGAATGACATAAAACCATCTAGTGACAAATTCCTGTAGAGTCCAAAAACTGGCATAAATAAATCTTTATGCAAAAGGTCATGGATTTTGTATATATAAATGCATCTTTTGTATAAATAAAATTAAAATATTTTTTCCCCAATCTTTTTTTATCAAACTAACAACCAGCATGTGCCCGATATAACAACATTCCATTTGCAGAAGATACTTCTAAAGCAGCCTCCTCATTGGCTGATATAAAAAGAACTGTCCCACGCTGCACCTGTATGGACTGTGTCAGTGATTGGTTGTTTAGACTTGCAGCGCCCTCTATACAAATTACAATACTTGCACTACTCATGGCAGGGAGGGTTGTAGATTTTAAACCAGCAGGTACCTAAAAGAAATGTATCAAGATATGTATACTCCATTAAATAAATATGACTCAAAATCATAACAACATAAAACCATTCTGTTCTGTATATACTAAATATTTGTTTGTCGGATTAAAGAAACTCCACTGAGGTCCAAAGGCCTAAAAACATAAAATTTTAATTTCTTATAGAGAACAGCTGATGCACTTATAACATAAATAAATGCAAAAGACAGTTATACCCCGGTCACATATTCACGGAATACGCCCACGGAAGAGCCACGGATTAATTCCGGCATCGTCCGTAGCTACCCGTACTGGTCAGTAGTTCTCCGTATTGTAACCGTAATCAATCGTAGTAGTCCTTGTATATCCGTAGCGATCCTTGACAATTTTTGAACATGCACAAAAATTTGCTACGGAAAAGTCAACCGTAGCGTATCCTTACTAGTCCGTATTAAAGCCGTACTGATACGTACTGGTCCGTACGAAAACCGTAATAGTCCGTACTGATTCGTAGTCCACCAACTTGTCAAGGATTTCCACGGTTTGGTACGGGAACAACGTATTTGTACGGTTACCCTACGTATAAGCTACGGTTTATATACGGATTAATACGGCATTGTCACGGAAAGCCACGATCGTAATACGTTGTACTACGGAGAGGCAGGAATTAGCACGGTCTTATACGGTTTATTGCGTTGCAACACGAAACGGTACGGAATGGTACGGCCCACCACTGTTTAGTACGGATGAATTAAGTATCATGTAGTTTTTCAAGGGTATAAATACTACATTCTTGTTAAAAACAGACATATATATTTGCCGGAACATTTAATAAATGATATTGTTGCCATTTACTGACTGCAACTTTATATTGAAATGGCTCAGAATGCGGAGGCAGTGGTCGAGCTGCTTGATGACATGCATAGAAGTAAATTTATAATAATATCATACTACAAAAAAGAAATATAATAACATTTAATGTTACATATTTTACAAACATTGGATCGTGAAAATGGAGTAAGTTTGTACATAAAACGAAGTGTCTCATAAGCCTCGGACACTGGCTCTTGAGTGATAATAAGATTAATTAACAAGCTTTTTACATATTTTAAAAACATAAATTAATGTAATTGTAAGATGAACAGCAAATCTTAAAATTAAAAGAGAAGCAGTATTGATCAACATTTTTCATTAATGATTACCAGTCCATATCTAATCAGGTAAGAGAAAACAGATGAGATGGTGGACTAAAGATGGGCTTTTACGAAGACCGCTTCATGTTTAGTATGAGGCTCTCATGGCCGAACTTGTTGAGAATCCAGCGTCCTTCAAGAAATTCACTTTAATTGGACCTGATGTGTCTCGGGGTTTGGACGCGATTAGGCTGAATCCTCTCCGCCAGAACGCTGCAATTCGCTTTCTAGGTGTTCTTTTCTTTTGAGGCATTTTGAAAATGAGCTAGCAAGAGATTGTGGACGGATGTATTAGGTCCGTATAGATCCGTGGCAATTCGTTCTTCTCCGTATCAATACGTTCTTCTCCGTATCAGACCGTACTTATTCGTACTAACCCGTGCTTATACCGTAGCAGACCGTAGTGTATCCGTAGTGCGTCCGACCTGATTCGTGTCGCTCCGTATCAAACTGTGTCGGTCAGTAACAATCCGTGTCTCTCCGGTGGCTTTTGATGGTAAATCCGTCTGACTCCTTACTCATACCGTTGTGTGTCCGTACTAGAACCGTAGCGGACTACGGAATTTCACATTTCCATAGTAATCCGTGAATATGTGACCGGGGCATTAAGAAATATAATCGAAAATAAATGGAAAATCGTATTTTTGTGTTATTCATAGCCCGATTTGTTGCAATGCTTTTCAATTTTGGTTCATTTTTCACCATTTGAATAATTGTTCTGCAAAAACAGAATGAGCAAACTATCCAAAATTTGTACATGAGTTATTGGTCAAGATCTACATCAAATAGAACATTAATCTTCAAAAATTAGTCTGAGGCCCGTCATATCAAAAAACTTCAGTGGAGTCCTTTTAACACTAAGCAAAACTCATTTAAACTGTGTTTTAAACAAATTGCACTACATATATTGTTGTCAATCCAAGTCACAGCAAATATGTGCTTAGTCTTAGACTCGATTTAGATAAATAAGTTACATGTCATCCGGTAAGTTTGGTAAGTATTTTTTTATGCTTTGCTGTATGTAAAAGTGTTCAAAACTAGAAATGTGTCCATAGGACACGGATGCCCCCACACGCCACTGTTCTGTCAATCTTATGACTCTATGTCAAATATTTTTTGGACTACATGTGCCACAAGTTGAAAACTAAAAATCAACAAAGGGCAATAATTCTGTTAAATTTGGTCGCAGCAAAAATTCCTTCCTTTACTACCATCTACACATTAAGGTTGTTAATCCCTGGAAGTTTAAGCAAAATCTGCCTTCCGGTTTAAGAGGAGTTGCGTTCACAAAATTTCTACATAGTATATAATGAAAAAATCAACAAAGGGCAATAATTCTGTTAAATTTGGTTGCAGCAAAAATTCTTTCCTTTAATGCCATCTACACATTAATGTTGTTCATCCCTGTAAGTTTAAGCAAAATCTGCCATCCGGTTTAAGAGGAGTTGCATTCACAAAATTTCTACATAGTATATAGTGAAAAAATCAACAAAGGGCCATAATTCTGTAAAATTTGGTTGCAGCCAAAATTCCTTTCTTTACTACGATCTACACCTTAATGTTGTTCATCCCTGTAAGTTTAAGCAAAATCTGCCATCCGGTTTAAGAGGAGTTGCGTTCACAAAATTTCTACATAGTATATAGTGAAAAAATCAACAAAGGGCCATAATTCTGTTAAATTTGGTCGCAGTGAAAATTCCTTTCTTTACTACCATCTACACATTAAGGTTGTTCATCCCTGTAAGTTTAAGCAAAATCTGCCATCCGGTTTAAGAGGTGTTGCGTTCACAAAATTTCTACATAGTATCTAGTGAAAAAATCAACAAAGGGCCATAATTCTGTTAAATTTGGTCGCAGTGAAAATTCCTTTCTTTACTACCATCTTCACATTAAGGTTGTTCATCCCTGTAAATATAAGCAAAATCTGCCATCCGGTTTAAGAGGAGTTGCGTTCACAAGATTTCGGGACGGACAGACTGACGGACGGACAAGTGCAAAGCTATATGCTCCCACATTGTTGGGGCATAACAATAAGAGTACAAATACATTTTGTGGAAATAAAAATTTACAGTTTAATACAATGCATAATGTGTAAATAAGAAACAAAGGTTTATTCAATTATGTGAAAATACAGCATACTGTGCTCCTCCTAGTTTGCAGTACTTGACGCTTTGAAGGAAGATGGAAAGCAAAACATGAACTGACTTTACAAAAAAATTGTTATCATATGTTGATAAAATATTTTCTGTTGTATGAGACAAGGAAGCAAGAACATTTTTTTCACAGACCAGATGCCGACCAAAGGTCAGCGGGACGGCCATTATTGTTCTTCATTTGTCAGGTAAATTATGTTACACTCCTGAATGCTATATTGCTCTTTTTAAAATATTCAAACTATCTTTACCTTTGTAACATAAATCTTTTTTTTTTCTTTCAAAAAAAAATTTGGAAAATGATTACTGTTTCAGAAGTACGCACAAATTTACTGGACTATCATGACTTTTTGCAGAAATGAATAAAAGGTTGTTGTGTTTTATATAAAAAGATACAGATTCAAAATATTTGAATAACAACTCTGTTGTTTAGCCATAAGACTAAAATAGATCAACTTATACCAATGTTACCACCGGCCATTTTGCAATCTGCAATGACCATGAAATTAATGATGTCAAATTAGTGCCAAATTTGTGATGTAGACTATAAACAATGAATAAAGAATATGACCTGCACTTTGAAACAATCAATTATATGTTGGTAAAACATATATACATCTTGTTTAAGACAATGAATATGTTAGTTTAATACAAATGTATACAGTTTAATACAATGAATAAAGAGTTCGTAAAACATACAGTTTAATACTATGAATAGAATGAATAAAGATTGAGCAGTCTTACACTTATTTCAGTGACAGCAAAGTCTTGAATAGGAGGTTTAAATTTTCTGACATTGCATCCATTTTCCACTAGGTTTGTCGGCTGGTATATATTGTCTTGTGCAGGTTTACCGTTATAGTTCAACATTTCAATCAGAGTTTCAGTATCAATGAACTTAGGTGTGAGTCCTGCACGTACGACATTGTCTGAACAAGCCATACATTCCATACAGTCTGTAAAATAAATGATAAAACAAGAGTGTCATAACAGGCCTGCATTGCTCACCTCATTACCTCTTTCATTTGAAGAAAAGATGCTACTTCCTAGCAGCAATCAGCTTTTACAAAACAATATCATTTAAGCAAATGTTATTAAAAAAAGGCTAAGCCTTAAACAAATACTGCCTTCAGTCATATTGTAACAAAGAGCCTGTATAAAACAGTTGAAGACTAAGCTTGATTGTGTCTGTTAGTAAAAGATAATGAAAATTGTGATAACTCTCATGCCCACCAGCTAGTGTTAACTCAAATGCTCACAAGCTTGTGATAATTTTTTGCCCACAAGTTAGTGATAACTTTTATGCCCATTATCTAGTAATAACTCTCATGCCCACAAGCTTGTGCTTATTCCAAAGCTTTTGATAACTTTTCAATTACAAGCTAGTGGTAACTTTTATGTCCACTACCTACTTATAACTCTCACACCCATAAGCTTGTGATAACTTTCACGTTCACTAACTTGTGATAACTCTTGTGCCCAAAAGCTCTTGTTTAAGCTATATTCAATTTGCAACAATAAAACATCTTTTGTCAATAAAAAGAAAGGAATCAAACAATGATACCAGAGAAAATAATAAAAATTACCAGCATCATCCATATATAAGTTTCAAATTTTTCAAATAGTTATTTTTAAACAATCTACAAATTTACCTCCTGAAAGATAAGCATGTGGCAGATTTGCTTCCAGGAAAATTGAATCTCCTTTACGCAATCTCATTACATTGAGGAAATAAATGGAAAAGCCACCAACATCCCCTGGGAATTCCTTGTCCAGTTTCAGTAATATGTCGCCAACACAACCACTTATATCTTCTCCGGAATTTTCTGAAATAATATACAAGATGTCATAATGTAAGGATTTTAAACCTTTGTGAATTGGAAATTATCAACTTATTTCTAATATTGTTGTAATAAATTCAAAATTTCATCATGATTTTTGATGGTTTGATATATTTTTGAAGATTTTTGCCACGTATTTCAAGCCCTTTCAATCATGATGTGAATAAATTATGATGAAAAAATGCTCATGTTGAATAATATTTCTTTTAGATTTAGAGCTTATTGTAAAATTTTAACAAGAAATATACACTTTTAATTGTCACAGAGTGCCTTTATATTGAAATTTACACTCATTCATGTTGAAAACTTCTTGTGCACATTTATATGTAATAACATGATGTGCCAAACTAATGTTAAACATGAGGTGCAATTTCACCTGTGTATTTCAGTGATCTATCAAAAAGCATGTAATAAAGTTCTGTACACAAGTGACCCATCTAAAAGCATGTAACAATAAAGTTCTTTTGTCTGTAAATATAGCTAAATCATAAATCCTCCAATTTTCATCAGATATACTTCAATGATACTTCCAATAATGTTTACAGTATCTATACCATTGCCAGTGACATATCTAATACATACTTATAGATTTGACTCGATCAACAAGTTTTTTCAACTCAGCTTGTACCAGATCTTTGTCCTGTCTCATCAGGGTGGAGAATGATGATCTCAGAGCTGCTTCCTGTAAATTACTGTCCTGTGATTGGCTAGCTGACACCATCTTGTCACCATTCTCTTGACCAATCACAGCCCTCAATTCCGGGATTTCTTTTAAAAGAGAAACCAACTTGTGTAAATATTATTCAAGAGTAGAATGCAATAGAACAGTGGTTACAATTCATGACAAGAAATCAGTGGAAAATGATGAACCACAAATCAATGGATCACAAAGGACCATAATTCATGGATCACAAGGGACAATGAATTCATTGACCACAAGGGATCATAAATTCATGGATCACAAGGAATCATAAATTTGTGGACCACAAGGAACCATAAATTCAAGGATCATGACGGATCACAAAAAAGTGGATCATGAGGGATATTTTTTTCAGGCACATCTAATTAGATCCATTAACTTTCCATCAAAGCTGCTGATGACAGTTTCTAGACATAAAAAACACAACTTCATTAACAGGATATTAACTCATAACACTGTAAGGCAAGTGATCTAAAGTCACTGACCCCAACTACACTTTTATAGGTATGGCTAAGGTTCCTTTAGATTTTAGTGAAATACCTACCTTCGACAAACTTTGCTATCTCTGAGACTGGCCGGAAACCACACAGTCCAGTGAAGTCAGTCAGGGCAATAGCCATTTCAGGTTTGTGATTGGGATCCTTGTAGTTCTTTGGGTCCTTTTTATGTAACTCTTCAGCATGCCTCTTTATAAATAAATGTAAAAAGACTTTTCAAACTTTACTGTTATGTTGGGTCTTAAGTTACACCTACATAGTAAAAATCATACATCAACTTTCCACCTTTACTGGTGAAGGAATACCTCAGAGTAACATATGTACATTATTTCAGGCATGAGCAGGCACCAGTGAGTAGAACCTCAGTGAGTAGAATTTGTTTGTTTGTTTAATTGGGTTTTATGTCACACCGACACATTATAGGTTGTATGGCGACATTCCAGCTTTACTGCTGGAGGAAGACCACAAGTGCCCTTCTGTGCATTATTTCAGGCACGAACTTGCTGTAAGCTAGATTGATAGCATGCACACATGAAAGAGTCCATGTCTTTGATGAGATTGGAACATAAGGTCGTAAGGGGAAAGTGATTTGAAGTCAGCAACTTTTACCACACTGCCAAGGAGGCCCTTTTCAGACATGAATCTCTTTAAATTGCAAAACAATTATCAGTTAATGTAGTTAACCTTATGAAAATTGTCATTCTTTCCTTTCTTACAAGAAAGAGCCAATATTCAATAGTGACAACAATAATGTGTTTATATATGTAGAATCTTAGAAAGTCAGTGACAACAAAAGTGATATAAACTATTATTTTCACTTCACTGTACAATTTAATGTGTGCATGAACAATGTATAAAGAATATAGGTACATGTATATACATTGTATTACACTGATATAAAATGATAAATTTAGATGCTTTGATCACATTTAATATTAATGCGAAAACAAACAAATATCATATATTATAGAATATGTACATGTTACTATGTTAGTCTATGAAAAAAAATGTTAAGGAATGAAATACAATGTATGATGTCAGATGATTCTGAATGATATAAAATATATCTCACTCAAGTTATAGAAACACACCTACCTTATTTGGATGTGCCTGTATTGACAGTGATTTGTCAACTGAGAGAACTTTGAACAAAAAAGGGAGAGAACCAGCAAATGTTTCTTTGACAGAGTTGCCCAACTTGTCTAGATTTTCTGACACCCATTCACTCAGTGCTTTACTAGTCTTCCCTTGGACCACAATTAATGAAGGTGCATTTGGATGTGTTCCCATCCATAACTAAAACATGAAAGTAATACTTTATAATTATTTAATTTAATAATGTAATAGATAATACAAGCATCAAGCGAGTTCAACTACGGTTAAATAGTCTAAATACATAAAATTTGAAGAAAAAAAATGAACTGCAGCACTTGAAATGAAAAAATGTATAACAGAATACAGGTATTTTACAGCGATACAGGGTCTCTCAATAGAAAGACCTTGAGAGATATAAAAGCATGTTCTTGTATACAGGTTATGCCTTTAAAAAAGTTGGTTGACAGTTTTAGGTGGGAGTGGTGTCCTAGTAGTTAACAGGTTGTCAGGATGGCAGTTTAGTCTGACAGCGTCTCAAAGCATTTACATCAAACTAATTATAACAGGTTTCAAAATCTTGTTTCTGCATTGTTTATTCTTTTGTTTTGAAAATGGACAGAACCGTTCACTTTCTATAAATTTTCATTTAAGCACAAGGGCCATCAGTGATGACATGTGTCACCTCATGAGAGTCAATTACATGTTGCAGCTACTGTGTAGCAGGAGACCCAAAATCATTAATAGGGCAAACCACATTTTCCAGGGCTGAAAATTAGCGGTCGCCCAGTCGCCCACGGCGACTAAATTTGTAACTGGACTACCAAAAATTTCAAAGTAGTCGTCCAGTCGGCGACTTAAAAAAAAACGGCTGTAGATTATGACTATAAAAGAACGACTGTAGATTAAATTTATATCCGCCATTAGAAAATTCAATGAGCAAATTGGCTCCAAAATTATTAAATTGGCTCAAGAAAATCACGGTAAAATGTATGACTTTTGGAATCTCCAGTCTAAATTTAGCATTTGCTATTTTAAGAATGGAAAGTACACTTTTGGTTTTCCATTTACAATTTCCGCTTTACCGCTTTTATCTCAAAACACAGCGACACAGTCTACTTTTTTGTGGGTCATTGACTGGTTTATATTTGTAACTTCCCTTCCCAATGAAATATCGATATGAACAGTAACACAGTCTAATACACTGACCTCACCGTTTGTTTACATCAGCTGATAAATATGACACTAATTGTCGCATGCACTGGATAATTGGGTCTTAATATTTAATATGAAACAACAACTAGCAGCATCTCAAGATTACCCAAGATTATCGCTAATCAAATCAGAATTTTGGGTATGAAAAAGCGACAAATTATGTTCTGCAGTTGACAACTTGACCTGTTCACGGTAAGTTTGCATTCAGTTCTTATTGTTGTTGATAAACAGATCAAAGGAATTATTAGTTAAGAGTAATGGTTTTTTTGTGTTATTAATTTTATTTTATTTTTTGGGGGGAGGGGGGTTGATTGCCATTTAATTCTGACCTAATTATGCCTTTACAAGCAATTTATTTGACATTTGAAGCTTCACAGGGAATTCTTGGAAAAAAAGATTGGCCTTAATTTGGCTTAAAATCAAATATAAGTTTTGTAACCCTTAAAGCTCTTGAAGAAGTATTCATTTTCAAATGACTTATGACTGTGAAATATTAAAGAAAGATTCAGTTAAGAAGCATACAAAATTCCTTTAGGTAGCTTATACTGATTACTGCACACTTAAAATGACAGAAGTGAGTAGTACACATGATTTTATTCCTGAATGATCTTTAGTTTAGAATTTTCAATATTATTTTCTTCATTCTTCTTACTTTCAAACATGTTTCTTCTTTATTATTTCAGATACAGATAGTCTTCAAGACAAATCTTTGTCATTAACCAAGCAAGCTGAAGCAGCACATTGGAATGTGTTTCTGCTGTCACTGTCATGCCACTGATTTAGATTTTATGGAATCTTTGCTGCCCAACTTAACGTGGCAAATGTTATAGCTACTGAGCTGCAAGCTTTTATGATTATTGACTGTAAATTATATAAGTTTGTTGTGTTAATGTGATAAAAATGTAGGTACCAAAATAAAATTGGATATAGTTTATGTTTTTCTAAATAATATCTCCGTACCATATTGCCTTATTTGAAAATAAAATACAGGCACACAATTTTCGCTGCAAAAAAATTGGATCAAAAAAAATTTGCCAGCGCTTGCCCTGTTTCCGTTCATAAATTGTTGGTCCACTAATATATTTACTGGGCCACTAAAATTTTACAGTCAGTGGTCCAGGTGGCCACCAAGCTTAAATGGTTAGTTTTTATCCCTGTTTTCTATTCAAGGCCCATAACTCGGCTGAAAATCCTTCAACTGGAGAGCCCGTGTAATATGTGCAAGTACTTGAGCTATCAATTAATCCTGTAAAGTTTCATTAAAATTGCATCAGTGGTATAAGAGTAGTCCGGACAAATCTTAAAAATTAAAATCATAAAACAGACATTACTCTGACAATAATCATAAAATCGAAAAAAGTTGATGAGATGCACAACTAGACATAGTATTGATTATTCCTGATTTGATGAAAATGCACAAGTTTCTGAAGAGTGGTCCAAACAAGTAGCTGGCAACACAAAAAAAAAACACTTTTTTCATTGAAGGGCCATAACTCTGCCAAAAATTAATTAAGTGGAAAGCCTGTGTTTTATGCGCAAGTACTTGAGCTACTCATCCATCCTGTAAAGTTTAAATGAAATTGTATTAGTGGTATTAAGAAGAGTAGTCCAGACACACTTTGAAAATAAAACTAATTAAAGAGCCATTTATAAGTCTGAAAAAAATCATTCAACCAAAAAAAACGAATGATATGCATAACTTAACTTTGTTCTGATCATTCCTATAAAGTTTGGATGAAATGACATCAGTAGTTTGTAAGAAGTAGTTCGGACAAGATTCTGTGTAACTGGCAACACACAAAAACACCTTTTTTTATTCAAGGGCCATAACTCCGCCAAAAATCATTCAACCAGGAAACCCATGTAATATACTTCAGTGGTATAGATAGTTTCAGAGGAGTAGTCTGGACAAGTTTTGTGACGGACGGACGGAGAAGTCATCCATATGTGTTGTCAATACTCTGTAGAGGCGACACAAGAATTAAACATATTTCTTCGGTTGAAATTTTTCAAAACAATTTTTTTGGATAAAAACTTAAGCAAAATGCCTTTTAACGTACAGGTACCACTGTATACATGTAAAATAAATGTGCAATAATATTGCAATTAGAATAAAGGCTTGCCAATTTATGTATACTTTCCTTACCTCAGCATATCTTGTTTGGTCATCCACAACAAAACTTGAGTCACCACTACTAAGAAGACTTGCCACTTCACTGGTCTTTCCCACTTTACCCCAATGATAGTTCTGTGAGGCACATTTCAATTCAAACACTGAAATATATGTATACACAAAATGTTTTAACTCCATGCAACAAGCAGAGACCAAGATCAGCTGGCAACGTTAAAAATATGTTGTTTTTTTTCAAAACGGGATGTAGAATAAGTTATAAATATATTATACTATTATAAGTATATGTCCTGGGATTGACAAAAACACATTTATGATGATTTTATTTGAAATTTATTTTTTTGCATTTTAAAACCAAGTGTCGGTGTTTCAGACATGTTCAATTATTATGTACCTGTAAAGTGGAATATACAGTCGAACATCGTTCGCTCGAACTCAGAGGGTCTGTGAAAATTTGTTCGAGAGATCGGTAGTTCGAGCCAAACGAGGTTGAACTATTATTACATAGAACATATGTCTAAAGGTTTTCCAGCTTACATAGGTCAAATGACAAATACGTCAATATAATCGTTGTTAGAACACCTGTTTGTCGAATACGTCATATTAAGAATTTTTATCCTATTGAAAACAATATTAACGGTACACTGTGTTAATCTATATTCATGCATATTGTAATTGGTTGAGTTCGATTGGGCAATCATTATCCAAACTGTGAACAATGTTTAAAATATATTTATATGTCTATTATGGAATTTATTTTATTCTAAACAATGAATTAATTAAATATATAAAAAAAATTTTTTTACAGCAGCATATATTTGTAGTCATTTACTAAAACAAACACGTACAAGTATCATTCTATAAATAGATTACACTGTTACAATTCACGATACATGAACAACGGTTGTAATTATAACCGTCCGGGTAAACATCATTTATTTATTGACTTTTTGCGCATTTCAGGAGTTGTTTTCTTTTCAATTTGTTACTCAAGACGGCAAATATACAATTTTATCATAACAAACAAATTGGTTACAACACCTTTTATTTTGTATCAATTAACCTTAATCGCCCTTGTCACGATCACGAGGTGTTAAAAGCATGTGTCACCGACTGTCAATTATTTAGAACATGTCGACCCGCAACTTTTGTTGTCTGTTTGTGATCGACCGAAAAGGTGTGATTTACAATATATTTCTGCCGAAGGGACCAGAGATCATGTTCGAGAGTTCGAGCGATGGGTGTTCGAGCGATCCGAGGTAGAACAATATATATTATATAGGAATTTTGCCGGGACTGGACGATGAGTTCGAGCGAAAGGAGGTATTCGAGCGATCCGAGTTCGAGCGAACAAAGTTTAACTGTACTATCAAGCAAAAATTATTCCATAATCAATGCCTCAAGATTTCTCTGGTTACTTTACAGTACATGTCAACCAATTACAATTTTGGTCAAAATGAGCTTAATCGGGTACTACTACACATATAGGTTTTTACAGTTAAAATGTATTACAAAAAAATAATTTTTAGAAAATCGATTGACAAATAGAACGAGGTACATTTTTGTGATGAAATATCCAGACACTTTGAATATTATGCTAAGCTACACAGAAAAATGCAATAATTACCTGCTTCTTGCATTGTTGGCATTTGTTTACATCAGTCGAGCCGCAAGTTCGAATGAAATGGTTTTTAATCTACATATTTGTCAAACCTACTGCTCTGAAGATTGAGATCTTTAATAGCAAAATAAAAATGTAAAACACAAAAGAAATTGGTGAATATCAAGATTTATATAAAGATTGGAAAGTATTTTTCATTCGTATATTTCACTATCTCTCAACATTTCCGGTGAAACTCGATAATAAATTTTATCCTGCAAATATTTATTTAAATAGAACCACTGATTCGAAAGGTAAAATTAAAGTTCTCATCTCATGCGTTCTTTGGAATTTTATTTAGTAGATCTAATTTAGTTTCCCTCAATATAGAGATCTATCACACGCCAAACAGCCGAAGTTGCCCAAACAGTAAAAAACCACTGGCAGTCAAAGCATGAGAAAGAATTCTAAGGACTGAGTATGGTGTGATTGTACAGAAGATTTACAGACACTTCACCCCCCCCCCCAGACACTTCACCCTAGGCCTTTTTTTTGCAGACACTTCACCCCCCTCATTTTAAGAAGGAAGTGGCCGTGAGTCACGTACGACTAGCCAGGGCACACTGTATTGGCTAGCCGTACGGCATTTTTCAAAAATATATGGAAGGCGAAAGTACATATGATAATTATGACTTTAATCGAGGATTTTAGTCAAGAATGTTTACTTTTTAGAGATTAATCGACGTGTTGGCTTCAGTAAAGAATTAATTTACGTACTTTAATTGTCATCTTAAGACGTCGAGAAAAAATAGCGTTTGCCATGGTTGCAGTTAAATAACATCAATTGAAATAGTTTACAAAATTTTGATAATAATCCTTTTTTGTTTCATTAAGTTTAATTTTTAAATTGAAAAAAAAACAAAAAAAAAAAACACCGAAAATAATTGTTGTTGGGCTCTGATAATTGCGTCAATTACCGACGGTATAGAAGTTTGTCCATCGTCCATCATTAAGGAAAGTTTGCATTATTAAATTATTTTTTCCTTTTCACCGTTTTTAGCTCGACTATTCGCAGAATAATCGAGCTAATGCAGTCACCCATTTGGCGGCGTCGGCGTCCCTGTGGTTAAGTTTTTGTATGTATGCTGGTATCTCCATAACTACAGAAGGGAATGGATTGAAACTTCACACACTTGTTCTCTGTGATTATGTAAGATGATTGGCACAAGTCCCATAACTCTGATTTGCTTTTTTACATAATTATGCCCCTTTTTCGACTTAGAAATTCTTGGTTAAGTTTTTGTATGTAAGCTGGTATCTCCATAACTACTGAAGGGAATGGATTGAAACTTCACACACTTGTTCTCTGTGATTATCTAAGATGATTGGCACAAGTCCCATAACTCTGATTTGCTTTTTTACATAATTATGCCCCTTTCTCGACTTAGAAATTCTTGGTTAAGTTTTTGTATGTAAGCTGGTATCTCCATAACTATTGAAGGGAATGGATTGAAACTTCACACTCTTGTTGTCTGTGATTATCTAAGATGATTGGCACAAGTCCCATAACTCTGATTTGCTTTTTTACATAATTATGCCCCTTTTTCGACTTGGAAATTCTTGGTTAAGTTTTTGTATGTAAGCTGGTATCTCCATAACTACTGAAGGGAATGGATTGAAACTTCACACACTTGTTCTCTGTGATTATCTAAGATGATTGGCACAAGTCCCATAACTCTGATTTACTTTTTTACATAATTATGCCCCTTTTTCGACTTAGAAATTCTTGGTTAAGTTTTTGCGTGTAAGCTGGTATCTCCATAACTACTGAAGGGAATGGATTGAAACTTCACACACTTGTTCTCTGTGATTATCTTAGATGATTGGCACAAGTCCCATAACTCTGATTTGCTTTTTTTACATAATTATGCCCCTTTTTCAACTTAGAAATTCTTGGTTAAGTTTTTGTATGTAAGCTGGTATCTCCATAACTACTGAAGGGAATGGATTGAAACTTCACACACTTGTTCTCTGTGATTATCTAAGATGATTGGCACAAGTCCCATAACTCTGATTTGCTTTTTTGCATAATTATGCCCCTTTTTTTACTTAGAAATTCTTGGTTAAGTTTTTGTATGTAAGCTGGTATCTCCATAACTACTGAAGGGAATGGATTGAAACTTCACACTCTTCTTGTCTGTGATTATCTAAGATGATTGGCACAAGTCCCATAACTCTGATTTACTTTTTTGCATAATTATGCCCCTTTTTCGATTCATAAATTCTTGGTTAAGTTTTTGTGTGTAAGCTTGTATCTCCATAACTACTGAAGGGAATGTATTGAAAGGGTTTGTACCTTTTCGGACAATTTAATGTATTCATATAGGTAAGCATTATTATACTCAATGAAACACCCTTGTGACAAATTTTCGAATAGTCGAGCGTTACTGTCCTCCGACAGTTCTTGTTTTTAATATTCTTTTTATTTATTTCTTTATTCCCCTCCGATCATTATTTATTGGACCCATGTGCTTAATAAACAGATTTAACAATTTATCTTTCATACAAATCATAAGCATGAAAATTAAGATAGATTATACAACGCTTACTCGTATTCATTTTTTTTTTTTTTTTTTTTTTTTTTTTCAAAATTGCGGAGCATCTTTATTAAAGTGAACACACTAGGACAAATGCGGAGATTTGATTAAAATCGTCGTTTAAAGACACAAAATAACATATGCATTTTCGACTTCCATATAATTTTGAAAAGTGCCGTACGGCTAGCCAATACAGTGTGTCCAGGCTAGTCGTACGTGACTCACGTACGGCTAGAACTTTTGGCTAGCCGTACGGGCCCGTACGGCTAGCCACTTCCTTTTAAGAAATTTGATTGAGACACTTCACCCCCCATTTTTTCATTTTGTGTTTAACAATTATTTATGTAGAAATTCAATAGTGATTGAGTATGTTAAGTGTCATTTACGTCATTTAAGTACATTTACCTGAATTGAAAAACATGTTCATGCCTTAGTGTTGCATCTAGACGGCACGATTTGTGCATACATTGTATTTTTGCAGATCGCGCATTTTAATGAAGTTAATGCACGCCAAGTGGCGCATCTAACGATCTTTTCATCCTAATTCAGTTAATCTTCATTGTATCTTGAATATTTCTGCCATGTTTGTTTTCTCTCGCAGTAATGACTAAAATTTGTACTAAATCGCATGTAGCAGCAGACTGTCTTCTACCATGTGTACTGACAGCTTGATCTGCACACTTAACTAGTAATCGTCGATATTTTATTTTTTCTATTTCCGTTGTTGAGCGTAGCTGTCAAAAATGCTTAAACGTAAAAAAATAAATTCTTTTTCGAACGTCATTTTGTTGGTTAAATGCACATTTTTTTTTTTTAAATTCCCCACATTTTTCACTGAGTGGGGGACATTCCCCATAATTTTGAAATTCTAGATGCAACACTGATGCCTGCATTTGGAAATGAGTAGCACTGCCACAAACTTGCTAGGATGGTCTTGGGCCATGTCTCAATTTGAAATCCTGTACCTGTATAATAATGCTGAAACAAATTATTTGTAAGCATCTCATTTTTGTGTCGCCTGCTAAAGAGTAGCTGCTACACATATATACTAGGCATTACTTCTCCGTCATCTGTCTGTTCTCACATCTGAAAAGAAATACGGGACCATCTAACTGCAAACAGAACAAAAGAGAACAATAAAACTTATTCAGTAACAATAGAAGAAGGGGCCAATACCCTCTATTAAACTAAAGAAATGGCCCCTAAGGCCTAATCCTACTTGCATGTCAGTCTGTCACAGAACTTATCGGGACTACTCCAAAACAAGTACTGATGCTATTTTCTTTTACAGACAGAGAGAGCTGTTTGAAGATGATGGGAATGGGGATTGAACAAGGTAAGTTTAATACTGGGGCAAGGAAATATATCTGAATTGTGGGAACATTATTATATATTAAAGAACCAATCAATCAATCAGATTTGAACAGTATACAGGTCAATTTTAATGTTTAATTTAGATATGGGCATGCTTGGTTTTAAGGAAATGCCTGAACTTTTCAGGGTGGCCAGTTGGTACACTTATTTTAGTAATACTGATTCAAAAAAGGGTGGATGAGCATCTTTACCAATCATTCTCTACACATACCTAATTCTATTATAAATGAACAGTGACAAACTCTTTTATCCATAAAAATAGATGCAAGTTTTTGAGAATATTATCCTGATTTCAACAATAGGTTTAACTCAAAATATAATTATTTTATTTTTATAATAACTATGTTTCAACAATTAATTTGGATAAAAAAGATAGAATCTGAAATTCAAATAAACATTTGAGCCGTGTCGTGACAAAACCAACATAGTGCGTTTGCGACCAGCATAACCTGCGCATCCGCGCAGGCTAGTCTGGATCCATGCTGGTAGCAAACACACTATGCTGGTTTTGTCGTGACGCGGCTCAATTTTTATGAAGTCATATCACTTTTATAAGCCAGTCTGTTCTAAAATTACTTACTTTTAACTTTCAGGCTACATGAATAATGAGCCTCTTGCCTTCAATGCTAACAAAGGAAAGCCACCCATGCCATCTGATGGGAAAAAGGGTGAGTTACTGTTCTTTATAAGGTTTCAAAATTATTTTATTCTCATTGTAAATAATTCAATGTGAAGGAAAATAATAGTGAAATTGTTTTAAGAGTTATTGTAATGTTCTTTAGGAGCTTTCAAACTTAATTCTAACCCTGCTATAATCTAAAGTGATTAATTAGCCTTTGCCACTTGAATTCTGTTTACTTAAAGGGCAAAAAAAACCAACTAAGCCATTTATTTAACAGTTGCTCAAAAGAAGCAATCTCTCTTTCAGATGATAACTCGATGAATGCATTTGCAGCTAAACTTTTAAACATACCAAAATCTGAGCGTCAATTTTCTGATGATGGTTCCAGCATGACTATGCCACCTATGCCCCCTGCGGGAATCAGCGATGGTAATCTAGATCAACAGAATATGATGATGCAAGGGGGACAGGGTTTCTTTCCTATGGGCGGTATGGGGCCGATGATGGGAATGATGGGCCCTGGACCTAGCCCTGAGATGATGAGTATGGGAAATATGATGATGTTCCCTGGGGTGAGTGTTTGTATTGTATGTTTAAACTAAAAGTAATATTTAAAGATATACTGTGCTCAAATTCTATTTTATTTTATTTATGGTTCTTAGATATTCTTTAATATTGATTTATTTTTACAGATGGGTTGGGGACCAGGTGGGGCTCCAATGGGAACAACTGATAACATGCAGATGGCGCCAGTTGTAAAGGAAATTATAAGGATGAAGAATTGCGTTCTATATCCTCCTCCGCCAAGTAAGATTATATTCTTATTTTTACGGTAGGGCTTTATTTTGGACCTGGAATTCAAGATTTATTGAAAAAGTTAAGATGTCCCATTGTCAAGCCTCTGATCAGGACAACAACTGTCAGTTTTTAGAAAAGCTTTGTAACATGAACTTGAAGGTGCCTAACTTCAGTTGTAGGATAAAATTTCTCAATGAAGAGTGTATCAGTTCTTGAATGTAAATAATTGGAAGAGTACTTATCTGGTGACTTTGTTGCAATAGCAGATCCAAAGGACGAAGTGTTACTGATGTCATAAACATGTTTCCTCTTATGACTCAAGTAATGTTTACTTTTCATAATTGTGACACCTGTATTGGCTAAAGCAGTATGATTTATGCTATATTTTATGTTCACAGATGCTCCCCCACCAACAACAAGAGAGCGTCCACCAGGTTGCCGGACAATATTTGTTGGTGGTTTACCTGAAACGTGTACAGAAGAAATTCTACAGGAAGTGTTCGGGGAATTCGGTCCCACCACTAGTGTTCGTAAAAGCAAGAAGAAGAATTTTGCACATGTTCGATTTGAGGATGAGAATAGCATTGATAGATCGCTGTTTTTGTCAGGTAGGCGGGATTTGGTTTGATTGACAGATTAGTTATTCATATCTTTTTTTCAAGTTCATAACGTGCAGCTGCTGTTTTCCTGTTATTTTATTTCAGGTATTTCCTTTTTTTCCTAAAATCGATTTCTTAATTTGTCTTAGTTTGGTCTTTTATAAGGTTACTAACTTCAATAAACTTGCTTTTCTCAGCTATAGAATTTTAGTCCTGTCAGGGGGTTTGGATTCTTTCATTTACAGAAGCAACCAACTAGCTTTGGAAGGTGTAGTTCCAGCGAATTTTTCCGGATATAAGTGGAACCGAATAACGGACCCATTCACAACTGTTCTAGTGGGGGTGCCTTCTTCCTAATTAGTTCAAGCAGATAATCTACCATTTGACCATTTCAGTGTAACATTCAATTAAACAATATATAAGTAAATAAGTCTTTTTGTCACTATGACTAAACAGATTATTTGCAATTATTTTGCAGGTTACAGAATGAAAATAGAGGACAAAGATGACAAAGCTAACACAGGTCGACTGCATGTAGATTTCGCCATGGCACGGGATGATCAGTACGAGTTTGAATGCAAGCAACGAGCACTAATGCGAGATATGAGGCATCGTCAACGTGTCGAGGAAGAACGGTTACGACCGCCAAGTCCCCCTCCAATTAGTCAGTACAGTGATTATGAAGCTTCTGCACTGAGTGAAAAACTGAAATGTAAGATTTTATATTTTACAAATTTTTATAATGTTTTATTTTTTAATTTTTATTAGTTTCATTTGATAGAACTTTAAAGTTTTACCCACCTAGTTTCTCTTTGAAAACAATATTATATAGAACGTAGAGCATAATAAGTTTGATGTTTTATTACCTGACTGTACAAAAATAATCTTGAATGATAATGCAATTACTGTATAAGTAGATATTTCTGCATGTTGAAAAGTTAACAAATTTAAAATTCCAGACATTTTGCATGAGGAAATATTAGCGAATCGTGAAAAGGTACAATTTTATGACAGGTTGGTTGATATTTACGCTAGAGGAAATTTTAGCGATTGTCATCAGTTTACAAAATTCACCAATATTTACGCGTAGCTAACTTAACCACTTAAAAAGTACATTAAGATAATTTCGAAACAATCTAGTTAATCAGTGATTTTTCGGGGTCAAACATGTTCCGCAAACTTTATTACAGCTGACGAAGATTTCATGAAGGCGTCACAGGTGTTGTTGACATGGTTAGAGAGAGGCGATGTCAGTCGTAGAAATATCAACACGTTCTACAGTATGATTCAGTGTACGAACTCTCATATACGCAGATTACTCATGGAGAAACAAGGCCATGAGGAGGAGCTTTTACGAATGAAAGAAAAGTTCAAGAGCATATTTGAAGGAATTTTACGACAATGTAAGTATTTGCGATACTACTTCTACTGTCAGTTCTGTATATACCATATATAAAAAAGGTTTGTTTTTTTTTTGTGAAAAAAAGTCCTAATGAAAGATTTGTTAGTATTAGAACAGTAATACTCATGGAATAGAAATGATTTGTTTTTTGGTATGAAGAACTTTGGGAAGGAGTGCTTGTGACATTATCAAATGTTGAATCTACATTTGGGTTGGACGATGAAATCATTTTCGTAAAGTTTCTCAGTAAGCAGCCTACGTGTTAAGGAGGTTGCTTGTTATTCTTTACTTTACTTTACTTTAAATTTACTTATAAAACCAAATCTATCTGCTTAGATAAATAGGAAGAACATTGAATTTGTAATCCAGAGGGTGCTAGTTTGATCTTCATGCGTGGTTAAATTTCTCTGTGAAAATTGTTCTCAAAAAAGTCATTTGTCTCTTACCACAAGAAGTAGAAGGGCACTTGTGGAGAAATTGATAACTACTTGTTAGTTAGCCAGAAAAGCTGGTTGATTAACCGAGGGCAGAAATATTACCAAACATGCATGTACAGTGCTGTTAAAAGCGAAACAAACTACATTGGTGGTCACTTGTGAAGGACAAGTAAATATGAGTTTATCAAATGAGAAACATTGGTGTCTACAGGGAATACATATATCTTTGATATTGTTTAAAAGTCATGTTAAAACATTAGTCTACACATGTTATCTTTTTTCTTATCATTATATATGAAGGAGCAGCAAAATGGTAAGAATTTGTGTGCTAATATTCTTGCACACAATTGTTTCTTCTTTTTTTTTTCAAATAAAAATATATTTGACAGACAGACTTTTCCATTATTGAGTCATCATAAGTAACATCTATACAAATGTATTTATACACATGAATATATTTGCCATTTTAAAGTCTTAGAATCACTGTGATTCTGTGAGTAAAACCCCATTAAACAAAATGAAAAATACATGAATGGGTTACTTTTGAGGAAATATAGAAGAATCTTCATTTCGATTTTTCTTCTTCAAAATTTTCTGCTTAGTAAACATACTTAATGATGGCTCAAAATCAAATTTATACCAGGGGGAAAAACAACAGCAAGGAAAGAGACCATAATTGTTCTGTGTGAATGGTTTTGTTATGATAGTTAAGACCATGTTTAGTACATTTCAGGTTAACTAGAGTACTAAAACTTCTAAAACGAGATGTTTGGGAAGTCAGTGATAATTGGGATAGGTACAGTCTAAATGTAATCATCTTAAATTTTTGATGGTTAAAAATTATTTTCCCTCTGACTGGAATATTATCATATTTCTATTTTCATGTTAAAGTTGTTTTCGGGAGTTTTCATATAGGCAAAATTAAAACTGTGCAATTGAATTTCTTTAAACTTGGCATGTTGTTAGAATATGATAACAGAAACATTTTAAGCGGAAAAAAAATTGGGGTCACTGTTCTCGTTTTTGAGTTATCTGCCCCTGAATAAGAATTTTCTACTTATTTGAGGTCATTTCAAGGGCAGATAACTTAAACATACTTAAACGAATTCTTGATTTTAATTCTGGATTATGTTTTTCTTTTTATTGTTGAGTACAATACATGATAACATGCAATTCCTTATGTTGTTTCTGTTATTTTTTTTTCAATGAAAATAAAGGTACTTTAAATTCTTAAAAAAGGTAAAAAGAAAAAAGTGAGAGAAAAAATATCAACTCTAAATTTGTTCTTGAAATTTTGCATATCGACTAAAAGGAAGGTAAGCTTCATGAAAATAAGAAAAATGTTTCTGTTATCATATTCTCAAAACATGCCAAGTTTAAAGAAATTCTATAGAACAGTTTTAATTTTGCCTGTATGTCTATATGAAAACTCCCAAAAACGTCCTTAAATGAAAGTTTTAGAGTCTTGATTCAATCTTAGTACTTAAATGCAATTTGGTTTTAAAAGAACACTTATATAGATTGTCAAATCTATGATTACATTTAGACACAACAATGTTTAGAACTACATGTATATAGTACGGATTCCTTGTTGAATAAGACCATATTTTTCATCTCTAGTTCAGAAGTTTTGAAGATTCATGGTTATGTTAGAGCTGTTTTCAGTTCTAGTTCAGACATGATGAGGTTCCATGGTAATATATATAAATAGAACTGTTTTCAGGTCTAGTTCAGACATTTGAAGATCCATGGTAATATAAAAACTGTTTTCAGTTCTAGTTCAGACATGATGAAGTTCCATGGTAATATACATGTGTATATATACAAAACTGTTTTCAGATCTAGTTCAGTCATATTGAAGATACATGGTAATATATGAACTGTTTTCAGGTTTAGTTCAGACAAAGTGAAGATTCATGGTAAAATATAAACTGTCTTCAGGTTAAGTTCAGACAAAGTGAAGATTCATGATAAAAAATAAACTGTGTTCAGACATAAATATGAACACAATTTTCTTAGTTCTAGATCAGACATTCTTAAGATCTGGGAAAAAAGAACTCATTTGAAGAAAAAATGATTTTCAAGTTTTTAGCTCACCTGTCACAAAGTGACAGGGTGAGCTTTTGTGATCGCTTTTCGTCCGGCGTCCGTCCGTCCGGCGTCCGTAAACTTTTACTTTAAATGACATCTCCTCATAAACCACTAAGCCAATTTCATCCAAACTTCACAGGAATGTTCCTTTGGTGGTCACCTTTAAAAATTGTTCAAAGAATTTAATTCCATGCAGAACTCTGGTTGCCATGGCAACCGAAAGAAAAAACTTTGAATATCTTCTTTTAAAAAACCCTAACAGCTAGAGCTTAGATATTTGGCATGAAACATCTTCTAGTGAGTGTCTACCAAGTTTGTTCAAATAAAAGCCCTGGGGTCAAAATTGGCCCCGCCCTGGGGGTCATTGATTTTCCCAATATGCATATAGTAAAAACTTAAAAAATCTTCTTTAAAAGAACCCAAAGAGCTAAAGCTAAGATATTTAGCATGAAACATGTTCTAATGGGTGTCTACCAAGTTTGTTCAAATAAAAGCCATGGGGTCAAAATTGGCCCCGCCCCGGGGTCATTGATTTTCCCTATATGCATATAGTAAAAACTTAAAAAATCTTCTTTTAAAGAACCAAAAGAGTTAGAGCTAAGATATTTAGCATGAAACATGTTCTAATGGGTGTCTACCAAGTTTGTTCAAATAAAAGCCCTGGGGTCAAAATTGGCCCCGCCCCGGGGGGTCATTGATTTTCCCTATATGCATTTAGTAAAAACTTAAAAAATCTTCTTTTAAAGAATTGAAATAGCTATGGCTAAGATATTTAGCATCAAACATGTTCTAATAGGTGTCTACCAAGTTTGTTCAAATAAAAGCCCTGGAGTCAAAATTGGCACCGCCCGGGGGTCATTGATTTTCCTTATATGTGTATAGCAAAAACATAAAAAATCTTCTTTGAAAAAACCCAAATAGCTAGTTAAGATATTAAGGATGAAACATCTTTTAGTGAGTGTCTACAAAGTTTGTTCAAATAAAAAACCTGGGGTCAAAATTGGCCCCACCCCGGGGGTCATTGATTTTCTTTATATGTGTATAGCAAAAACTTAAAATCTTCTTTGAAAAAACCCAAATAGCTAGAGTTTAGATATTAAGCATGAAACATCTTCTAGTAAGTGTCTACAAAGTTTGTTCAAATAAAAGCCCTGGGGTCAAAACTGGCCCGGTCCCAGGGGTGTCATTGTTTTTAACTATATGTGTATAGTAAAAACTTAAAAAAAATCTTTTTTTAAAAAGCCCAATGAGCTAGAGCGTAGATGTTTAGCATGACACATCTTCTTATGGGTGTCTACCAAGTTTGTGCAAATAAAAGCCCGTGGGTTAAAATTGGCCCTGCAACGTTGGGGGGGGCTATATTCAGGTGAGCGACCTCAGGGCCATCATGGCCCTCTTGTTTAAGTTTTAGTTCAGACATATTGAAGATCTATGGTAGAAAAAGAACACATTTTCAGTTCTTATTCAGACATTTTGGAGGTCCCTGTTCATTAAATATGTAAGATTTTATTTTCATTTCTAGTTCAGACATGTTGAAGATTTCTTGTATGATACAAAAGTTTAGTTCAAACATGTTGGAGGTCCCTGGTAATTAGATATTTAAGAACATACTGTTAGTTCTAGTTCAGACTGATTAAAGATTTCTGGTAAGAACAGAGTATTAAGTTTAGAACTATGTGAAACATGTTGGAATGCACCAGCTTATTTAGGTTTTACAACCATGATCACATAGCATACCCTTGTGTTTCATAAGACTGTGTAGTCAATATTGAGACATATTTTTTAACATATGTGTATGTGTTATCAACAGTGAAGTATTAGTTGCTGAAATGCCTTTTATGATACTGCTAAAAAGATTATGACCCACATATTCATGCATAAAAAAGGCCTAGGCAAAATTTTCTTTGTTAGCAGGATTGAATTTGTTTTTTAGTTTGAAATCTCCAAATTGACGTTTTTTTCTTTATAGGCGATAAGTCCATTCACATAAATTAATCCCCCCCCCCATCCCAAGAAAAAAGAACTTTGAAAAATTACTTAGGTGATGAAAGGCATTTCATACATTTGTGCAGTAAAAGCAATTCTTTATTGCTAAAAAAGATAGATAAGGAATTAAATGAATGGATATAGTATACATTGGGGTGACATGTACCTATGTTTATTATGACCACTTTTACCTCCTCCATGGTCGAGGGTTTAGAGTAGATGACTTCTAATCCAGTTACCTCTCTAGCGTGGGTTCTATCCCCGGGAGATGGTTTGGTAGTTTAGCACAGAGAAAGGTAGTCTAGTACTGGTGTAACTCTCCAGGAATGATGGTTTGGAAACTACCCGCCTATATGACTGAAATACTGTTCGGAAAAGGCGTAAAATGAAACAAACAAACAAAATTATGACCACTTTTTTATCTGGTTTTTAGCTCGACTTTTCTATGAAAAGGGGAGCTATCCTACTCGCCCCGGCGTCGGCGTCACACCTTGGTTAAGTTTTTCGTACCACCCCACTTTATTTCAGAAGTATTACAAGTATGGCTTTGAAACTTACCATACTTGTTCACCATCATAACCTCCATCTACAGACAAGAGTACATAACTCTGTCAAGGTTTTTGACAGAATTATGGCCCTTTTTTGACTTAGAAAGTGTATTGAGCTTGGTTAAGTTTTTTGTACCACCTCACTTTATTTCAAAACCATTGGAGGTATTGCTTTGAAACTGACCATACTTGTTTACCATCACGACCTTCATCAACAGACAAGAGGACATAACTCTGTCAAGGTTTTTGACAGAATTATGCCCCTTTTTGACTTAGAAAATACATTGAATATGGGTAAAATCCACTTATTGCCTTAACCCTTTGAGATATTGCTTTGAAACTTTTAATGCTATTTCACATCATTACCCCCATCTGTACGCAAGAGAAGGTTACTCTGTCAAGGATTTGTTTTAAAAATTAAGGCCTTTTATCGACTTAGAATCTTGGTTAAGTTTTTTGTACCACCCCACTTTATTTCAGAAGTATTACAAGTATGGCTTTGAAACTTACCATACTTGTTCACCATCATAACCTCCATCTACAGACAAGAGTACATAACTCTGTCAAGGTTTTTGACAGAATTATGGCCCTTTTTTGACTTAGAAAGTGTATTGAGCTTGGTTAAGTTTTTTGTACCACCTCACTTTATTTCAAAACCATTGGAGGTATTGCTTTGAAACTGACCATACTTGTTTACCATCACGACCTTCATCAACAGACAAGAGGACATAACTCTGTCAAGGTTTTTGACAGAATTATGCCCCTTTTTGACTTAGAAAATACATTGAATATGGGTAAAATCCACTTATTGCCTTAACCCTTTGAGATATTGCTTTGAAACTTTTAATGCTATTTCACATCATTACCCCCATCTGTACGCAAGAGAAGGTAACTCTGTCAAGGATTTGTTTTAAAAATTAAGGCCTTTTATCGACTTAGAATCTTGGTTAAGTTTTTAGTACCAGTCCACTTTTTGACTGAACTGTTTGAGATATTAATTTGAAAGTTGGAATACTTGTTTACAATCATGATTCCCAAACATGTCCAGGAGAAGGTAATTCTGTCAAAGATTTTATTTGAATTATGGCCCTTAACTGTCAATGTTTTGTATTATAGGCAAGCACTAAAAAACTTAAAAAATCTAAAAAAATTCATTCCTATCCACTTGTTCACTTTACCATAAATTATGTCATAATAAAATAATTCTTCACTAAATATCTTAATGCTCATGGCCATTGTTCACTTTAAAAATACAGAGATTCTTGTATTGCCTTTTACTGCAAAAACTTTTTTTATTGGCAAGCAATAAAAAAGTCGAGCGCGCTGTCTTACGGACAGCTCTTGTTATAATTTCATCCAAGCAAAAATTGTCATTGAATGGGTAAAAATTAAAATAACTTTAGAAACATTTTGCCAAAATTGTTTTCAATTTTGTATTTTACTGTGACAAAAATAGATAATCATAACCAAGCATTCCTGGAGTATAATGGGCAAGTTTTGGCATTTAAAGTACAAGATATTCCTTTATGGTTTTGGTTCTATAAAGAATTGATTGAACTGACACAGAATTTTTCTTACAATCCTATTAACAGTTGTCTTAGATGAAATACCCAGTTCAGAAGAAAGAAAAAGATGCTGACACATTTGGAAAAGATCTCACCATATCACATGGGTATCACCATATCACATTGGTATCACCATATCACATGGGTATCACCATATCACATGGGTATCACCATATCACATGGGTTTTCTGCAGGTTTATTTTCTTGAAACCAAATGATTTAAATGAAATCTAAAAACAGACTGAACAATTCATAATGAATATGGATATTGAATTATTTTAAGGGGGCAGCATAATGATGTATCTCATCCCTTAGCCCTTCACTTTTTGTTTGTTAAAATATTTGTAAAAATATATCTAGAGACACTGAATCAGTGTAATGTAAAATTTTACATAAAATAAAGAAAATTTTTTTATTTTATTTTTTTATGCTGCAGAAGACCCATTTTGGAATACAAATGTATATGCTAGGAAGTATAAAAAAATTTACAATTCTCATGATAGTCAGATGAACACAACTGTAAAAAATTGAATTATTACAGAAATGTAATGTGCCTGTGAGAACAACAAAGTCATCAGAATTGCACTGGTATTGGGTCACTATTGACCTGGATGTACAGTATTTTGTATCTGATATGAAAACTTAACTCAGACATTTGTTTACATTTCTTCCTGCTAGTTGATCAGATTGAGAAAATCTTCACGTTGGCGCAGAAACAACGTAACTGGGATCATTTTACAAAAGCTCAGCGCAAGAACATTGAACTCTGGCTCAAACAGGCAAAGGTAGGTGGACATAGACCTGGAAGTAATTGCTTGACAGATTGACAATTAAGTCTTGACAATTAATATCTGAAATTAAGTCTGATGGTCATTTGTCTTTCACTGCTGATGCAGATTGGATTACCGTAGTGATTGTTGTTTTTTTGCTGAGAATCCTGTGATAAGTACTAATTACTGTTTAGTTATCTAGCCAAGATACCACAATAAATATGTTGAAATTGGCATAGAATTCAGACAGACTTACTTTACCTAGAAACTCAAGGGATTTTAATATCAAAATGCTAAAATCATGTTTGTAGCTTGTTACACTGAATCACTGGATGAAAATTTAAATTTTAAACTGGAACTTGTAACAATCAAAAATTACGTTTCATGAGAAAAAAGTCATATGAGGGGTTATTAAGGTTTTGTCAAGCAGTTACTTCCCACCAAAGGCTGGTTGATGAACTGGGTTTTAGATAAAACAACCTTTTTACAGAGACTTAGAAAAGAAATGGTTGTACACACTCCCAGTTCAGGCATTGTAAAATGATTATTGTGAAGGTGGGTTACATTGTAAAGGAAAACGTGACACCAGACACTATTCAACTAAATGAGATTGAAATACAGTAGCTGTACAAAGTGGTTTCTGGCTTTGTTGATAATATTCCAAATAAGGAAATTTTCCTGGTGTCTGTCAGTTTTAGACGATTTTGTTTTTTAAATTTTTTGAGTTCATTGAAAAGGTGGTTAAATGCAATATGTGGAAAACATTTTATTTTTGGGGGGTTATAGGTCAAAGGTCATGGTAACATGCATCTGAAAAGTCCTTTGCTACCAGTTGTCATATAAGAAATACAGATGGTTTGTGGTTCTACCTGGGAGTCTGGGAAAACAATGCATAAGTATCTCAGGTCTTTCCCTTTTAAGTAAACCTTTCTTGAAATCCTCCAGCCAAAACAATGACAGTGTAACTTAAGAAAATAAAGTTACGGGAATATAGAAACCACACCAAAACTGAAGCAGATGGACATGTTCATAGAAGTGAATTAGGAGTAATTCTTTTTGGAGAATGGTGAGAGTTCAGACATAGACATTACCTAGTCAGTTGATGACAGCAGCTGTAGATGAAATGGCAGTAAAAGGGAAATAAGAACTAAACAATGAAAAGTTACCAGCATTTTTTGCTAACCACATTTTTATATTGCATACATATACCTGTCTTTTTACATAACTGGGTAAAGTGCACACCTGTGGATAGTGCACACCAGTGTATAGTGAAAATCTTTGTATGCCAGTAGTTGAAATTGGAATGTGTAGAATTTTGAAACCTAGTCAAAGGATTTTAAAAGCAAGCACTTCTGACATGGTAATACTAGTAATTGGTAGGTATTAAAGACAACTTGACTATGATTTTAGATTTTCAAGAAATCTGGATTGTCTTGACAAGAAATTGTTGAACTTTTTTCGTTGTGTTTGGTAAGTTGGGAACGAGTGAACAATAGAACTTGAAATTATTTTACCAATTATGAGAATCAAGTATGACTGTTTACAGCTTGAGTTAAATTTGGTAAAAAAAGAGAAATTTAAGGAATAATAGAAATAAATGGAGGCAAATTGGTGAGGTAATAAAGATGTGGACACTGGAGTTGTTGTATGTCATAGAATGTACATAATTTTCATGAATGTGCTTTCATTTTGGTAAAACACAGGTAGGTTCTTTCTTTGGATGACAGGTGAAAAAATATATAGAAAATTGTGTTTTTAAAATGTTAAAGAAAATCCCCATTCAGAGATGGAAGACAACTTATCAAACAGATGGGGCACAAGTGAATATTATATAATTGGATCAAACATTTTTGTGTTCATGTACATTAACATGATCGAGGTTGAATTTTTTTTATTTTACATTATCAACTTAAATTTTTTTTTCATAAATTTTTTTTTTTCATATTATGTTTTTTTTCTTTTATCTAATCTTTTGTGGATATACTGTATGAAACATTTTGATATAAAGTTTACTCATTTTCTAATAATTCTTTTTTATGACAATATAATTACTTTTAAAAGAGTATCATTTGAAAATGTATTAGCTACCTTTCTCCCAGAATTTAAGAAATTTAATATACAATCATGTTATTTGTTTAAATTGAAAAATGTCTTGTGAATGGAAAGAAATAAGGAATAGTTTGTGATATTGCAACAAATAAGTGATGATTTTAATAGAAAATATGTAATTCTGAGCTCTTTTAGGAGGCTTTCACTTAAATGTTTGTGTGGAAGTTGTTCAGCAAACTGTTAATTAATTTCAGGAAATCAAGCAGAACCAACAAGAGGAGTTCTTTAGTAATCGTCAGGAGGCCGAGATGGAAATGTCTGATGATGACGAGGGGCCGACAATACCAAAACGAAAAAAGCCGGAGTACAGTGAAACTACGACAAACCAGTATGTTGAAAGTAAGTTATCACTTATTATCACTTAATGCTGTAATCTACTTAAGTTGTGTAATGGACTGATCCAGCATCTATTTTGGAATCATAAATAAACAGTTTTGGGATATCAAGATGAAAATTTAAGGGTTGGTCAGTCAACAATATAGAGCCTCGTCAGACTGACTGGCCTGGCTCTATACTGGTGGCAAATGCTAACCACTTCCTGTTTCATCAGGATAAAGGATATAGTTTGTTTTTTCTGAAAGACACAAATTTTAACTTAAGGGAAGGCTGTCACTAGTAAGGGGAGGGGAGGCTATCCATACTAAGGGGAGGGGAGGGTATCTATAGTAAGGGGAGGCTATCCATACTGAAGTTTGATGATTCTCTACCATGGGTTAGTTTGTGACTGATTAAAAATGCATGATTGATGTTCCTTAGCATTGTGACAGTAAATTTGGAGAGTTGCTGTTTGACAAATTTACTTGTCTTAGTAGTAAATATTGGGGTAAGCTATTATTAAGGCCAATGAGTACACTAGTTTTATTCAAGTTGTAACTTGTTAAAGATATGGCATTTGTGTTAAAGATTAGAAATCATCATAATCAAAGCATAGGAATTACCTCCCAAGTTATTTATCAAATTCCAGGCCTGAATTTCATGGTAAGTCCTAAGTGTATCCTAAGTCCCAACTATAGGACTAACTTAAGACTGTTTCAATGAATATTTTTAACTTTAGTAAAAGATTTACACTTTGTTTAAAATCATTCTTCTGAGAAAAGTTAAGAACTACTGATACAATGACATACCCTTTGATCAGCAATGTGTAAATGTTTATCTTCAGTGATATTCAGAAATTGAAGAAATTTTAACATAGGGAGTAATAAGTTTAGGACATTTTCCTTGACTCATAAAATTGTTTCAATTTTGGTCTTAAGACTGCATTTAGAAGTAGGACTTTCTATGAAATGCAACCCGGGTGTGTGGATTGAAATTATTGGTGAACCAATGGCTGGCAAGCTTAATTATTTAATTGTCTTGCTTTTCCAAAGGTTGGCTAGCTGGTTCATGTAAATTGATCACTGTTCCAGTGGTTGGTGAATAGGTTTGAATTGGTTATTAATATATATTGTTCCAGTGGCAGGAAAGTTGATTCAGGAGATTCATTTTCTATTGCAGTGGCTGGCAAATTGAACCAGTTAAATATGTTAAAAGATGAGAATGATGATCTGAAGTGTCAGATGGAAGCTTTCAAAAATGAGCTGGAGCTGTATAAACAGGAGAAGACATCAAATAGAGGTGACAGTGAGAAAGAGGTCAAAGCATTACAAATGGCTATGCAGGGGATGCAACAGGTTTTACTTTAATTTCTTATACCTGTTTGGCTTTTTATTCATAACCTTGGGGCATCCATGGTCGAGTGGTTAAGGTCGTTGACTTCAAACCACTTGCTGGTTTGTTCGAATCCTGATAGTGTCTTTAAATTCTTTCATGTGAGTAAGCTATCAAGCTAGCTTTCAGAACATCGGTGGGTCTACTCAGCTGCCTGTTTCTGCCTGAAATAATGCATTGAAGGGCACCCAGAATCTAGAACATCTCCATTTGACCTATATTTGACTTGGTGAGGGGCAAGTGCGTGAAAGTCCTTGACCATAACTATGGTACTCAACAATGGGACCCACACTTATTAAGGATAATAACATGCCTAAATATATCACTTAATTAATGCTTTATTTATGGCTTAAATGTACAAACTTAACATATGACTTGGGTCATTTATACAAATATTTTAAACTAACTCAAGTTAATGCATGTTTCAGCAATTGATTACAGCAAGGACTGAGCTAACAGACTACAAGAAGAGAACTGACCAGGAAAAAGCTGTACTTGCCCTTGAGAAACAATCAGCATTAGATCAGCTGTCTAAAGAAAAAGCTGCAAATAAAGACAGAAGCACCTCGAGTTCAGAATCCACCTCAGAGGAGAAACAGGTATAACATCCAGTACTAGGCCATTTGTTAGCTTGTCTGTTGCTAAGGAAAAGTCTATGTATTATGATTGTTGTGGTGTCGTTGTCATTGTAGCTGTGCCAAAATGGGGCATTCTAAATGCAATGTTTTCTGAGTTATGCCCCTTTTAAACTTAGAACTTTTAACAGACCAGCTAAACCATCATATGAGGTGCTCTTGTATAAGCCATTAAACCTGTTGAATAAATAATTAGTAAGGGATTTGCCCCTCTTATAATTTAGAACAGTCAATTCATAATAAAGGGGATTTATCAAATATCAAAATAAAGAATTGAGCTACAAACAGTATAGAGCCTTGTCAAACTGCACAGTTGGCAGGATGGCCTGGCTCGATACTTGTGGCAAAGGCTCATACCTTTTGCCTCAAGCATGTTATGGATTAAGCTCACCAGAATCAAATGTTCCTGATCAAGTTTTAGTTAAAAGATAAAGCCACATTCCCAAGTCTTATTTAATTTGCAAAGCATTGCCCTAAACTTTACTCATTTGTCCATTTTGTTTTTTGCCCAATGTGTGCATTATTATTTAACTTTGCTTGATGAATGAAATATCATGAGTCATCTTAACAAATGTTGTTCTATTTTAAGCAACCAACACCACAGAAATTGGCAGTAGCTGAAGATACAATAAGCAGTACTGGGACACATGTCACAGAAAAAGAAGCACAACTTGTTGGTAAGCAAAGAAACTGTCATACAGACAACCACTTAGTCTAAATAATAATTTAGGGTCCTTTCACACAGTTTTTTTTCCAAAATGGTGAATTGCATAAGCATTTACAGTACAGTGTACAAGTTTTATGCAAGTTGAAGCTAAATTTATGATCTATTAGCTTGCAGGAGAAAAAACTGAGATTTTGTTAAAATGCTGTATTTTTGTGAATTTTATTATGTTATGCTTCAGGAATCAGTAATTTTTTAATTCTTTAGAAAGTTCAAACGTATGGTTAAAAATGCATTAGTAATAGATTAAGGGCATATTAGATGTTAAGCCACTGAAGAAAGAAGCGAGCTGATCTTGCTATAAAGTGTCATAAAGGTAGCAAACTAGACAGAGTAGTCTTGTGACTTTCATACAAAATACTATATCATTGTAATTAAGAGTAACAGAAACATCAATTCATCAATAATGCCAATGAGTGACTTTTTGAAAACTTACTATGTGAAGATACCAAAGATAATAAAGTTTTTGAGAGAGAAAAAATCACAAAATTTCAGGGACATAATGGACCCTAAGTAGAGCTGTCATTGATTCAGTGAAAAGCATATTGACGATACATCGATATATCAATTAATACTCTTTATTTTCTTGTATATGAAACTTTTTCATACCTGTTTAAATAATTTTAATAAAATAGATGTTCTGTTCATGAAAATATGTTGTGTCCTGTCTCTAATGGACCTTTGCACGATTGTTTTTTACTATATTTTGTCATCACTGCTATGAAATGTGTCCATTATGAAACAACAGCTTATTGTTAGACATGACCACTTACTTTTGTATATGTTTTTAGTGAATTTTCATAATTTATAGACACTAAGATAATTAATCAAAATAATCAATTTTTTCAAATGCGTATCGATTATTGATTGACAGAAAAATATCAACGATACATCAATATTGTCTCTATCAATGACATCTCTAGCTCTAAGGGAGAAACGCTATTATTTATATTGCCTTTAAATTGGAGTTGTGGTGCTTCAATATTATTTTTATTTTACTCTCTATTTTTCAGGTTTGGTGTGTTGTTTCTTACATGTACATCCCACTGGAGCATCTTTAGATTATATCTGGTCATATCTGCACCGGCTCGGTGTTGCCTGTCGTGTTAGTGAACTAGAAACATTACTCGAGAAAATGTCCATTATTTTCCGACAGGAAGTGAGTGGGGTAGGCGCAACTATAGAAAGACGATGGCACTTCACTGGATATAGAGGCTTTAGTTCTTCATCAGCCATTTCATTTTGATGGTTTCTTGAAGTAAATTTTCTCTATAAGTTTTAAGACATTTTCATATCTGACGGAGATGATTTTGCGAAGGGATATTTTACGCTACATTGACATTGCTGAATCAGAATGAACATTAAAAAGACGTCGTGACTTTGTTGTGTTGCTCAAGATAAAAGTTCTGTTGAAATCCAGATGGATTGCTGAAGAGATATTGTGATGAAGTAAGGTTGGTTTGTTTGTGAAGTGGTGATTTCATCTTTCATCATCATTTTTACAAAACAATCATGTTCTACGCAAACTGTAGGGGTTTCTGGTTGGGGTTGAAGTCTTACAAAACTATGCTTTTTTAACAAGGTTTTGCAACTTATTTAGCTTTCATAAAACTAAGGGTTAAATTAGTAAATTTTAATCAGTGTATTTGCAGTATTTTCAACAACTGTTTTCTGCCCTATTAAGTGACTGAGAGAATTTCAGTCTAAAGTAAAAAGTGTAGATGATTTTTTTAAACTTTAGCTATTCATATCATTTAGAAATTCAATACTTTGAATAAAGAGTTTCTTGCTTCAGAACATAAATTTAAACATTGCACATTATATTATATTTGTTGATGTGTACATTTTAAAGTTGTTTTGAAAATTCATTTATCTTTTATACATAGCACAAATGTTATTGTACATGTATTTTGCTGTCAGCATTTTATGTTCCTGTATTTTTGCGCCATGAAACCCAACCCAATACAAGTATTAATCAGTCATTGTAATACACAATTTTAATAGGGCAAACATTTTAATCTTTCCTTCACTTTTTTATAAGGATTGCTCATAGTTTTGAGTGAAAATTTGCATTGTATGAATTCATCTTGAATTGTTATAGATATGTGATTGTGAAAATGGTAAATTCAGTGATATAAATTGATGAAAATTGAGTAAAAGAGATAAATGGGCAGCTTTTTTGCATGTCAGACAAGATTATTTGCTGTTTTACACCGGTGTCAGAAAAACCTGTCTTACATCCCCGTGTAGGATTTAATGCATTATGGTTTAGTTTTCCATTTCACTTTAAGTGAAGTAAGGTGATTTCTTACATTTATGTTAAGTATTTTGTTGTATGATGACATTTTCTTGTATATGAAGTATTATTGTTAAGCTTCAATCTTGATATGTGTGCTGCATACATTTTAAATGTATGGAATAAAGGTATAAAAAATATGCATCTATTTGTTATTGTTAGAATAGGTACTGTTATGTCGTAATAGGTTTATCCATAATGTAACATGGTGTCACAAAAAGGGATTCGAACCCAGGCCCATATCATCCCAAGCAGAACGTGTTGTCCTGAGGACTTAGTTGCAGAGTGGTTTAGGATGATTACTGCAAATCTCTTATCCCACTCTCTTCTGCAGGTTTTTATTCTGCCAAGAAATCAAATTCTTCATGTGAAGAAGCTATCTGGTTGGCTTACGTAAGGTCATTGGTCATATTCCTGTGCCCACTCGTGCATAAAAATAGTGCACAGAGGAACTTGTCTCTATGGTCAACCTTAAATTTGTGACTTTATCTTTGCTGGTGTGACACAAAGTCATAAAAATAAAAACATTATTATCCAGTCCCTGCTAAATATTGTTATTAAATAGAGTTGTTTCCCTTTAACTTGTTGACAGATATTAAAGCAGTCCTATGGCATGATTTATCAGTATATTACCAAGGTCACAAGATTTGTTATCAAAAACCTTTTTACTGTATCAAAATAAAGTGTGAAGTTAAAAAAAACAAACTGGTATTTAACTGTCCTAATCAGCTACCGGTAATCAAACCTTATGAGAATATTTGGTAATCACATTCTTGTAAATGTTATCTAATTATTAATTAACCATTCCAGGTGTTCACTTGAAAACTTAACATATGTCTTTAGTATTGAAATTGTATCCAGTGACTGTTGAAGATCCGTAACTTTAGCATGGATATTTAACCCATTTTTATCTCAATTTTTTTTTTGAAAGTAGATGTATTGTTACAGTCATGTTGGCGTTGTCATCCGCAAACTTGTATCTTGATCATAACTTTTTTATTTCTTGGTGTATTGTCTTCATACTTGGCCACAACAACCCTTGGGACAAAACCTTGCAGTAGACCAGACTAACCTTGACCTTCCTTCATAAATGACCTTGACCGTCAAGGTCAAATGTCCAAATTTTGCTTGTTTCTTGTTTAGGTACAAAGTTAGTATGCTAGTTATGCACATAAGTTTAACTTCAGTCCAAAAATTTGTTGGTCTTCACTTGAAACATAACATGCCTTAGGGTCATAATTGTTGGTCACCAATCAAGAGCCATAACTCTATGATGGCCATTTCTGAAATACTTGAACTTCCCTTGTTACAGCTTAGGAAAACATATTTGAAGGTAATTAATCATGACCCATAACTCTAGCATAAATTTAAACTGATTTATTCCCCTTTGTGAACATGCACATAATTATTGTCCTCATACTTCCAGAAGTTCATTCTTGGAACTCACAGCACACATTATAATTATACTACATTTAATACTGGTATAAGGTAAATGGCCTGGGTCACAGGATGCCTTTGAAATGAGGACTTTGTGCTGGAAAAAAAATTGTTATGTATGCTTCATGGAATTGCTTCAAAATTTTGATACCTATCCTTTACTACCTGTACCATAATCAACAAGTTCATAACTCTTAAGCACCTTATGATGATCTTTAACATACTGGCTCCTATGATTTAAAAAGTGGATTACAACATTATAAATGAGCCGTGTCACAACAAAACCAACATAATGGGTTTGCGACCAGCATGGATCCAGACCAGCCTGCGCATCCGCGCAGTCTGATCAGGATCCATGCTGTTCGCTTTTAGTTTCTTTACTTGTTATAGGGTCTGTAAGCGAACAGCATGGATCCTGATCAGACTGCGGGGATGCGCAGGCTGGTCAGGATCCATGCTGGTCGCAAACCCATTATGTTAGTTTTGTCATGACGCGGCTCAAATCATAATGACCCTATTCAAAAGGTTATCAATGGTTATCATAGTATGTTCTTATAGTCAGTGACAAGTGATCAAACTTTTTTGCCTCATTCATGAAAATCAGAATGTTTGTTTTAGAAAATAGGGCATAACTGTATATTTTTTGTTGAACCTTTGAATGTAGCCTTTTCCTAGCATGCCTTTGGGGGATATAGATTTCAAGCATTCACAACCTGTGGATTATTTAGTGAAATCCGTCAAGCGTATCAAGTTTGGACTTAACTGTTCACTGGTGACTAGAACACATACTGATCATTGATGCAAAGCTGTGAAATAGAGTTTGGGTGAATTTAAAACATACTGCTTGAAAATAAGAATAAAACAGTGAGTACTTTTTGTTTTGTTTTAAAATTGTGTTTTTATTTTTCATATTTTATTTCAGTGAAATTACTGAGTATTTGATTATCTGTTTTTACATGGAGTCATAATCTGACATAGTATCAGATTGTTTGACAATGCTGACCTGAGACCACAGGAACGTGAAAGTTTCTACATTTACATGATACTCCCAGGCGATCAAGGCTGACTATGACTGGAATAAAATTTGAGAAAATCAGACTTTACAGTATTGTGTTATTATTTATAAAATTCCTGTGCTGAGACCAATTAATCTTTGGGAACCTATTTTAATTATTTTCTTGAATAAACAATCATTACAATGCAGTAATGCTGTTCAATGCTTTAGAATTTATGATGATATTAACGCAATATCTTTAATAACACAATTTCTGTAAATTTACATAATTTCTGTAAATTTACAGATTTGACATTAACAAACATGGCTGACAAAGCAGAATCACCTTAAGAATTAAACAACATACATAGCAGATTAATACTGACATATATGTGTTAATTCAAAAATAATCTGTAAATCTAAATGTTTAACATTTTTTCCTATGGTAGAGAAATATCTATGGACATTTATTTTACCATTGCCTTGTTACTTTAATTGGTCAGATTTTTTTTTTTTCAAAAAAGTAGAAAAGAAACTTCCAACTTGTCAATATCAGAGTATTTTCATAAAACTGAATGACTCATAATTTACAGATGTGTCAATGAGGCTGGCTGTTCGAAACTTGCCAATTGTTGTCATGGATTTTCTTGTTAATAATTCTGAATAATATATGAGGCGCGTCATGACAAAACCAACATATTGGGTTTGCGACTAGTATGGATCCAGACCATCCTGCGCATCTGGCAGTCTGATCAGGATCCATGCTGTTCGCTTTCAGTTTCTCTACTTGTAAAAGAGTTGGTAAGCGACCAGCATGGATCCTGATCAGACTGCGCGGATGTGCAGCCTGGTCTGGATCCATGCTGGTCGCAAACACAATATGTTGGTTTTGTCATGACGCTCAATTATAGGCTCAATTATCCTATTTTCCTGTATATTTCTATAGAACAGAAGGAAAGATGTCACATTTTACATTTGACAACATGATAGCAGACCTGACCAAACTTGATGGCTCACTACAGAGTGGACCACCTCAAAGATGGCGCAAGAAGGCCTCTAGTGGGCTTGAACCTGGAGGTATGCTAAATCATAGACATGATATTTCAATCTACCAATAATGTCGAACCCCTTGTGACGTAGACATGTTAACACTGTTAGATACAGAGTTATCTTCTCCTTTGTACTTATTGACCCTTAAATACTTTTATTTATTATATACTTACAAATGAAATTTTAATGAAATAAAATGTGTATTTTTCAATACTGGTATCTTCACTGTAAAAATTTGTTTTTCACTGCAGTGAAACATATCCGTATTTTCACTGGTGTCTTGCCAGACTACTTCTTCTCAATTCAGCCAATACACAAAATTTAAGAGGAATTCTTTCAAATTGTAATGTCAAAAGAAAGAAAGAAAAATGTATATAATAAGCAGAAAATTCAAGTTTTTGCTATAAATACAGGATTTATGTTCAACTTGTGATATGAAATTATCAAATTTCATTCTTGGCTACCGCCACTCATCAAATATTTATTTTCATACAACTCGATGAAAATAAATCATGTATTTTATAGAAAAAATCTTGGATATCCTCTATTTATTTCAACTCATAAATGCATAATGCAGTATATTATCCTACCAGCGCAATTTACAATTTTTTACAATTTGTTAAAAGCATACTGAAAATACTAGCCCACATGTAGCTGCATGATTTTAAAATAATCATCTTGAAGGCTTTAAAACCTAATTAACATCTTACGTTACTTGCAGTTTATTTTTTTTAAAATAATTCTTCCTTTCTATGTTGAATAATTCTGCTAAATAAGTTTTCAATTTTGAAATGTATGATGAATATAATATTCAACCAATGAAATATAATATTCAATAATTTTACAGGCTTGTCACCAAGACTTTCCAACAGAACACCAGGGCTGACTCCAAATTTACCGGATTCTGCTAAAAGTGTGAAAACGCCTGGTACTGGCAAAGCTTCAAGTAAAACTGAGGCAGCTCTTGGTGTACCGCCAAACAAGGGTCGCTGGAAAACACCGTCAAAAACACCAAATAAAGGGGGACAACAAGATAGGTAAGTTTTTCTATTTTGAACTGAACTGCATTACTACCCCTGACCAGCATGTTAATTCAAATTGAATATATGATCAATTCAATTCAACAAACGCTTTTCTTAAGCTTTCTATGTTTAGTTTCTTCAGGAATAATTAACTCAAATTAAAAGCAGCTAGGGTAAAACCCTAATAGATATACAAAAACTAAGGAGGTTAACGGTTATAAAAGCCTGTCTGAATTCCATATACTGACAGGCACACAAGGCACATCTTTATGGTTCAGCATTAAATTTTAAGTTATATAAACAAGCAAAATTGAAAAAGATTATTCGGGTATGAAACATACATGAATTGTACAGTTTGTTCAATATGTTAGAGGGACTTCACTGAGGTTTTTGACATGACATATTTGGAAATAATTTTTTCGAGATTAATGTTCTATTTGATGTAAATCTATCCCAATTAATGTTTGTGAAAAATTTAAGATCATTGGTTCACTCAGTTTTTCCAGAATAATTTTTCTTATTGCAAAAATTGACCAAAATTGAAAAGCATTATAACACTTTTCTATTGGGCTACTACAGCAAAAAAAAAATGCATTGAGTTTCAGAGAATATTTCTTAATTTATCTTTTGAATATCTATTTGTTTTCAGTGCAAAAGCTGATCCAAATTTTAAGTTTTTAGACTTTAACACCTCAGTGGGGTTCCTTTAAATGAGCTCCACTGAGGTTGAAGCCTTAACAGATAACATTTGAAACTCCTACAATTAAATCAATTGAGGTTCGACCTGTGTGATAAGTAAAAACGATAATGAAGAAATAACACTCAGAATTAAGATAAAAATTGCTTTTTTGATTCATAGTTGGGTTTGAGTTAATTTTTGGTTATTTTGCACAATGAATTATGATTCTGGAAAAACAAAGTGAACAAGATAATTTTTTATTGATATGAAATTTTGCACACAACTCAAGTTATTTGTTCAGATCAAGATCAAATTGTACACAAATCTCAAAAGTGTTTCAAGTACACTCATGCCAAAAACCTCAATAGAGTCCCTTCAAGATTATTAAGTCGACACACTATTTCCAGGTTTATACCAAATAGAGTAACTTCCGACATGGATATGGCTGGTTTCGCCATTACATGTGGCGAAGATGAAGAGAACATATCTCCATCAAAGGTAGAGTACCGGAAACAACTGGGCGAAGCCATGAATATACCGGAAAATACAAGGATTTTGTCATACCAAAAAAACCAACCCAAGCCAGCAGAAGGTATGGTTGCTTGAATATGCTATATTTGTAGATGTCAGTACTTTAATGTAAAGATACAGTGTGTGTAGGCAATTGGAATCTAAGGCAATCTGATTCAAAGGCAATCTGAATCCAAGGCAATCTGATTCAAAGGCAATCTGAATCCAAGGCAATCCAAATCTAAGGCAATTCGAATCTAAGGCAATCTGAATCTAAGGCAATCTGAATCACATCATTTAATTTGTTTTTCATGATTTATCAATAAAAACAAAATGATGCCTTCATAATGTTTCCATACACTAAAGAATCAGTTGATATAAGTCTTAAAAAATCAGCACTTGTGTATAAGGAAACATGTTTTGAGTGATCCAAAACTACTTGAATGACAAGTTGTTTAGATAACCTTTGTTTTAAATGAAGGCTGTAATATTTTCAATTGAACTTTTTCTGTAGTTACTGTCTAATGTTTTGAAATAATCAAATTTTTTTTCATGTTGATTTCTATTTTTTCTTTATCAGTATCAATTTTAATGTCAAGATTTCAAGAAAACTTTGGTAAGCAGTGTGACAATTCTGCGATGTTTAGAAAAGAAATGACACATGTTACTATTAGATTATGTCATATGAATATTACTACCTATTAAAGCACTCCAAAAACATTGCAAAAAATAACACTTTTCCTAAGGTGATTCAGGTTGCCTACACTGACTATAATGTAATATCTTTTGGCTACTTGTAATTTTAGGTGAATGAAAGTGTTTTCAAAATTCTTCATTTTGTTAATTAGTGAGATAAAAGTTCTGCTCAATCTGATATGCAAGATAATAATTCTGAAAACTTATTCGGATGCCAACTGGATTTGATTATCATAATTATACAATATTACAAAGAAGCTGAATCACTGTTGGGACTTGACTTCATGTTTGACAGATTTTTGCATTGAGTAACTTTATTAACATGGACTGTCACTCTTGAGGTTCCGGGTTCGATCCTTTGTGTAACACCCTTGGGATTTTTCAGAGACGCTTTCAGTGTTTCCCACATACCTAGAGGTATATTGGTAAGAAACCCTGGTAATCCTCACATGTATCAGTGCTTATACACTGGGCATGTAAAAGAACCACAGGGTCTCTTCAATTCACGGGGACTGATTCCCAGAATCCCTTGTATCTCATAGCTGTCTCTGGAGTCTGCTAAGATAAGGACCCTACTGGAAATAAGTACTTGCACTTTCATATTTCATGCTTGACCACCTTGTCTAAAGAAATTCATTCTTTCATTTAAAAAATAAGAACAGAGTTATATTTATATATAATTTAATTTTTGATGGTTGAGTTAGGTAATTAGCAGTTTTCATGCTGACAGTGTTGGGCATGATGGAGGAAAACATACCTATAGATATACTTCACTTGTTTTTTTAATGCATTGAAATACTCCAGGGTTATAATAAGTTTTGTTTAACTTGGAATGATCATCAGATTAGCTTTCTCACATTGAAACAATTTGATTTAACACCCATTGGTTTGCTGCATATAATTCAGGTTTTTACTCTCTTTTGTGAACATAATATAGGTTGACACACTGCTGAGATTGTTAAGTTACATTTTAAGATAAATTGGAGAAAAATTCTTCCACCAAGAGCTGAATATAGAATTTTTATTGACATCCTTTTTAGAAAAAATAGGAATGTTGAGTGACTATAGTGACTATATGGGAATGGGTCATTTATCTCAAATGGTGGTGGGGACAGTGGTAGTAAATAACTTGATAAATACCACAATTAAATGTTGTTGTTTTTTCCAGAGAAATATTTGATTGTTATTTTCAAGGAAGCATTATTGTAATAACATATAAAAGATGAAATATTTTATGTTGATAATATTATTTTAGGACACGCAAACAATCTACAGGTTATCTACAGCAAGAAGCCTTATGAAGGGCCTGGACAGGGGTCGTCCAGGGTCATACCTTCCGTACCCGAGAGAATCCTTGATGCCCCGGAACTCCTTGATGACTACTGTAAGTTTGAAAATTAAATTAAAAAGAATAAAACAAATAGATCCTTTTCTATTTTAAACTAATTGAGTTTGTTGTTTTTTAAATTAATTATGATCATAGCAAAAAATGATATAAACCTTACTTCTTTCAACTGAGTTTGTCCTTTCTTTCTTCCTTTCTTTCTTTCTTTCTTTCTTCTTTTTTCTTTCTTTTCTTTCTTAATCTTGAATTCAATTAATTGACATTATTATTTCAGACTAGAATTGAATAAATTGACAACTGTTTAAAACTAAAAACTTGAATTCAATTAATTGTTATTGGTATTATTTTAGACTTGCATTAAATATATTGATTAATCATTAATTCAGACTTGAATGAAATTAATCAATTATTATTTTAGTCTTGAACTGAATTAATTCATCATTATTATTAAAGACTTGAATTTAATAAATTCATCATTATTTTAGACTTGAATTAAATAAATTGATAGTTATTAAACTTGAATTTAATTGATTATTTTTAGACTTAAACTTGTATATTATTTTTAGACTTAAACTTATTGGACTGGTCATCAAACAATCATTTATCTGTTGCCCTTGGAAGCTCTGTGTTTATCTGGAATGCAAGTAGTGGGATTATTGTACAACTGATGACAATGGATGAGCCAGGCCAATATATTTCAGCTGTGAAATGGATTGAGGAGGGATCCATTATTGGTGTAGGAACCAGTCAAGGCCATGTTGAGGTATTGATAAATTTTAGCTTTACAGGTGAATTAGTGTACAGACTGTACAATATCACATGCTGAGAGTAAATAGTGCAGCTGCAGGACTTACAGAATTCCAAGGACATGTGGTCATTTATATATTTTATTTATTTATTTTCAAGTTTAGTATTTAAAAATTGCATATCTAGCCATATTGAAGATCTAGAATATGCAAAAAATAGTGGGTTAATTCCATTCACATTAGGAAGAGTTAGTGTAACTCTTGGTCATAGTTGTAGGCCAACTTTAAAGACCCACAACTATAGCATAGATTTTTAGTTCAATTATTCAACTGTGTGAACTAAAAATGTAAAAAAAATCTTAAAATCTGGTACTCAATACTCAATAGTGCTGGCATCAACAGATCCTGAAGCCATCTTACTGCTAAGGACTAAGAAAAATCAAGTACTGGCCAAAGTTAATAAGTGATTTCTATTTTTAGCTTTGGGATGTTGCTGTGCAGAAAAGGATAAGATCAATGACAGGCCATGTTGCCAGAGTTGGCTCCCTTTCTTGGAACTCTCATATACTATCAAGGTAGGTTTAAATGAAAAATTGCATATAAATTAAATTAATGTTCTATGAAATTACATGTACTGCATGAAATTAAAGGAATGTAGTCAAGGTTATTTTTGCCTGAGTTAGTGACAATTTCAAGCTGACAATGACTCACTTGGTAAAAAGTAGTGACTATAGGAAAAACTTCCTTTCATATGAATAGGCTATCAGTGTTGTTTTCAGAAGGTATTCCTAGGTGCCAGCTTGTAAAATGATGCATTGAAGGAGTCCATTGGCCTTTTTCCACCAGTGAACCAGTGAGCTTGAGAGTCATAACATGACCTGCGCAGGACTGCTTTGATTTAAAAAAAAAAATTGAAAAAAAAAATGAAAAAAAAATGATATTTGCATATATAATACATTTTTAAAATGAATAGAAAATAAATTTGGCTTTGAATGACTGTTCTGATTATTTACATTAAGTAAATGTTAAGAATTGATAATTACAATTTTATTTTCAGCAGATTTCTTGATCATAAGTATACATTGTTAGTTACAAAGATTTTTGACACTGGTTATATGGCCCAAGGGTCTGGGGTTATATTTCCAGATAACCTGTCAGAAATATTTGTAATGAATTTATAATACAACAAACTTCTTTTTTTTCAGAGTAAAAATGAGATGTAAATTAAATTAACTGAAATAAAGTATATAAACGTCATGATATCCTATGAAAAGCAATGTTACAAAATATGCAATATAATAATAATTATGTGTTTCAGCGGGTCTCGTTCAGGCGTCATTCATCACAGTGACGTGAGGGTTGCTGACCACTGTGTGGGCGTATTGAACAGCCACACCCAGGATGTATGCGGACTTTGCTGGTCACCTGATGGAAAATTTCTAGCCAGTGGTGGAAATGATAACATACTGAATATCTGGAATAATCACCTTGGCAATGATGTTGCCCCACTGTTGAGTCTCACACACCACCAGGCAGCTGTGAAAGTAAGCATTGTATTTATTATTATGCCCTGCTCCTAAACTAAAAATGCTTTTGGTATACACATTTCAAGGTCTAATGTAATTTAACAAATTGGCTAACATTAAGGAGGCCTACATGATTCATAAAATTTGTACATATATTATTTGGTAAGATTTGTGATAACTTTGTCATACAATTGCTGCACACAGCCTTTACGGTCACAATAACCTAGTGAGTAGTCATGGCCAGTAGATAACCCCTATTGATTTTTTGGTTACTAGGTCAAAAGTCAATCACATTAACCTGACCATTGCCACATGACTAATTGGCTGCCGATAGGGCGCATACATGTTTTACAAATCTTGTAACTGTGATGTTACATCATATATTATATGTGTAAATCGTTTAAACATTTGCTGACTATTGTAGATTTGGATCATTATATGGATTTTGTTTATTTTCTTTGTCTAAACTAATCAAGTCAGCTCAAAGTATATAAATGGAAGAAATTATTTCTTGGCCTCTTTATATGATTCATGTACCTTTAGATTAATTGTTACGAATCTCTCTAAAAACAAAATTTTCGTAACTTTAATTTAGACATTACTATACTTGTGTATATTTTGCAACAGTGCCTGAAATAAATACAATTTATATGCCATAGTAAAAAACCCTCTAATTTACATTTCAGGCTCTTTCTTGGTGTCCATGGCAACCAAATATTCTTGCTAGTGGTGGAGGCACTGCTGACAGGCACATTAGGATATGGAATGTGAACACTGGAAGCAATTTGTCCTCTGTTGATGCTAAATCTCAGGTATGAATCAAAAATGAAAATAAATTTCAAACTACTACTTATGCAATTTGAATGAAATTCTACTGGATTAATGAGTACCTCAAGTGCTGGTAATTTCGGTTGAATAATTTTGGCTAAGTTATGGCCCTTGAATAAAAAAGGCATTTTGACCATTTTTGCATCACCTGCTTCAAAATACTGACTACTTCTCAAAACTGTCTAATCACCACTCAGTACAACTACAGAACTGGGTATTCGTGGCCGACTGGTTAAGGTCATTGACTTCATGCCACTTGCCCCTCACCACTGTGGGTTCGAATCCCGACAGGGACTTGGATTCTTTCATGTGAGGAAGCTATCCAGCTAGCTTACGGAGCGTCGGTAGTTCTACTCATGCCGTTGGTGCCTGATATAATGCACGGAAGGGCACCTGAGGTCTTCCTCCACCAGTAAAGCTGGAATGTCGCCAAATGACCTATACTGTGTCGGTGTGACGTGAAACCCAATCAAACAAACAAAATGATGATCACTCTTGTACATGTATATTAAACACGTGACAGTTTTATTTTGATCATTTAAAAAAACAACATGATTTGATAATTATTAGTAAATGATTATATTCTTTTATTAATTACCTTAAGATAATCATGTTGAAAACTTTAACATCAATAAATATCAAATAGCTTGAAATTATTTTTAAAAGATAAAATTGATGTTAAAAACAGTTTTGGCTGAGTTAAGGGTCATAAATAAAAATGTGTTTTGGCCCATTCATGATTTTTGGGTAATTCTTTCTTTTTTCATATTATAGAAAATATTCAAATACCCATACAGTCATTTAAATTTCCAACAAACTGTCTAATCACCACTCAAAACAGCTGCAAAATTGGGTATCATCAGGCGATACATGTTATAAATAATCACTCTTGTACATGTATATTAATCATGTAACAGTTCTATTTTGATCATTTAAACAAACAACATGATTTGATAATTATTACTAAATGATTATATTCTTTAATTAATTACCTTAAGATAATCATGTTGAAAACTTTAACACCAATAGTTATCAAATAGCTTGAAATTATTTTTTAAAAGATAGAATTGATGTTATATGTGTACATTGAAATTTTAGGTATGTGCTATTTTATGGTCAAAGGAGTATAAAGAATTGATATCAGGACATGGCTTCTCACAAAATCAGCTGTCCATCTGGAAATATCCAGATCTCACAAAAGTTACTGATCTTGAAGGTATGCTGTTTTAACATTTTTTTTATTAGTTTACTGGTTCCCTACCAGTTCACTGGTGGGGACAATAGGTTTGTCCTCAGTCTGTCTGTTTTTCACCCAGACCTCAAAGACTGAATCCGGTGATAATTCATAAAGTTCTTGGATTATCTTTATGAAACATGAAATTAGATAGGTTGTAATATGGATATTATGCAGATAATCAGAATTTGGTGCAATTATTGAATTTCACTGTTGCTTCATTCTTTATTTTCTTATGCGTATTTTACTAATGCACAAGTCTTATTTTATCTTACATGTTTTTTCATTTCTATGACTTAAGAGGAAATCTTCTATAGCGGATCAAACAAAGTACAAACACAACCTGAATATTTAATTTTCATGGTTTTTCTTTCAGGTCATAAGGCTCGTGTCCTTAACCTAGCAATGTCACCAGATAACACTATGGTTGCAAGTGCTGCTGCTGATGAAACAATACGTATCTGGAATTGCTTTGCTAGTGATAAAACTAAGAAGAGTATTTCTTCAAAACCAGGCATACAGAAAACGGAACATGTTCTTCTCAAGGCATCACATATCAGATAAAACCAGATTCTGTGGTTCAAACGATTTATGTAGATAAAACAAACAATGCTTTGTGAAACACATGATCAATATAGTATAACAAAATAGATAACTGTCTATTAAATTTGGACTTAACTGTCAGTGCTAAAAGAAACATTTGATTTGGCCAAATTAAGGGCTTCTCAAATATTTTGTTTTAGGAAAAAAGTTGTCAGGACTTCACTAGTGATTTGATTTAGTCAAACATTTCAGTGCTTAGTGAAACATTTGTTATGTTCAAAGCTTTAAGTGCTCTGTGACAAACTTGGTTCGAAATAAGTGCTTTTTTGTAAACATATATCCTCTTATCTGCCACGGAATATTTTATAAATACTCTAGTTTAAAAAGTTCATTAAACTCAAATTTGATTCAGATATAAATATATTGTCTTTTTAAAACTTTATTACTAAGTTATTTCTAATTATTACTTTGAAATTTAGTAATATTTTCAGGGTCCTTTTTTTAAATACTTTTGAAATAACAAGGTTTAATACTATTTACTACATTGGATTTACACATAATGTACTTCAGAATTGGATTGTTTCTCCTAATAGTTTGAAATTCCTTTCTGTCTTCATGAGCTAAAGCAAGCAAAATACCAGCAGTGAGTACAAGCAGTTTTGTAGGAATACAACGTAATATTTATGACATCACTGAAATGTTAATTATTCTTGTCCTATATAAGGATATTGTTCTATTATATGCAGATTTGAATTTATTATTGAAGCGCACATTTTGTCTTATCCATCATATAAAAGGTTATGATTACTTACCTGGTAAATAATGCAATAAATAATGAAATAATAAAAACACATGTCCAACATTATATACTGATATGCACTGTTTATGTAAGAATGTATATACATGTATGTAACGAAAATAAATTCTTTAATATATTTTCTTTTTGTTTTTTGTTCTGTCTTTCTTGAAACAATGTCATTTTATGATCGTGTTTATTATTCATAAAACATTTGTATCAATTATTTAATGTATCAAGTTAAAAATTATATTTTGAACATAGCCATTACTGTTTCTCAATTTCTGTTGTGCATCAGACATTTAATTTCATATGAAATTAAAATCTACCTTATTTGATAAACTTTCAAAACGTTTTTAAACTTCTTGTCGATATTATTCACAAAGTTCGCAACAAATACTTTATTTGTTTCATTACAGAACGTAACACCCCATGGAAAATTAACATGTTCATTATCCTTCAAGAGTTCTTTGATTTTTTTACAGTCAGGTGTTATCATATGAATACTGCCATATCTATCCCAGTTACACACAAGCACTGTACCGTCCCTTGTTACCTCTAATCCTCCCGCACTTACCAGATCCTTGTCCTGGTATGTTGCTATCAGATTGCCATCAAAATCGAATTTTAAAACAGCACTTATACCCCAATGAACCACTACTGACATAAAACATCTGTGAACTTGGTACGACAGCAATATCCATTAACCATTTCATATTTGGATGAGATAAAGATTTTATCAGTTGTCCGCTCATGCTCATAATCTCAACACTCTTGTTGGTTATACCAATAATCTTATCTTCATGGATTGCAATTTTATTACAATCTGTATGAACTTTAATCATGTCACTTTCTTTGATCTTATTACCTGTTGTTATTGTGAAAAATTGTATCTTCCTTTCACCAGGAAATGTCACAGCAAACAGATTGGGATTTACTACTGCTACACCTTGTGGACTATACTTAAGATTGTACTTCGAAACTTCTTTGTTACTGACATCAACTAATTTAACACAATTATTGTTCCCACCAATTACTATAATCTGACTTGGGCAAATAAGTGCACAATTTTGAACAAAGCAGTCGTAAGCATCATCTTCTGTTTTAATGTTAATCTCACAATCAAAATAAGCATCCATTTCAGAAATGCTCTTCCTGTCTAAATCAGTTTGATATGTTACCTTTTTTTTAGAAACAAGATAATTGTGTTTTGATGCTGTGTGTTCGACCATTTTTTCTGTATTATCAACTATGGCACCGAGCGGTACACATGACTTGACCATTTGCTCCATGTGGGAAGAACGTTGAAACGTATAAACATCAATGCTGATGTCCTTTTTCAACATATTTAGATTTTCATCAATAGAGTTAAGTTTTGCCTTAACTTGTTTTGCCTCAACAAACAAATCATTCGCTTGACTAACCTGTAGCTGCAAATTCGTATGTATTTCTTTAATATTTCTTCCAATATAACTTTCTGCTTGATGCAGTTCCTGTATCAGCATCTCATTCTTCTTTTTTCTTTCGTTTATCATTTCAAGCATTTCTCTTTCTGCCTTGTTAAGATAATCGATGATTTCTTTCTTGAATTCTTTGACATCTTTAATTGCATTTATATAGGCTTGTCTCATATTTCCTTCACTGACTTGTAGCTTCCTATTTATTTCATCCACATCTTTAACAAACTGCTCTACCTTCTTTAGGATATTTTGGTGTTCAGTACCATTGAAATATTCTGTAGATATATCTTGTATACGATTAACTTTACAGGATTTATGATCAATGATCATACAATCTCCACAACCCACTGCATCATGTGACATGCAGTAATATTTAACTATTTCATTTTCGTGTTTGGTACATATTTCAGAACAAGCGTTTGGGGTTACAGCCGGAAATGTAACTTTAGGCATATTGTCACCATCCAGAATAATATGATTTCTTGACATGGCTTGCTTGCAGTGGACTTTTAGACACACTGCACAGTAATACTCGTTACAATTTTGACAGTATCCAATGGCAACCATCGTATCGCCGTCACTACTACATGGTTGGCAAAATATTGTTCTTTCTCCACTCAAAGACCTCCCTGCACTATCTTTTGGTGGACTGTCTTGTGTTCTATCAGGGACCTCCATGTCTTATTTAATGTAAAACTTTATTTAGTCAAATTACTTTTTTCATGACTCTGTTTCTTTATCTATTTCTGAAAAATGAACAATTACAATGTTTGATTTTTTTCACTGCAATCGTGCTAAATCATGAAGTTGTGCTTAGATGACAATCACCTCTGCGTGACTGGATCACTAATATTCCAAGAAACTCATTTCATTCTTTCAAATTAGCAATAATTATTTGCTTTAAATTTTAGATAATTTATTAATATGAAATATTCTGTTAAAATATTTAAAACGTTTTCGTGTGTAATTACATTACAGGTTGCACTTTAAAGTACAAAAGTTGTCTCTATATCTGACATGTTCCTGATTATCAGACAACTCATTGTGTCTACTCGTATGTAAATACTATTTAGCTAAAGTTTTATATACTAATACACTTTTCATAATTTACACTTTCTTCTCATCTAGTTATAAAAATCATTTCTTTATATGACCATAAATATTGTAATCAATTTTATTTGAGTAATCAGACTTTGATTGTTGCTTTTTTAACCACAGGCGTTCAGCACATTTATCTTGCCAATAATGGTCAAGTTATCATCAAAAACCGGTAATCTCCCCTTGATCAACAACAACAATCCTATAATCCAGTACCCGTTTACTATGTGTAACATATACAAGGTAGAGACTTCCCGACACGGTCAATATGCTATATATAGTAAACGGGTGCTAATCTTGGTGATCAACAGTAGATTATTTTATGATAATTTGAGTTTAACGTACAAAAGTAAGAGGTATGATTTAGTATGTTATATCAATAACTTGTGTAAAAAGATAAAGGCAACATATACATGGACAATAAAGAACAATTTTATCTGATACTAACTGATATTTAATGAATCGTTACAGTACAGAAAACGCGACAAACTAGTGATATATAAATAAATGTCAGCATAAAATCTTACCTGCAGGTTTATTTGCCCATAAAATCAAGTTATATGACATACTATTTACAAACGACAGATATTATTGACCTCTCTTTTGCTGCAGATATTTAATCAGTGTGACTTCGTGGAAAAGAAGTTTATTTACACTTCCTGGTTCACTGGGAATAGGTTTAATATAATACTGACATACGTTAAAATCAAGTCGTTGTCATCTATAGGGTAAATGTTAAACAACAATAACTGTGTACATAAAATTAAGGGTACATAACACGTTTACTGATCAATTAACTGTCCGAAATATTTGACTTAACGTATGTATATACAGGTTTTCATGGAGGAAGCTCGGTAAGCTATATTAGCGGTCATTGTTTTAAAACATAATCAACTTATCTTATGTGATTTACAACATTCATTGTTCTGAGAATAATCAGATTTAATGAATTATGTCCATCATATCAACTATCTCGTTTCTATAACTTCCCCTCCTTACCTTAAACACCTTAAAATAACATGTATATAAAACCTAATGGCACTTCCCATTCTCATAAAACATTCTAATATATAAATATATGTATTTAATCATATACCGCCGGTATGGCGATGCTCTATACCTATAATATAACTAGATTGTAAAAGAATTGCAAGATGTGTACAAAACCTTTTTCATTCTTGTTACCAAAATATAAATCATGTACGATTATTTCTAGCAGAACAAGAAAACAAACAAAAATCACTTTAAAATAGGTATCAACATTTGTGTAAGATTTTTTTTTTAATTACGACATTAAAATACCTCTTTTAGCTGCTTAAAAGCAAACTTGATATGTTATTTAGAATATCACTATGAAATTATTTTAAATTTCAATAACAGAATGAGAATATAGATATATTCATTTTACGTATTTACAATATTATCTACATATAAGGCGACTTTCCAAAACTACCAGAGAAAGACCTCAGGTGCACCTCCTGCATCAATCCATGCACGAACGGGATCCTAAGCAGAACCACCGACGTTTTGTAAGCTAGCTGGATAATTTTACAAAATATTAAGGAATCCGAATTCTCTGACTAGATTCGAAACCACAGAGATGAGGGTCAAGAGGTTAAGAAGCCAGCAACCATGTGTTATCATAAACAAGAAAAATATTACATACATTCGTATGTAATAAAGGTACGATTGCATATTACTTTCTGTTAAGACTTTTGTTTGCTGCATGAAAGGTGTAATGTAAAATGAACATGAGTTTTTTTTATATCTTAAAACATGTCAATGGAATTTAATTAATGTATTTATTAAAGTTGCATGCCTTCAGACGAGAAAAATGGTTTCAAGGAAATCAAAATATGAAAAGAAAATTCACGGCCAATTGACTGCTTTGAAGCATGATTTACAGAAAATTATAAACCTTTTTAATACACTTTAGGTAGAATTTCATTGTAAATCATAGTCGCAGATTTGAGACATGATTATTTATTCATATGTGTCATGGGATGCAAAAATGGGGTTTCTTGACTAAATTTTGGATTTTCACTTTTTTGAATTTCCTGAATTATTATATATGAAATATCAGAAGTAATTCCTGAACATTTGAAGGTCGTGTGTCTTTCTTATTTACAAAGATATACATAATTCAAAATTAACATAAAAAACTTTGATATTTGTGATGTTTAAAGGTGCATGGGAAAAACAACTTATGAAGCTAAAATGAATTTTGTGAAAAAGTCATTTTGTGTTATTAAAGTTGTATCTTGTAGAATATTTCTGGAATACAGCCATCATAATTAAAGCATCATTTACATTCTGTTGCCTAGCAACGGACCTATTCTTGGGTTCTTCCTGGGCTTTTTCATATAAAAAGTCATGTGCTAGGTGTACTTTATAACACTTGCAACAATCAATACCAAATATATTCTTCTTCACATTTACAAATGTTCTTTTGCATTTCTACAGAGTTAACAGGTCATAATACTGTTGAGAGATATCATAAGAACTAAACACAGTGTCCATTTATCATTCATTTATTTGCCTTATTCAGACATTTACTGTGACAGCAGACAACAGAAAACTGTTTAATACTTTAATACAACAGTAAATGAATATGACTTAAGTGTAACATCATAAAAGGTAGTTGTACCAAATGAAGGAAGTCGATCATTACACAAACACAACATAAAGGGATATATATTGTGTTACCTAGCAACCATGGAATATTCATTTTTTAAATTTATTTTGTAAGTTTACACATTTCTTGACAAAATAAAGCTAACAAAGCAGCAGAAATAAATTAATTTTCAGTAACATTACAAACAATGCCTATTATTTACTTTTAAATAATTTTCCATTCAAGATATTACATACATTCCATGATCTGTACACTTGACAAGTGATAGTAAGCCATGTAAATTTAAGCAGTAAGCCGGTATTATTTTCATATATATTGCCCTGTAATAAGCATTTGATCAAATGTTAATGTCCATATAATATAATAAATATATCTATCTGCCGTATAACTTGTTTACTTAATACCTAAGCAATTAGAAAAGTCAATCAGTGTTGCTAAGCAACCACAATATATTCCATAATTTTCTTTTAAATTTTACAAATTTTAAGTGCACTATTGGCTATTTGAATAAATAAGATATCAACATATCATGAACAAAGCAGCATGATTAGAAAAACAAAATCAAAATTATTAGAACTGCAAATGCAATCTTAACAATAACAAGATATGTTTGTAAAACATGTATGCCCCCTATAGCCAATTAGTCATGAGACTGACTTTTGACATAGTGACCAAAAAATCAATAAGGGTTAATTACTGGTCATGACTAGACATTAGGTAATTGTGACCGCAAATTTAGTGCAGCAGTTTTATGACAAAGTTATTTCAAATTTTACCAAATAATATATGCATAAATTTTATGAATCATGTAGGCCTTATTAACGACAGCCAAGTTGTTATATTACATAAGACCTTGAAATGTGTATTCCAAAAGGATTTTTAGTTTAATAAAAAATGTCAACCAAGGCAACTTGAGTTGTTGAGTTATTGGTCAGAAACAGTCTTTACATACAACATCAATAAGACATGGACCTTTGACCCTAACTCAATAGGGGTTATCTACTGGCCAAGACCAATGCATCTGTGAAGTTTTAAAGGTAAAGGGCCCATGCGTTGGGATATTGATCAGAAAGCGTTGTTACCTTTAAGATCAATGTGATTTTGACCTCTGGCCCCTTAACGCCAAAAGATCCATTGAGGTCATCTTATGACCAAAAGCAATAATCTGTAAAGCTTGAAGGTCAAGGGTCCATGGGTTGTCCAGTTATTGATAGAAAACCATTTTGAAATACAAGGTCAATGCAACCTTGACCTTTAATCCCCTGACCCCAAAATCTTTAGGGGTCATCTACTGGTCAAGTCCAGTGCACATACCAAGTTTGAGGGCCAACAGCCCGTTGGTTGTCAATATATTGAATGGAAACCGTCTTTACCGACAATGTCAATGTGACCTTGACCTTTGACCCCTTGACCCCGAAATTTATTGGGGTCATCAGCTGGTCATAAAAAATCATCATACCAAGTTTGAAATTCCTAGGCCTAAGAGTTCTTCACTTATCACTCGGAAAATGTTCTTACGTACAAGGTAAATGTGACCTTGACCCTTGACCCCAACATCAATAGGGGTCATCAGCTGGTTATGAACAATTACCATACCAAGTTTGAAGTTCCTAGGCCTAAGGGTTCTTTAGTTGTCACTCAGAAACCGTTTTTACCTACAAGGTTAATGTCACATTGACCTTTGATCCTTTGACCCCAAAATCAAAAGGTGTCATCAGCTGGTTATGAAAAATCACCATACCAAGTTTGAGGTTCCTATAGGCCTTAGGGTTCTTTAGTTATCACTTGGAAACTGTTTTTACCTTTAAGGTCAATGTGACCTTGACCTTTGTCCCCTTGACCCCAAAATCAATAGGGGTCATCTGCTGTTGATGAACAATCATTATACCAAGTTTGAAGTTCCTAGACTTAAGCGTTCTTTAGTTATCACTCGGAAACCGTTTTT